GCTTTACCCCCTCTTTTCCAAAACTTTCTCCAGCACTTAATTAGTTAAAGTAATATATATATATATATATATATATAATATATATACTATATAAAAAAATAGAATAGAATAGAATATTTATTATATATAATATATATATATATAATGCATTATATATATATAACAGAACAGAACAGAATATAACATAATATAATATAATATTTTATATATATATATAAAATAAAATACAATAAAAAAAAAATAAATTAGGCTATTCTGTGAACCCTTGGGGTAAAACAATCCACCTATATTGCTACTTTTGTCCCATTTCTGGGTCCCCTCATTCAAGGGCAAAGAGATCTCGACTCTCTGAGTCTAAAATGCAGGTCCAGAAAGCATCTTTTAAGTCTGTTGCACAAAACCACTTATGTCTGTGTGGGATCTGACTCATTAACCTATAGGGTTAGGAACCAGGGGGTTTTGTTTGAGAATTATTTCATTAATTTTTCTTAGATCTTGTACCAGTCATAGGTGCCATCTGCCTTCTGTAATGGCAAAATTGGAGTGTTATAGGGTGACATAGAGTCCCAGAAGACCATTCTTAACCAATGTTTGTATCATAGGCTTTAGACCTATTATCCTTTCTAAAGGTATGGGATATTGTTGCTGTTTCACAGCTTCACTCCATTCTTGGGCAGTTATTTTTTCTTTCAGGGAGTAATTGTGAGTCCACCCCGGTTTTCTCCCCCTGCCCACATCTTTGGATTTATTTCTTTTTCAACAGCTGTTAACAAGTTCTTTGACGCTTTTATACCTGTTCCACAAGTTTTCAACTTCAATCCTAATTTAACTATTAAATCTCTCCCCTGCTTCTGGGACGTATGACAATTACCCTGTGACGATTTTATCGTCTCATTTTAATTCAATAGTCTCATAAAGTGAAACTATCATTCTTGATCCCTCTACCCCTGTTATTCTGAAGATGTTCCCAGTTAAATTAAGTCCCAGTATTTTTTAAGCTGACCAAGAATTGATCAAACTGTTCTGCTAATCCAGTAAGATCTTTCATTAAAGATTTCATTTCCTTTTTAAAATTTCTCACTTCTCCACTAGTAAGTAGGGAGTCTACATATCCTATATCTCCTGATAACACTGGAACTTCACGAAGAGGATACATGGAAGTTTGAGTGGGGCTAATGGAGTTATATTTAGGATGAGGAGAACTTACAATGTCCTTTTTGCATTGTTTCTGTATTTTCTCAAGCTGGCAGAACTTTTTCTTTTCAGCATCAGCACTAATCACAGAGCTCAGTTCAGGTGGGCTGTTAAGGGGCTGATCCGAGCCAATATCCTTTGCTCTGTCAGCTGTCTCCGGCCTCCCTCCTGTAGTTACAGGACTTGACTCAAGGCCAGGATGGCAAGGGGGGGAAAATGTCATTCCATAGAGAAATGCGAGTGAGTTTAACCCTAGGGAGAAGTACAGGGAGTAAACGGCTTAAAGGATCCCATCTGGGGTTTCTCTTTTCTTCCTTATCTACACAATTTTGTCTAGCCATGATTAACTGCTGTACTCCCTAAATATAACAAGCAGCATATGTGGACTCCTCTTCCAAAACAAAACAAAACAGTAAAATAACAAATAGAGGACTTTTACTTTTACTTGCATGTTTGAAGCCTGACGAATGCAATCCTTGCCAGACCCGTATTTTGGCCAAAATACTGATTCCCCTGCAATCGGCTCTTTAGGCAATACAATAACACAATACCTAATCATTTTCTGTTTATCCCTGTTTTTTTAATTTCTCTTTCAATTTTTCAACACATTTCCTGAAGGATTTATAGCAGGCACTCCTCCAGGGGCTCTCTCTCTGTCCTCCACCTTGGAACTCTTATTCCCCATTTCTCTCAGCAACCTATGGTTGTGCTACTGCAGGAACTGCACTTCTGCAGTGTTGCACACACCAATTCTTGGTTCTAGGAAATGAGGTGTGTCGTCAAACAATCCTTTTGCAAGACGCTCACATACAACATGAGTCCCAGACCTCGTCCTCCAAGGCAGTACTTAATCACACTTGATTGTTCTTACTTTGATCTGTGCACAGGGTTGCCAGGAATTATAAGGGCAATCACACATCACCGCAGTGCCTGCTGTCCGTCCCTATCCCCCAGCTGTTCAGAGATCTTGCCTCTTAAAAACATCCTTAGGTCCACAACCGATTCCATGATGAGCCACCGCTGCCAACTTACAGGGCTGCAGAAATAAGAATGGGGTGCACTGTCTTGTACTGTAGAAATGCAGGCTCATAGCAGGCAGGCGATATTGTTCCTGGATTTCAGCACCAAATTGTGAGAAACATGCTCAAGATCAAAAGTTTCCAATCAGGCAAAGATATCTATGAAGGGCAGTTTATTCATTATTGCAGTAATGGGCGCACACCCCTACTGACAAGGGAGAAATTGCACAACTAGTCAGTGAAATCCACTCCATTATATTCCCTGGGTCTGATGCAGGTAAAGCCTCTCCTGGCACTCATTGGATGAGTGTCTCAGGCTCACAGTCTTCTGATGCTCTTGCTACATTACACTTCCATAGCTACGTTACACTTCCACAGCTACATCACGCTTCCATAGCTACCATACATCACGCTTCCATACAATGTCTGTTACCAATCCATTGTCTTTGGGTATGTTCTGTACTTTTTACAGTGATAGGAGGACAATATTTTAAACTATATCTGCACACTAGTTCCATCCTGCACCATACTCTCCCCTACCCTATATAATTATCTTACCTAGAGACTGTGCCAATTATACCTAGGTTGGAACGACCCAGTCTCAACTTTACTCTGTTCAGCAACTTTCTTTGTACCAGGCATCTTATCCTATGCTACATACAGAAATACTGGAAATTTGCACTGCAAAAACACAATCTACCTCTTATACCTTCTGGCTAGAATTGTGAATTTTTCTTCAGATTGATCTAGCTGCATAACTTTAGGCCAAAATGGAAATGTTTTCAGATAAAAAGATAGAAAACAAGAGTAAAGTTTTGGGGTCCAAATTACACAGTCAACACACATCTAACTTTCAACGTATGTTAGTTGCAAAGACTTCAATCTTAAATCAGGCCTGAAATAAATGGCTGTCACTCGTGTTACTTTAAGAAGCTGACAATTTTGATCAAATGCCTAAGTGCTGTTCAGTGAAATGTAGGACTGGACCGATATGTGCATGCCACTGCAGACCATTCAGTGGTCATTATGCAGGAATCAGTAAAGAGAACACTTTTCTGTGGACATTAATGGAGGAAATAAAGGGAGATATATGCATTTTTTCTTTTAAATCATTTTCAGGAAAGCTCACTGTTGGTAAAGTCATGGTTAAACTGTGTAATTAGGTAGTCAGAATACTAAAAAACTGTAAGAACCTGAAGGAATTCTTTGAATTTTTTAGGATTTAATCAGACTTAATTAAATCAATATTGTTGCAGATTCTTTGGGCCATAGATTAAGTTTGGAGGGCTGTATAAGGATTTCAACAGTGCTTATTCAACAATAACTGTGCTTTTCTTTTGAACTTATAAACATGAAAGATAAAGATTAATCACAGCTTCAGGTATTATATCATAGAATCATAGAATTATTTGGGTTGAATGGGACCACAATGATCATCCAGTTTCAACCCCCTGCTACGTGCAGGGTCATCAACCACCAGACCAGGCTGCCCAGAGCCACAACCAGCCTGGACTTGAATGCCTGCAGGGATGGGGCATCCACAACCTCCTTGGGCAACCTGTTCCAGTGCGTCACCACCCTCTGTGTGAAAAACTTCTTCCTAATATCTAACCTAAGCCTCCCCTGTCTTAGTTTAAAATCAGTTTAAAACCTCTTGCCCTAGCACTATCTACCCTCTTAAACAGCCATTCCCCTTCCTGTTTATATGCTCTTTTCAAGTACTGGAAGGTCACAATGAGGTCTCTCCAAAGCCTTCTCTTCTCCAAGCTAAACAATCCCAGTTCCCTCAACCTTTCTTCAGAGGAGAGGTGCTCCAGCCCTTTGATTATCTTAGTGGCCCTCCTCTGGACCTGCTCCAAGAGCTCCACTGTTCTGGGTATGAGAGCCTTTGTGTAATTTTATTTTCTCTCTTATTATCTATTGTTCCTTATTACTACTTTTTTTTTTTTTTTTTGGTCAAATGAAGTTCAAAAGGAGTACTATATCTTTTTTATTATTATTTTTTTGAAAAAGAAATACTTTAGCTTTGTAGTTCAACATCATATATGTCTCTGTTGACATGCAGGAATAGTCACTGTAGAAGGAAAAATAGTGAGGTACAGCGAATGTGTTCTAAACTAAAGGTCAAATGCCTCCTCCCTCTTCATCTCCCACCATTAAATGGCAAAATGATAATGTATTTAACAGAGGACCACACCTCCTTTATTTTACATTCAGCTACATTGAATCCAAACGAATGCTCCCTTCTGTACTTTGAAATTAGTCAGATACTCATACTCTTTTATTAAAATGCTATTTAGCTTAGCTAAAGTGGTCCAGCAATAAAAATGTCCCATAGCAGAGGATCCCACGCAGCAAATGATTCTATGTGCTTAAGTTCCTGAAATCCACATTGAGAGCTGATCTGTTGAGATAGAAGTCTCATCGGTACAAAGCTAATTTTCAGAGCAATGCATTCTTAATAATTGTCTTCAAAGGCAAAGTTCATTTGCTTGTTGAAATTGCAATTATAAAGCAATGATAAGGAAGTATGTTTGTTTGTTTGTTTTCAACAGGCGTCCAATACTTTATATCATTTCTCCCTCTCTGTTTATTTTTAGGATTTACAGACATTAAAAGTGGTCTGAGAGAACATTCGTCTTTTTCTCAGGCTTGACCAATGAGTTTTATAAAAACTTGAGGATATTTTGAAAGGCATCTGTTTAAACTGCAGTTAAAAGGTGCATCATAATAGAAAACATGGTACATTTTTACCTGTGACTGACGTTTTGGTCCTCCATTACACAGTGAGCGTTTGCTGGAGGAGGAAGAGAAGACTCCCTTTGTCAAGAACTTTTCCACTAGCAGAAAAGAGCTGGCGTAGCCTCACAGTATGAAGTCCTTTGAGAAAACCTGGTTGTTGCTACTGCTGTCTGTTCTCCTAAGAGTTGTCTGCTCCTCTTTTATAAGTGTCAACCTTGGCATTAAAGTGATGAAGGGACAGTCTGTTTTCCTGTCAGAAGATGACCTCAAGTTTTCCATTCCCAGAGAGAAGGATGTGTGCAAAGTCGAAGTTGTGAGAAACGAGCCAATCACGCAAAGGGTTGGGAAGCTAACTCCACAGGTATTTGGGCCCTGTTTTGCTGTTCTGAATATTGCTTTACATAATTCCTTTTGGGTACTGCTTAAAGCACACAAATCTGAATGTTCCGTGTGAATAAGATTCACATTTTTTTAACTAAAAGTAGCCAGCTGACAGAAAATAGCACTCCTGAAATAAAAAAAGCTGAGTTCAATATCACAAATGTATAAAGATGATTTTGGTCAGAGCTTTCTTTCACTAATGTAGAATGGGCATTTCAAAACTTTGGGTTAGGAGACATCTTCCAGTCTCACAGTTGCCTGTTTTTCTACCATAGCAGTATCCACTGCCCCTTGGGTAGTGCATAGCCAGCTAGAACATTCTGCATTTCAGTCACAAAGCCACTACCTTGGGAACAATTAGGAAAAAAATCATCACATACAATAAGCACATTGTGTACAGTATTGTTTGCTCTGCTCTGCAACAGCCAAATTGCTAACATATGGCAAATATATTTTAAAAAATTGTTTGCTTTTAAAATTTTGAGCTTGTGGGAATGATGAAATGTATTTTATACGTCACCGTTCTGCTACTCATTTGCTTAAAAAATCTCCCCATCTAAGTCATTGGAGGAAGGAATTAGAAGTAATTGACGAGAAAATGTAACAGTAGAGATAGAAGATTAATGATTTTAAAATGAACCATAACCCAACAGCTTTTGTCTGTGTTTGAAAAGTTTTGTTAAGCATACACTTCCACACATTGGTATATGTTTAGTTTTTCACTTCCTCTCAGGTTTCTGGTGGTTTCTGCAAGGACAATGCAGAATCACCAATCTCAGGTTTTTCAAAGCTTCTGGCCTGCTTGTCGACTTTCTTTTTTGCACCATTTTGCACCATGATTACTTCAGGCAAACCAGCACTTTCTATTCCAAGGAAAGCAGCAGACAGTGAGCAGTGCAGTGTGTTTTCTCCTCCAGAGCCTGGCCCCAGGAGGTGCAGGACCTCTGCTGGGAATCTTCCCCAGAGCTTCTGTAAGCGCAGGGCTCTTTATCCCCCTCCGCTTCCCGGGTCCAGTCCTGTCCACTAGAAGAACAGGAGAGACTTACATGCCTCTTTGCCAGTAGAACACTTTTGAATGCAGGGCAGTTAACTGTGTGCTTGAATTTGCTTTCAATTTCTGCCTCAGCCACTAATGTGCAATAGGACCTTTGAAAAAGCCACTTTTCCTCTGTAACCTAGCATGCTTTAAGCACAGAGTCAGCATTTTCCAGAGTCTCCAGGAGATATGTATGCATCACAACTTACTTTCTGATATACCTGCGGTCCTTGTCTTCCTCTGCTCTCAGACTAACCTCTTTTAAATGTCTGTTCTGTCATGGTCCCAAGCTGAGAATGCGCAACTGAGTCTGTGCCTGTGCAGAGGTCTCTAACCTCTTGGAGGCTGTGGGTGTACCTCACCTGAAAGGGTGAGCATTTCTGGGCAGGTGGATGTGGGGTACCAGGCTGGTGGTGTGGGATGCCTCCCCTCCATGTGTCCTGTCCTGAGTCCCAAGAAAAGTTAGGAAAAGTGCCTTCTCCTTTCTGCATCCTATTGGAGGTAGGACCACTGCAGTATGCTTCCAAGTCAGCTTATCTACCTGTTGCCACTCATGCTCCTTCTATCAGGAAATAATGCAGTGGGAAAGTATCCCTGATCACATCTGTTTTACTGTCATTAAAGTGAGTAATGTTCTAGGAATGTGTGACAATGTAATTATAATTTGTAATCTAAAAGCAGTTGAACTGGAAAAAAACAAAGCTTGGTGGTAATTAGGAGATGATTCAGATCTCCTTTGTTGTACCCACTGAGTTTACAGACAGTTAGAGCTGGCTGTTCATAAAAGGAGAATATATTAGGAAACATAAAACAGATGTTTCTTTTTTGCAAAGCAGATTGAGTCTTATACATATATAAGATAATCAGTGTTAACAGACTTTTGTGGAAAGGTCTTTCATTTTCTACCCCCTTGTTGACAATTAAGAGGGGAAAATAATGATGTCTTGTAAAAAAAAAAAGAAATCTATTATCTGATATGAGTTACCAGCTCCTCAGTAGTAGGCAGTCTCCTCTGATATGGACAGGGTTGTATCATCGGAGGAATATCTGATTGCCATGTGCCTACAAGTCAGAAAAATCCTACAGACCTTGAGGGTTCTACACTGATTTTCACTAGTGATGTTACTGAACTGCAGGGAGCTATAATATGAGCAGTTTTTTTCTATATAATTTGTATTTTTGTTTAACTTGACCACTTGACACCTCTAACTGCTTATCTTTTTTCCTATAATGTCACTTATGACTACCTAATTCATTACTTACCTCTCACTTTCATGTTTTATTATCTTGCACAAAGAAAGAGAGATAAAAGGAAAAACAAGAAAACACATATTGTTTCCCAAGTTCTGAAAAATAAGGAGTGTCTCTGTGATATTTGAAAACAACCACAACATTCTTTCACCATATGTGAATCAGATTTTCATGAGCTGTTCTTGTCCTCTTTCTCTAAGCAATTCCAACAAATAAAAAAAACCAACTGTGTCTTCCTTGGTGCAGTATTATGGATTGGCCCAAGGTCATTTTAGCCAATTGAAACAGAGTGGTAAATTCATGTATATGTATCCGATAATAAAACTAATTCATTACTTACTGGAAAAAAATGACTTTGTAGAATGTAGTTCTTGATAAAAGATAAAAGCAGGCAGCACCTTTTAAAATCACATGAAATATACAAAAATTATCACATATCTTGAGACTCTGAGAATAACTTTAGTGGAAATGCACACTTCCAGTAATAAGAAGAAGATAAACCCTAATTTCTAAATTAACTATTAATGTGCAATTAACAGACAGGCATCTTGGCTGTTTCGTGGATTCACACTGAAGAATGTAAGAACTACCGGCCTTTGTTTCTATCTAGCTACTGCATAGAATTAGAACTTTCCTGTTTCCATTATAAGGTTACTTCATTTTTACGTTCAAATACAGAGCATCTAAATAATTTCTCAATTTATCACAATTCCAGTTAATGTTTTAGAATCTCACCAGAATGCCCTTTACATTTTACCATTCCTCAAAGTGGCTGGGAAGAAGTAGCTAAAGAAAGCAAGCCACATTTTTAAGAGATGCTTGGTAGTATGAAATTATCTCTGTTTTCTGCAAAGAGTTGTTGTTTGTCTGACAACTGTGTGTTAGTTCTCATTAGTTATGGCCTCATCAGAAGTATTAGTGAACAGATTTTATTTTAGTCCATGGAAGAACTAATCACATGTGAGTATTGCCCTTAAAAACTGAATCAAAACCAAATTAAACTTCACCAGAAATCACATGAGAAATGTGATTGAGATTAATTTCTTGCTGATTAATACTTGCTACTACAATTAATACTTGCTACTACAATTAATACTTGCTGACAGTAACATGCTCTTTTTGCAAATACAAAATCTGAGCATCCTTTGCCTATGCACAAGCTGTACAGTGGCCAGGCAAGTTTTCAAATCTTATTCATACCAGGTGTGGCATAAGAATTAATCTCTTTTAAATTAGTTAGTGCACATTTGATGTGAACTTCTGGTTGCTTTTATGTCACAGGATTAGACTGGGTGTTGGTATGGTACAGAGAAACGTCATCTGATCCAGCAGAGGGCTGCAGGTACAAAGTCAGTGTTCCAAAAACATCCAAGGTAGCAAAGTTTCCAACAGGAAAATTTCACAGACTCGAAGTTGTATTCCAATTATAGTGGCCAATCTAATAATAGGATTTACTATATAATGAAGCTACAGTCACAAGCAGTTTTAAAAGCAAACTAAACTCGATACAATTCTGCAGGAACTGCTGGCAGTTCAGACCAACTGAAAACAGTTCTTGTCCTGAAAACAGACGCATCCATACATCCACAGTCTGCAATGGCAGAGAAGTGAGTGATCAACCTGATTACTGAGTTAGATGAGAGAGGAGGGAAGTGGTGGCAAGAAGCAATCACCTTGGTATGCCTTTCTTATGGCAGAGCACCAGCATCCCCAGTTACTGTGCTTGTTCTGGCTTTCTCTGAGAGACCAAAGAATGGGTGGATAAACAGAAGATTAAAGATTTCCCCAAGCCAATGCATTCCTGACAGCCAGAGAGAAGTGAAACAGAAGTTGTGAAATTAGCTTCCTCAATAGCGTTGTACTTGTCTATTCTTTCTCTTGCATAGGTTTTTGACTGTCACTTTCACCTTAATGAAGTCAAGTATACCCACAACGGTTGTCCGATTTTAGACGCAGACACAGTCATGCTTAGGCTGTACAGGTAAGCAGCACTGGGTCGTCATACTTTGTTGTCACAGCGCAGCACTCAAGTACATTATTTGCAATGCATTTCAGATACACAAAAATGTGAATGTGAAAATGTGTTTGCTGTTACCCGTTTTTTGTTCATTACAGAAAAACCAGTGATTTTTCTGATTGCTATTGAAAGAGGCAGCAGTACTTGAGAGCACAGCATGTTCTGCGTTTTACTGCTAAAAGGGACATGTGTCCCTGAGTATACACAGTATACACAATAAAGAACCTATTCCTTTTCAAAATCTGTTTACAAGTAGGAAGAGGTGAGCAGCTGTATCTCATATCTCTGGAGATCTGGGGTTTGAGTGCACAAGAGAGAAAAGGCTTCAAGTAATTTTGTTTAGAAAGTGGGGTTAACACCAAATTCACGAAGAGAATCAGAAAGGGGATGAAGTGCAATTATTTTTTTCTTATTACCCATAGGTTTACAGAAAATGAAACATTTGTAGAAACATTCACCCTCCACGTACAGTTACTTGAGCCAGACTGTAACATCATCAAAATGCGCTCCCGAGCTTTGGAGGTGCCTGAATACTACGGTCTGTCCAGGGCAATCGACAAGAACATTCTCACTTTTGACTACAACAGGAAGATAAATTTGGAATGCACCATTTCCATAGTCTCTTCAGAAACCCACCTCCCTGCTCATGGCCAGCTCATGCTGGGAGACGTGCAGCAGGAACAGCTTCGAGGGGATCAACCACAGAGCTTCCTCCTTGGCCCTAGTATGATGTACTTTTGTTGTTTGTATTAGCAGGTTCAAAGAATCCTGGCAGATTAAGTCTGCTGTTTGCTCCAGACATGCTGGGTAAGAGTGGGTCATGTGAAGTTTAATGAACAGCTTGAGCTGTCTTGCAAACTGAAGTCTGTGTTGGGCAAAATTCAGTTCACCAATGGTCAGTAATTCCCAAACAGGAATCTGGTTTTTAGCTCCTTGATCTGTGGATCAATGTGATGACTCTGGCAGTGCCAAAACCCTACACAAACAGCACCTGGAATTGCTGGAGGTAGCACTTCCCCAAGGGAAGCTGGAGCAGAAAGATCTCTGCTAAGAACAAAAGCCTGTAGGAAGAGTTAGGATGGGAAAGGAATCTTAACAGTCATCACACTGGCTTTTTGTCAGGCTTAGTTCAGCCCTAAGAACAGGCTTCCCACACTGGTTTCTGCTCGGCTAATTGTTTCTCTATGGCTTCTGTTGGATTACAGAGCACAGACCAGGCCGGCAGTGCAGAAACGGGAGCTGTGTGTTGGGACTGAGAGTCATCCATAACACAGAAATGAGCTGTGAAGAGTTTCTGAGGAAGGGCATTCGGTATCAGCACCTCGACCCTCGCTCGCCAGATATTGATTATATTCCACTGAGGCTGGATCTCACAGACAGCAGAAGCAAGACTCTGCACAAGGTAGAATTTTATGCAACCTTACAATGTTTGATTGTCTTCCTGATTTAAAAAAAAAAAGAAAGAAAGAAAGAAAGAAATTTGTTGCTCCCTTTCATCTTTAAGATACGTACTGGGCTTTCGTGGGTGTTTCATTGTTGTTGTTGCCAGCTGGAGAGATTAAATGTATTATGACAACATGCTACAGAGATGCAACTGTGGATGTTTACTGGTAGTCTTAAGTAGTTTAGACTAGGAGTAAAAATTAACCCTGGCATAATTCCACATCTTTATAGAGCATGAACTGCACTGACTTCAATATATATAGTAATTAATAAGCTAAGAGCTGTGTGAACATATTCAGTTAATAATAATTAATGGATCATGTACATACCTCTGTCAGGTAAAATTATTCATGAAATTCTCATTAAATTAGGTATGTTGTTTCAGCCCAGAATTAAGAACACTAATAAGACGAGTGAACACAGAAGACCTTTACTGAGGTCAAAATGATTTACTCTGGGCATTTTTTTCAATAAGATGTCTAAATTCTTCTATAATACATCACTTTAACAAGTGTCCCAACTGTCAATGTGAAGGTAATGAAAACTGAACTTACTTGGTTTGCTTCACTTCATCCTTTTTAGTTCTCCTTTTTTCTCTTTGTTGTAGACTGAGCATGCGTGGCTCCCTATTCAGATTAAAAGTGCTATGCCCAATCAAATACCAAAAGCTGTTCCAATGACAAAGTTCATCTTGGAAGTAGACCAATTTATTTTAACTCCCATTACAACCACAACAGTTGATGCTGAAGACAAGGAAACTCCAAAGTCCCTGCTGGTGTTCAACATTACAAAGCCACCTCTGCAAGGCTTCATTACTCACCTATCAGACCACACAAAGCCTGTTGGTTCCTTCACATGGAAAGATCTCAGTGAAATGCTTATTGCTTATCAGCCTCCAAACAACAGCCACACAGAGAAGAGGAATTATGAGGTAAAAGTGTGATGCCTGAATATTTTCTGTTTTTCTCAAAATTCTATAAGCTGTAAATAAACATTTTTTTTCCTTTTTTTTTTTTTTTTTCCAGAAAAAGTAAATATTCTTTCTCTAACTGTACACAATGCAGGTTCTCACACAATATCTTTTACCACATTCAGCTATGACTGATATCAGCTTACCTGTAGAATGCAAACCAGGTCTTTGCTCACAACTTAAGTAATTTCTTTGAACTCAAAAGACTTGTAACCCTTCCACGAGTGAACGTCTAAACAGTATTTTTCTTCTTGTTCATCTGTTGTTCTTATAATTATTATTTCTATTATCCCTACTTAATGAAGGGAATAGAAGCATCATTCTTCTTTTAGCAACACTCTAGAGCTTTGATAGGGCCAGCTATTCTTTTTCCACTTATGTTTTATGCCTATATGACAGTAGTGAACTCTGTGCTCTTTAGACACGTACCTAAAGCCACAGAAGGCAGACAAAGGTCAGGACTGCCACTGGATCTCACAGCCTAGTGCAGCAGTGGTGATGTAGGGATAGCATGAAGGGGTCCCTAGTAGTTCCTGCTAGGATGATTAAAACTATGTCACTAACTCTGAAAATATGACAGAAACAGTGAGAGTAGGCTGGTGCAGGTCTGTAGTAAGTAGACAGTGCCAAAGTGTGTAAGGCCAAGGTTGTAGAAACACATTTATGTTTTATGTGGAAGAACAGAGCATCACTTCTACCTTTTCCACTTTTGTTGTAAGTGATGTTTGTTGCTCCAGATCTGCCACAGAGTGCTGAAAGTGAGTATCTCCCACTTCAGGGACAGTGATGCTTTATTTTTTAAGTAACCAAAACATTTTGTGAATGAATGAAATGAATGAAGCTGTCCAAAGAAACATGACATCAGAGGAAGATAATCCAGAGAAAGGGTAAACTGGAAAGCAAAGCAGATGTGATACAATTTGGCATCTCTTGCTGATAGAACTTGCCTTTTTTAACCTCAGCTGTCAGAGGAGCTGCCTTTTTGCTGTTTCCTTAATGTGAGGAACTGTCATCTTACCAAACTCTCTGCTCTCTGAGCACATCTTCACCATTCTGCTTTTGGAATTCACTGCAGATTTAAGAATTTCTAGGCCATTGAACAGTTTGATAGATATGCTTAAATATATACATATAAAATTTTAAAATCTGTTTCTCTTTGCCAGTCTGTACTCTTTCTTCCTTTTTTTTTTTAGGTGTTAAAAAGTGGGAAAAGCCCTATTCCTTTATTATTGATATTAAAAAGTCTTATATTAATTGCTGTGTTAATTGTATCCCAATCTGTAGTTAAAATTGATTGCTACACATTGCAAATTACCCTTCCCATCTTTTGCTGGGAAGAACATTGAAGTCAAGATCAAGTACAGAATCTCAAATACACTTTATAAGCTAAATCAAGTTTCTTTTTTTAACTTATTATCTGATGTTAACTCTCCTAGGATTTATCTCTCAGAGAAGAACCCATTGCATGTGTTTTGAGGTACAGTTGTTTTTCAGGCTCTTTTTGCCAATAAATTCTTTGTCTGCTTATATTACAGCTGGAGGTTGAGGTTCATGACTTCTACTTTGAGAGGAGTTTACCAATCATAGTGCAACTTTCTATTAGAACCGCAGATACAAACGCTCCTCGGGTTTCGTGGAATACAGGTGAGATCTCTGTTCCTCAGTTTGTTCTGCTACAGAATTCATCACACTTTGGACACAGGAAATCTTGACAGAGCTATAAAATTCAGTTCTGCATCTGGAGTTGAAGGATCACTAAGTGAAAAGTGTACATTTATCTTTTTTTCTACTTGTTTTTTTTGGGGAAAATGTAGAAACTCAAATGTTTTAATTGAAATGAAAAATAAAGAAGTAGTTTAAAAAAAATAGATATATATATATGTATATATATATATATATCAGGATTTTTGTATACAGCATTTTCTCCAAGAATGAACAAGACATAAAAGAGTTTACATAATAAAGACAAATATATGATGGAGTAAAGGTTGTAGAATAGTATGTTGTCTGTACTGCTCTAAGTAGAAATCTCAAAAAAATGAGCAGAAGAACTAGAAAGATATGCTCACTCAAAATCTGAAGAGGAATGGGTTGGTAAAGCAATAGAAAGAAGCTGGGTATAGATGAAAATTGGAAACAGAAACTACAAGTGCTAAAAAGTGAGTATATGGAAAACAGACATCAGAATGTACGTTATACCATGCAGGAGAAAAACAACCACCATATGGCATGGAAGGATTGACTTGTGCAGGTCATTTTTGTATTACAGTCTGGGAACACAGGTCAGAGCATGGGACACCAACAACAATTTGAAGCCTACAAATGTTGAACTCATTCAAACAAGTTTATAATTTCCCACTGGCGAAGGGACAGACTCTTCCATTCACATTAAAATTTACACTGATATTTAGCCACAAAAGGCAAAGGCCAGACAAGTCTGAAGCTATCACCAGAGAAGGTGCAATCTCTTTGCAGTGGAATAGGATAGGATTTGAGAAAAGGAGGCCTTGTGTTTCTCAGTGAAACTCCACCTGAAATGGCTGTCCAAATAAAAAGAAGAGATACTGTTCTCCATTGTGAATATCAATATAATTTTCAAATTCGGACTCACTAAGAAATGGAGTGCCCAGCTTCAGACACTGTGAGACCTCAGGTACAATACTTTCATCTCCACAGATGTCCAGAAATCATTCTAAATGGTCTGTTTGGTAACTGGGAACCAGAATATGCTGTTTCTCTGAAATATAAATTCCTTAAATGCAACTGACTAAAGTAAAGGTAACAGTAGAGAAGATGGTACCACGCTTATAGGCGTTCTGGAGATGTCTGTCTCAGATATGTAGATGCAACCAAGCACGACTTTTTCCTGACTCCAGAAATGTTTAGAGAGGGGTACTAGCAACCTTGAGTGATGCTTTTGTGAAATAACTCTGCTGCTTGCAGGCCTCAGCCTCCTGGAAGGGCAATCCCGGCCCATCACATGGCAGCACCTACAAGTGGTAGACAATGATGACATCCAAAATGTTCGCTTGGTCACAGTTGATGGCTTACAGCATGGGCGGCTCACAGTGAGAGGTAAATAAATTCTTGTTTACACTTGGGTCCTGGAAATACCTTCCGTAGCGATGACTGGTGGCAGACCATGTGATGGTCACGGAGACACCAACAGATATGCATGAGAAGCAGATGTGCAGGGGAATGAAGGTGCAGAAGGAAAGAACAGGAATTTTGAAAGTTCACGGGTTCCTAAGGAAAATCAGTTGCATAGCATAGACATTTTGGCAAACAGTGCATTTATGTGGTCTCCATCATTAAGCAGGGGAAGAAAAAGCCTGGTATTTTTCCCACAAGCCAATTTCATACATGCAGTTGGTTTTATTTTCCTTGCTGCGCGAGAATTCAGCCCGGCGCTGTAAGAGACCATAGGCAGCAGCTGTCCTGCGGGTGTCTCCCCAGAGGCGGTGCTGGGTTGGCACTGCAGAATCAGAGAAACGGCAGCGGGGCTGTGTATGTCCTCGGGCTGCACCAGGAAGGAGGCCACGGGCACGAGAGGGAGAGCTGCTCCGGCGCTTCTCACTTCGGGAGAAGGCAGCCAGAGGAGCCGAGGGAGCACTGGAGAGGCCTTGCCCATGGCAGGCGTGCCGGCAGCCTTCCACTCCCTCTGCTGACGGCCTTCCTCTACTGCAGCCCCGCAGTAGGCACGGGCACGGCTGTGCAGCTGAAAACAAAACAAAAAAACCCCACAACTCAACCCCAAACAGACAAACAAAAATCAGAACAGACGACAACCCAAACAACAACAACAAAAGCATGTATTTAAGCTTTTTACTTTCTGAACTTTCAACTGAATCCCAAAGCTGAAAATTTAAAGCAATCATTGTGATAGAGCAGGCACGGCCTAGGCTAAACGCATGTGTTATGTTTTGCCAACCGAGGATGGTTAAGGAGTAATGAGAGATTTTGATTCATTGGCAAATACAGAAGACATTTAGATATGGATGCTATTTTCTGTCAGTTTAAAAGCTTATTTGAAAAAAGAGGCAATTAAATTACTTCTAATTTTCTAGCCCTCTGCATTTTCACTATTACTGATTTTGCTTTGCAGTCTGATGAGTAATTGCAGTGCTGTTCTCTTTGGGAATAAAACAATTAGGTAAGAGAAATCACTGCTGTTAGCAAGGTGGAAAGATGCTGCCACTCTTAATGCTGGCTTTTGATGGTTAAATGTTTTTAAGTAAAACGCACAGCCTAGAAACATAGAACAACTATTTTAATAAAGGAAGAAGGCGATGCATAGAATTTGACAGAAATAGAAACTACTGAGACATATGAATTATGTTTCATCTTAGGAAACTCCTGGCATGCAGTTTTGCGGTCTGTGTGACCAGCTGTCTGCCACCTTATAAGCAGACGCTCTCAGTGCCTTCATTTCCAGAGGAGCTCATGTAGGAGGTGGACCAGGGACAATCTGATGTGAGCCAGCACCCACTGCATCAGAGCAGGGATTCCTGCAACTGCAGTGTGATCAGTGCGGTGCTTTGAGTGCTCATGCACCAGGTTTTGTAATGCCAGTCCTAGGCAAAAGCCCCAAGAGAGAAAGAGGAATACATGGTATTGCTCTCTGCCTCCTGTCACCTCTAACAGGTTTTTGTTTGGTGAAGACGTAATAGTTATCACTGCACCCTAAAAGCTACTTGTAATTCTCTTCAAGTAAGGAACAAAGGGAGTGAAAATGCACCTGCAGCTATGGGTGTCTCTGTGCATGTCACACAGCTTGGAGGGCCAAAAATATTTTCCTTAGAGGCCCTTGGTATACCATCTGTTCCTGCATCAGCTGGGAGTTCACAAAACTTTGAGATATATTCTTTAACCTGCCTGAAATATTTTATGAGTGAATAACATGCTCAGTGAAATGCCCATAGTCTCTTTCATGCACAATCATCTGCAGAGAAAAAAACCAAGAGCCGCAAATGTAATTTCTTATTTTCACTGAAACAAGGAATTGTAATTACAGAGCACAGCATCCTCGATTCTTGAAATAAAAGCAAAGTGTCCTGATAAGTAAGCAGTTTGAAATTAAAGTGAAAATAGTCATAGTTAAAAATTGCTGGTATCTTGAACTGTCTTAATGCAGTACACATTTAGAAGATTTTTCTGCGCTACTATGGTTGTAAATTCTGCATTCTTAACTGTTCTGATATCTGCAAACTTATTTCCAGTAGAATAATGTGTTTGTTTCTACACATTTGTGATGCATTTGTTTCTACTGTTTTGACAGGAGGAAAAGGATTCATGTTTTCAGTTTCTGATATTGAGACTGGAGTTGTTTACTACCATCATGATGACAGTGATTCCACAAAGGATTTTGTGGTGTTCAGGATTTTTGATGGCCTGCACAGTATTCGCCATAAGTTTCCAATCAATATTCTCCCTAAAGATGACAGCCCTCCATTTCTTATCAGCAATGTGGCAATTGAAGCACAGGAGGGACAGACAATCCTGATCCAGGGCTTCATGCTTCAAGCTTCTGACATGGATTCCAGTGATGACTACATAGTATTCAATATTACCAAGCCACCACAGGCTGGAGAAATCATGAAGAAACCAGGGCCAAACTTAATAGGTAACGAAACACATCCACAATAGCACAATTTTCTTTTTCCTCTCATTTTTTTAAACTGTATTAAACATGACTTAACTTCAGCTCAGGCTGAATCATGGAAACTTTAAACTTTTGTTATTACATGTGCAAATTCTCACTTTTCTTTAATGTTGGTCTATGTTTGCACCAGGAAAGTTGTGTCTGAATACAATTCAGCACATAAGTTTTCCATCTATTTCTCCAATTTGGGGGTTGTTTTTTTTTTTCCTCAAGAGGAACTGAGCTAGTCAGGAGATACTTTATCTACAAGGCTCAAAGCTAGTAGATGAACTGAGCTCAGAATTCCTGTGTTAGACTGTGGAGTCTGCCTGTAATGCAGATTCTTTTATCCTCTACATAGAGCTGTTAGCCAGTTGCTGTGTTGCTTCATTTTTTGAATGGTTACTGAATGACATGGAAATGAAAATGATGATCTGCAGGAAATGTGAAAGACAATGAGAAAACATTTCAAAGATCTTGCCTTAGCTGGAGTGAGAAAAGAGGCATGATGCCTCACTGTTTATTTGCACTGGTAATGGATAGTATTTATGAAGGATTAAAGTTATGCACAATTGAATAGAAGATATATTCTTTAACTAAACAGGGTATCCTGTCAGCAGTTTTCTTCAGAGAGATCTGTTTAATGGAATAATTTACTATCATCATTTGGGAGGAGAAGTATTTGAAGATTCTATTGAGTTTGTACTGTGTGATAGCCATGACCCTCCCAATCTCTCAGAGCCACAGGTATGACATTGAACCATCTCTGGGAGGGAACTTTCAACTTCTGCAAGATTTTCAAATAAAACTGGGATAGGTCTCTCCTATTTGCCATCAACCATACTTCTTCACTTACTTGTTTTTCATGGGGTAATGCTCTCTGTCTATTCTCAGTGAATTTCTCCCAAACTGTAACATTAAATGCTGAAAATATTAGATTCAGAGATGATACAAACAAACCAAACAGCCCTCCTGAAGCCAAAGTGAATGTACTATTCCACCCAGGAGTTGAACATCTAGAATTGCTTGTGAAAAAAAGGAATAGTGCTGAGAGCTGTGAGATTTGAGTGTCGTGTATCTCGTATTCCAGTGATATAGTTATTTCTGTGTGCAAGTGTGTAAACTATTGCTTGGACACTTTCTCATCAAGGGAACGGTTGTTGATTTTGCCATCTTCTGATTTTAGGTGATGATGGTGCACATTATACCTGTGGATGATCAGCTACCCAGAGAAGCCCCAGGAGTGACCCGTCACCTGGTTGTTAAGGAGACTGAGATTGCTTACCTAACTAAGAAACATCTCCACTTTATAGATATGGAAGAGCATGATAGGGAACTCACGTACACCATAACCACTTCCCCATTTTTCTCTTGTGTGCATGGGTAGGTGTGGCCTGCTGTATCTTCCAGGTGGGATCGAGCAAAGCCTCTTGTAAGAGTAGCAGTTTCAGTGGTGACAGAATGCCTGTATTTCAGGATTTCCAACTGTTTGCTTAAAGTACGGGTGATAATAGCTGAATGCATATCTCTTGTCAATATTTAAGGCTGAGCTAAAAGCAGCAGAATAATACACAGAATAATATAGTTGCATTGTTTAGCAAGAAAGAAGAAGAAATGCACCTGAAATCTCTATCTCAGATTTGCACTTTACACTGGACAGTTGGATTCTATATCTCCTTGGATACAGTTCACAGAAGCTTTAGTAATGAATAGATTGGTGTTTACCTGGAGCTACCCAGACTGAGAACATGAGGTGCTACAGCTATTTCTAGGCAGTGCACTACTGCCACAGTGTTGTGAGGTCCTGGATCAGGAACCTGTGCAGCAGAATGGCAGGCAGGACAGGCTGCAGGGCACAAGAAGGGCATGTGGTAAATGGCTGTAAGAGCAATTTATGTGTTGCTGAAGCTGTTTCACTGTTTGGTAAAATGTATTTTTGCAGTTGGTTGCATTGACAACTATCTGCTAAACAGAAAATTTTAAACCGCTGTATGATTTATGCTGCAGATCAACATCTGCAATTCTGACCTCAAGCCACAAAGAACCAGTAAGTAGCAGAGGGAATGGTGTTTAGACAGCTCCCTGTCCAGCTGATGAGGCAGAGGCACTGCTGTTGTCTTCATTGCATAGATGGCTTGGTCAAACTTGACTGGAGAAGTTGTAAGATGAAAGAGAAACAGAATAATTTCATTTTTTTTACATACTCATAGTTGCAGGCATGTAAGCATTGGGAGTGTGATGGGCTAGCACTGCAGGTGTGTAAATAGGCCCAGTTGCACTGACGCTGATAGCTGAAATGTGCAGAGTCACATCAGCAGAAATCCCAGTGCTTGCTTATAAGGTATGCAGTAATTTTTTTCACAGTGCTGAAAGACTCACATGTGTGAATGTTCTATCATAAACTTTGAAGAATAGTAGAGATAGAAGAAAGAAAAAGTTTTTCCTTTCAGTGAAGTTGGGAGTGGGAAGTTAATTTGAAACACAAGACTAAACTTCATGATTGCTGTTTTTCCTGTTCTTTAGTATTGCTAACATGCATGTTTCTGTACAGCCACTCCGATGCTGGGAAGCTGTTTATGGTGGACACCATCCCCAAACTGGTCAAGGATCCTGCTGCTCTTGCTCTGAGGTCATTTACTCAGGTTTGTTGTGTTACAAAGTAGTATAAATGGTACCAAACACTCTTAAGAACAGTCACACACTTACAGCTTTTTCCTGATAAGAAAACAAGAGGTGAAAAGTGAATTGCAGTATTATTACATGAACACTGCTTTAGAAGAGCTAATTAAATTCTTGCTAATTCAATTCCAATTTTTAAAACAAATTTTCATCATGCTTCATATCTGCAAATGTAACTCTTCATCTGAAAGCTCTAGGGATTGCAATTGCTTAGGATGGGCTGAATTTGGCTTCTTTATGATGCTGAGATGAAAAAAACTGCACAAAATACAGAAATGGAGCCCTGACAGTTCTCTGTTTCTCCTCGGTGTCTCCACTGGTGGCTGTGGAACAGGCTGGAACAGGCCTACATTCTCTTTTTCAGGATTTTGTTCTGTAGTTTGACAGATGTCTTTTTTTGGAATATTGTTAATGTGTCCTGTTCTGTATCATGAAGAATGGTTAAGGCTTTGTAGTGGTGACCACCGTAATACTGCAGTGGTGAGTCTACCTGAGTCTACCTGGCCTGAATCTCTGGCCTGGTATGTGTATCTGAATGGAAGATTCTGGTGATTATTTTAGTCTCTTTCACTGGCCTGTCTGTGTGGGCACCCTACCTTGGTGGGCAGAATGTTGCGAACTGGCAGTGGATAAAGAGTGTAAGCAGTTTATGGAATAAATTTTGAAAGTTCATGTAACATCAAAAGAGGGGATGAAATAAGTTCTTAACGTCCTGGCTAATGGCTACACCCATCTTCTCCTCTTATGTGAACGCCTCTTCACTTTTTGCAGCACGCTGTGAACTATATGAAAGTTGCTTACATGCCCCCACTGCAGGACATTGGGCCCAATCCTCGGCAAGTCCAGTTTGTATTTTCTGTCAGCAATCAGCATGGTGGCACTCTGTATGGAATCTGCTTCAATATTACCATTCTTCCTGTGGACAACCAAGCCCCAAAGGTAGGATGATGGAGAGGCAAAGGGTGAAGAGTTTGGAAATGGCTTTGGGTAGCAACAGAAATGTAGGGAAGTCTCCTGACTGGACTGACTTAAAAGAAAAATCTTCCATGGGAAAGGGTTTCAGTGTCTGGCATGTTGACTTCACTGGGGCAGAAGAGGAAGGCAATGTTTGGTTAGAGTGCAAGGTGATTTTTTGCAACACGTAAGCTAAGGGCTGCAATCACAAGTCCTATATCCCTCCTTAATTGCTTATAGGATTCTGAATGAGATCAGATCAGGATGTATATATATATCAGCACATATTGTTTGCAAATTCCTTATGTTTTTCCAACACAGCAGAAAAGAGTACAGCCTTTGGCATTTTGACTTTTAAGGTGTCACATGAACTAGTACTACAAAAAATTGAAGATGAAAACATCAATTCATCATTCTCCTCCATGCAGGTTTTTACAAGCCACTTGAGGGTGGAAGAGGGTGGCCTGAGCCCTGTCACAGAGGCACACATTCTGGTCTCTGATGTGGACACGAAACAGGAACATCTCTTCCTCCTCCTGCAGCAACAGCCTCAGCATGGGGCAGTGGAGCTGGATGGTGTTCCCATGAAGGAGGGTGACAAGCTTTCCTGCGGGGACCTGCGTAGCCTGGCAGTCAGGTTAGAAAAGTGGCTGCTTTTCTTCTCGTGATAGCTGAGTGTTCTGGCTAGATGAGCAAGACCACTGTGGAGAGGCAGATCAAGGTGTGGAGGCTACAGCAGGTAGTGCTCACCATTGCACTGCTCAGATAGTGTTGCTCCAAGCCAAAACTTGTTGAACCTGATGACCACAATGGTCACTGTGGTGTCTGAGCAGAGGTGTGGCCAGTAAGTGGAGCTGCCATGGCCAGATGTAAGTAGGTTTCTCTATAAAATACTGCCCTGTGCAGGTGAGGAGGCAATTCTTTGTTCAGCCATATAGCTCTTGTGAAGAGGGCAATGTTTACAAGCTTCTTCTTTTATGGAAGTTACGTGTTTATCAGACTTACAAGAAGGCTTGTTTTGACACTGATTAATCTGAAGATGCAAATATTGCTGCTGTATTTGTGGTGAGAACAGGATGCTGACTTCCTACATACATGCAAAATTAGAGCTCCTTGACTTTATTTCATTCTGTTAGTTAAAGAAGGCTGTCCTACAATGGCTGTTCCTAAATTGTTGCCTCCTATTGCATTGTGTTGTCATCAGAGGTGGATGCTGGTGGTAGGGCAGTGGAAGTAGAAGCTTCCCACCAATAGTCCCTTATACTTTGTTGCTGTGTGACACATGGCAGCAGAGGGGCAGTCTGACACAAGGATATCTGAGATGGAAGTGTGTATGAGACAATGGTGTGGAACTGAATTCCTCCATGTGGGAAAAATGGCACTCTGACATTCATTGACAGTTCCTGAATGTTTATGGAAACTAAACAGAAGATGAGAACACAGAGAGGCTGTCTGTAGGTGGTACAGTATGCAGGATCTTGTTTATTGCTGGTGAAAATACAGCATGACTATGCTGAAAAATATTGTTTGAGTAGTTGAGAATTTCCTCTATCCAACAGTGTTATTGTGCTCTTTGTATCTGTTGTAGTTTTCATGGAAATAAATAGGCCTTACTTCCGTTGCAACCTCCGTACTGCAGAGAGAAAGCCTCTTTAATAGGTAACTCACAAACAGCCATACTGCAGATGACAGAGGTTCAGTGAAAACTTTTCCTAGCTGGTAACTGTCTTATCTTGGGGGTATTCTTCATGCTAGATATCTCACAAACTCCTTGAACCCACTGTGATCTAGAACTCCAAGTCTTAGCTAGGTAACCTTGCACAGGAATTGGCTTTCTGGTTTGGAGAGATCTGCACTATCTGGCATGACCAGAAACCACAGCTTCTTTGTCTGTGTGAAATTATTTAGCTCTTTTTTTTTTTTTCAGTTATCGGCATGATGGTTCTGAGACGTTTACAGACAGAGTCCTTTTTGCAGCCACAGATGGCATCCACTCCTTAGAGTTCACCCTGCAGGTCAAGGTCAGTGTGTTGAAAACTTCTGAGAGCATTTGTCTATGTAAAATACTGCAAAGTTTACTTTCTGAAAGTCTTTATATCCCCTTACAAGGGTTTGTTAGGCTTTCTTTTTCACACCATCTTTCAGGTTAGTGTGCCAAATGTAAAAGCCAGTTTTTCTCATACTGTTTGAAGGGCATTTGTGTTTGCTTTAACTTGAGCTCTTCTGCCCGGAATTATTCTCTCTGTAATTAAACATAGGAGGGAGTTTTCATTCTTCAACTATAAATATCACTGCCAAAATTGTGCAGTCAATTTAAAGATATGCAGTGGATTTTCATTTTTCTCACTGAGAAACTGAAGACAAAAGGAAGTGTACCATTTCCTCCACACAGTCTGCTTAGTTTCGTTTACTTTTGTTGTTGGATTTTACCAGTGGCCCTAATTCAGTTGTTTAATGCAGTTCACAGAGTGAACTGTGTATTCTGACTCTAACACTTTGTTGCTGGTTTGAACCAGAAAGCAAAACATTTAAAACTGCAGATTTTCATTGGAATGACAATAAAAGATGTTAAATTCTCTTTCTGATTAGGTGTTGCCTGTGAATGATGAGCCACCTGTTATGCAAACAGGGCTTATCAATGTGGTACGCTGCCCGGAGGGTGGAGAAGTGGTCCTCTCATCAGAGTACATATATGCCACAGATGCAGACAGTGATGACATGAAGCTGGTGTTCGTGCTGGTTCGCCAGCCCTCCCAGGGGGTGCTGAGAAAAGCCGGAATTGTTGTGGAGCGTTTCTCCCAGGCTGATGTCATCTCTGGCTTAGTCACCTATAAGCATACTGGTAAGGGAGACTGGGAGGTGGTCAGACAGCGTTGGTGGAAAATCTTCACCTAAATCCACAAAATCTTTGCAGTAGGAGCTGCTGAGAAACCACGTGTTGTGACTGGAGAAAAAGCTAAGCTGGTTTTGAAACAGGTCTGATGGTGTAAAACTACCAACTGCTTCAATTCATTTCCAAGTTCCTTTTGAACTGAAAATTAAAGTAGATCAAACATATGAAATCATCATAATTCTCGAAAATATCTTTCACTGCTGCAGATACAATATGATTTTTTTTCCCCAGGAAAATTATTGATAAAACAGGAACTAAATGCAGTATTTTTATTTGTTTCATGACATTAAGGAAATCTTTGACTTTATTCCATAATTGTGTTAGCTCAAGTAATGTAATGTTCGGTATGAGGATGCAGAATTTTAATAGAAAACTGCTGACAACCTGAGGTGCTAACTGCTCCTCTTGCCGGTCTGCATAGGTACTCATTTTTGGAGAGATTACAGTCCATCTTTACCTCAAGGTAAAGAATTGTTCCAGATTCTTCAAGGAAATGGCGATTCTAAAAATACATCATTTTGTGGTTTTATCTTTAATATCCCCAAATACTTTTTGTAAAATTACTCATAAAATTCAATGGCTGGTTAACTCCCTTTCCTGCTTAATTTGGTTCTTTCATTAGCACGAAAGGGATTCTCATCCATGATAACAGCTTTAATCTTTTTTTTTTTTTTTTTTTTTTTTTTTTTTTTTTTTTTTTTTTTTTTTCCTCCAAAGGCTCTGGTTTTCTGTGTAATTAGTCTGTAATTTTGTGCTAGCGTGGGGAATATATGTGATATTTTCAGGCTTGGCACTGTCTAAAATGAACAGCTGGTATTTGAGAAGAGAATGAAGTACTTGATTATGGCTACTCATAACAAACTTTTCTTCAATATCCTTAAGATACTGGGAATGCTGTTTTTATGGCAGTGCTTCGCAGGGCAACCAGGGGTAGAATCTGACTTTCACAGGCACAATTGCCTGTATTTCATGTTCCCTAACTTCTACATGGTAAATGTGCTGCCAGTACTTACTGTATGTGGGGCAGGGAGTCACTGCCCTTTGTAGTTAATGTATCAGCCTGAGAATTGGGCTGCACTCACCCTTGGATAGTTCTTGCAAGGGCTGTCAGCTTCCAGTCATTTTACCATAATTTTTTTGAAGCCATTTTGGTCTCCCTTCTGCCTGCAGACTCTCCTAGCAGTATACAAGGTTCTTCTTCATAAATTTTCATTTCCCTACAGTAAGACATTTATTCTCAAATGCAACATTTTTAAAATTTTTTTTTTTTTCCAGGTGGGGAAATTGGCTTGAATCTTTCCTTTGAGATCTTAACTTTTGTTGTTTCTGATGATGAAGCTGACCCAGATGTGAAAGACTGCTGTTATGATAGACCTCTTCCTCCTCCAGTTCCTCTTCACCGTCCACTCCCAGTGTATGACCTTAACATCACTGTACTTCCAGTGGACAACCAACCTCCATCTATTGCAACTGGTGAAAGTTTCCTCTTACTACAGCATATTATTATAACTGTACTATGCAGTACTGAGAGAGTCAGCTGAGATCAGCATGTAAAAGTTTTGAATCAGAATTCCATTTTTTTTCTTGTGCTAGTACAGTGTAACCGCCAAATTCAGTTGCAAGTACAAATGTCAGTAATGTCTTGTGACTCTTCAGCTGCATGCTTAAACCATGTGGCTGGAGATAAGAGTGCTTGCATCTGCTCCTATCCATCTATATACATGTACTGTTGCACACATAAGCTATGTTGGAATAAAACTGAGCAACATCTCATCCTTGAACTTAGGTTCAGGCAATTGTTAGGTTTATACAGTGCAAAAATATAACTCTACATCAATCTTTGCATGTTAAGAACACAACAAAGTATTAGTTTGAATAAATATTTAAATATCAAGGGAGGAAATATTTTATTTCCTATACTCTGTTGATGAATAAAGACAATCCTAGACTACGTCTGTAACTGACCAAATTAATAAGGAAATCACATTTTCGCCAGTACTTTTCAGAATCAAAAACACTCAGATGAAAAATAAACAGTTGTGGTAATGTACATTTAGCCCAACAACAGGACAGACAGTGAAATTTCCATTTAATCACAGGTTTTGGATGAGATATATTTGTTAAAGGTGTGTTCTCTATATGTTTATCATTTTCAATGTCATTTGTTTGTAGGCATCACGTATATGTTCTGTATTCCAGAGAATATTTAAGCATATGTATGAGTAGTTCTGTAATTTACAGTCTATCACCTAAGCAATGTTCTGGAAATGAAGCATTGTCCCAGCAGGGAAATTAAGCAGTGGTGCATGAGAAATTGTTCATTATGTGCAATTCGTAACAGTTATCATGTAATTAATGCTCTGACAAACAGAGGTAACAACTGATTTTGAACAGCACGTAAACCGTACTTAATAACTTACCAGTAAAATCAATTTGCAGTACCCTTCCCTTCTGCTTTGTGATGGGGAAAGTTGACAGTGTAAGCAAAAATCTCAAAAACAAACCAATTTCAGTAACAGATAATTTATTATCTTTTCCTCCTTATTTATTATTTCTGTTCTCATTAACACATACAACAGTAAGTGAGCTAAATATGCAGTAATGCTTCTCATATATTTTTGTGCAGGTGCAAGGTTTGTTGTGGAGGAGGGCTCCTCAACAGCCCTTACCTCTAACCATTTGTTTGCCACCGACCCTGACACCACTGCAGATGACTTAGAGTTTGTCTTGGTTTCTCCTCCTCAGTTTGGTTATATTGAAAATATACTGCCTTCTCCTGGGTTTGAGAAGAGTAACATTGGGATAAGTATAGGTAAGTGTATGCAATGTACAGCAACGAAGCAGAGGAAACACAGAGTGCTTATGGAGGGCAATACAATGGGCTGTGGAAAGGTAGATGCAGGTGCGAGCATTAATATGGTCTTATTGATGAAAGCAGCTGCTGGCAAATTAAGAGCAGTGGGACTGTGCAGGAGGACTTCAAAGAGAGTCTGCAGTTCTGCAAATGTGAAGAAGAGGTACTTGGAGTAAACAAGGCAATTCTTCTTTTATGCATCCCAGCTGCAATCTATTAGAGGTAGCAATATGAAACATTAATCTGCTTTCTCTGCCTCCCCCTTCACTCTCTCAAGCAAGCTTCTCTCTGCCTCTCTTCACTTCTGTCAATAAAGTGCTATAACTGAGAATATGAAAAACCTGGATCCTGTGTTTATCTCCAAGGCAAAGTTTCAGAATTGATTTGGTCATTGAAGGACATCATTTCAGAATTGTTTACGCTGTGTCAAGCCAGTGGGCAGGAAAACAATCATGCTAACTCAACATTTCTAAAATTTCTAGCTTCGTTTCAGTTGAAGCACCTGAAAGCCCTGAATATAAACTATGTACAAGCCAGGCACATGCGAATGGAGCCAAGAGCAGACCACTTTGTACTTTATGTCACCGATGGCCTGCATCGTTCGGCAGAGATTCCATTTTTTGTGCTGATCAACCCAACCAATGATGAAGTCCCAGAATTCATAGCAAGAAACATTACTGTAAGGAAAAAAGTAAAATGCCTGCCATAGAATTACTTTATACCAGAAAATACTTTCTAATTTAAATCAAAACATTTTTTGAACACATATTTCTCTATATCTCTCCTTTCCTTTGCATGATTCAGATTGTTTTAGGAAACAGTTCAGGTAAATCCCATTAAATCTGTACGACAGAGCTTTGGTGAGACTGGAGCTGTGCACAATTCTGTTTGGTAACCTGCAGTAAAGTAAGTGAGGACTTAAAGAAATATGTTATCTAGAATGCGGAAGGATCTTTATACTTCTGTTTTCACTAGTGTCTTTCATAACTTTTGCAGAGTAATTTTTGTACCTGGTATAGTGTATCTAGACTGTGGTTTTAATATGAATAATAACTGTGTGACAAGCAAGCAACTGAGGAAGGGATAGAGGAAACAGACTCCTAAACAAAAATTGCCTACTTAGGAAACCATGCTAAAATATTTATGTTCTTTTTATGTAAAAGAGTATGACATTTTTTTCTTTTATGTTCAGGTTCAAGAAGGTATGATGAAAGAGCTGGATCTCTCTGTTATCAATGCTGTTGATCTGGATGTGCCTCAAGACCACTTGGTATTTGATGTTGTGCAGCAGCCTTCACATGGATTCCTCATTAATGGAGTTCATGGCAGTGATATTCTACAGTACAAAAAGTTAATTCACCACCACAGCAGTGGGTTGCTTGTTCATGACTTTTCTATGGAGCAACTGAAGAATGGTAGGTGCAATGTTCTTCTGATGCTAGTCTTTCATTCCTTTAGTAATTCGTAACAGACAAGGAGGCACAGTAAAAAATCTGTTTATTCATTTGCCTTACGGGTACTTTCAAGAGAAAGTTTAAGAATAGAAATAAACCTATCTAATGCTAATGTTATCAAATGATTTGAGGAGCTGTCAATAAATTCACCCTGAGAGGCTTACATGTCAGGAAGGGTAGTAGTATATCTAGAGAGTCCATCTGCCCTGAAAAAAACAAAGGGAATATTAAAACATATCATCAAGACATTTCAGAATGTTTTACAACTCCTAAAATAGAGACAAAGAAACTGATTTAAAAACATATTAGAATGATTATGAGAAATCTTGCGATTAGATATTGCTGTAAATGAAAAGAATATAAAATGGCTCATTAGCTTACCATTATCAGTTATCCTACTTTGAAGTGGCAAACATCTTTCAAGAACATGTGATTAAATTTGTATTTATAATTTAAAACTATGGTAGATTCTTCCATATTGAGGCCACTGTGTGGAAACTGTATCTATCAGTATCAAGAGAGACATAAATTTAATTCAGCCTCACAAAATGTAGTTCAGTCTGCAAATCCTGAGGAAAAGACTTTTTTCCACCCATCAAGAAATATCCCTCAAAAATGCATAAGCAACAAACATTACTAAGACTTCTCAAGTTTTATTTTCTACTCTCTTCCAATTGCTGGGCTTTTTCATCATTTCCATAATGGAGAACCAGTCATATTCAGGTCAGCTATAGCCACAAGTCCAGCTTTCCTTTCCAAGACTTTAAAGCTTCCTGAAGATTAGGTGAGGTACAGGAGGTGTTAACTGATGATCCTACCCTTTCTACATTTCCTGTTAAAATGAATTGGAGTGAGGGGAGCAGACTAACAGAGACCATTTTATGAGGGAGACTGCTCCTTCAGGTTGATAGGCTTAGTGTCTTTGAATCACTAGTATACTGTTAGATTAATGAACAGAAGCAGCTCACTAAGCTCATCTTTTGGTATTGAACAATAATTATTGTGGCCAGGGAGTGTATAGAGAGGAGATGGAAGAAGAGTGATGGAAGCAGAGTGAAACAGTACAAAATATTTTGCAGGAGACAGATTTATTTGTTTTATCTTCTCTCTCTCTCTGTCTTTCCTAATTTTTTTTCCCTGATGTATAGGTATGAAACTGATGTACATGCATGACGATTCAGAAAACCTCAATGACAGCTTTAAAATCCAGCTATCAGATGGGAAACATAAAGTCCTCAGAACCATTTCAGTAAAGGTCATCCCAGTTAATGATGAGAAACCAGTGCTGAGCAAGTAAGCCACATGTTCCTGTTTCTGACAGGAAAAAATTCAGATAAAATGATCCAAAAATGATCAAAACAGCTAATCAGTGACTGATAGGGATAGGACACCATAATTAGTCACAGCCTAATGCCAACACAGATGTTTCCATGTGGGTCATTCACTATTAGTCTGTTTTGTAAAAGCATTTTTAGAGAAAGAAGGGCATACTGAATGTTGCTATATATTAAGAAAATAGGATTGGTATTTGCATTTAGAGAGAAAATATTAAAAAAGATGGACAACAAATTTGGTTTATCTTTTGCAGTCAACTTCAAAACTGGACAGGGAGCCCCAGTACTTACACATGTCCACCATGTTACCCATCCCAGATGCTTTGCTTTCCTCTTCCCTAGGAAACTGCCTGTATCAAACACTCCTCTGGAAGCAGCTCTGGATTTTGGCATGAGAGAGACTACAAAGTTGATATCTTCATGCCTCATTGGGGAAAGTCTTTCACTTTGATGATAATCTTATTTTCTACTAAAAATACTCTATTTCATAGCCATAATTCAACTTTTGAAGAGGTATACATTAACTTCCTTTACTGTCCAAAACTAGAATTCATAAATGAATTAGATCTGGTCAGAAATCTCCTGGCAGACAATTTTCAGATAAACAGCTGGCTGTGAGTGAGTTGAACCTCCTGGACATTACAGCAGGGAACTTGTCCCTTGGGATCCTCATTTTTCAGCCACAGAGTATTGTCAGGGACTCCATCCCCCTGGCTGCTTTCCAGTCTTAGGCAGGCAGATGGAGAGCTGGGGGCTTGAAAGCTTTGGGGATATGGCTCCAAAGCCTACATTTTAGAAATGACTCACAGCCTGTCAAGCAGGCTGCCATTAAAATAGGAATTCTGATCCCTCAGGATGTTTAGATAGAGAATAGCCTGGTTTTGGCTTATCTTCAAACGAGACCTACATTTACTATTCTAGAGAATTCTGAATGTTTTGTTTACAATGTAGATCTTCCTTCAATAACAAATGTTAGTTATCTAGTGAGAATTATCAAGGGACACATAGTGATAACAAGGGGGAAAGTCAATTTTGAATTAGAATAAAGGATATAGTTTATGTAGTCATATCAGATTCTGATAGTCAATGATTAAATGCCACTTCTAGTTTGTCCTTTTCTTGTTAAAGGTTAGTATGTTGTTTTTCATTGTTTTTCTCTGAAGAAATGTGATGGAGAGCAGGAAGCTGAGTTTTTATCTTTGCCCAGCTGGATCCAGAAACCATTGCTTCTTTGGCTGGCAATGCTAATTTGACACTTCTGTTGTGAACAGTAGCATACACTGAGCCATTTCCTTGTCAAACAGCTTTTTCATTGTATGCTCTTAATGCTTCTTACCTGTTAGACTTCCACGGTGATGCTTTTTAGTATTACTCTTCCGTTGTGATATGGTATAATACCAGCTGTTAGGTAGTAGTACTCTAACTTGTCCAACTTGACATAGAAGTAGTTTAACCATCGTGTGCAACTGTCCATCTTTGCTGGGGGGTAGGGGTTCCCTTATGCTGTCACTGCAGTGTGTTACAGGTGAACATATGACAGTACCCTTTGATCTAATTGTACCTTTTTGCCCCAAGGAGTTTCAGTTCTCATCTCCATTAGCTGTGGTCAACACGCTGAAGAATGGCTGGCAAATTGTCCCTATCAACAGTGACTGCCAAAAATTCAATCTGTCACTACTTGGATTGCATCCTTTAGCAAGGAGTGCCTTTGGGGAATGTAAGGCCCTCGTGCATTCTCCTTGAAAGTTTAATCTCAAGATCAGATATGTGGGTGCTATGAAGACTTAACTGATTAACTGCTATGCAGAAAAATGTGTTGGGATTAGAATGCATTTGGAGAACATACATAATTGTGTTTATCTTCTGTCATTGTTTGTTTGAGTTTTTACTTCCTAGCTTACACAGTCTCTGGGTCAGATACTTGGTCTTTCAGTTCGCAAAGCCCCAGTGTGATTATCAGTGACATGAATAGAACTTTGGAGTTGCCTGACCTGTCATTAATATGACTTGAAGTGCCTTGTTATACGATCCCATTTTTGTTGCTTCTCATTTTGCCAGACATGAAATCTCTATGCCTCATACTCAGTTTGAATATGGAAACTTTATGAAAAAAGCTAAATTTTTTCCAAGGACAGTAATTATATTTTCAGATATCAATGAATAATTTTTAGACCTCATTTGGAAGTCTTAGTTGTTACTCTGTCTTGAAGCAAGCCTTTCATATTTAGCAAATGAAATGGCTGTTCCAGGGAGAATGTCTTTGGTCACTTTTGTGAAAATCCACCAGTATTTGGCCTTCGAAATGATATGACTTGCACATGCTTAGTTGAGTCTGGTAAAGCTTATCTGCCAAAATACATAAGGAATCTGCCCTTTTGAACCTGCTCTGTGCCCTCTATGCAGATTACCTTGAGCAGGTCCCATCCCTTGGGTGTCTGAATATGCTGAATCCCCTCCAAGCTCTATGAAACTTTTCTGTAGTCTTCTAATGTGATTTGGATGCTACATTACAAAAATATAAGGTAGCTAACAGAAAAAATAGTAAAGCAGTATGTGCAAAGGCAGAATGAAGGATAATTTCTAGCTGAAAACTGAAACAGAAGAGACACGGTCAATTTTTCTAAAGCAATTGTCTGGACTTATTTCAAACCATGTGGGATTTTCCCATAAGCTCTCTCAAATTTGCTTTGGCTAATGATGACTATTTCTTCTGGATCAAGAACACAGAAAAATTCTGCAATGAGGAGCATAGAGAAGTCATTTAGGACTTTGTCGGGCAGAGTCTATTAAAGATAAAAAATTAGCGTTCAATAGAATCTTTTATTTAAGTAACGATGGAGCTAATATTCTATGATCTGTAGTAGCAGTAGCATGTTAAAACAGCCTTTTTGGTTATGTTGCCATCACTGTGAGAGGGTAAATGGAATAGGACCCGGGGGAAAAGACAGGTGTGATAAATTCCAGAATGTTGTAGGTAGCTGCTTTGTTGTTTTTCACCACTACTAGAAGTAGCTGGTCTATCCTGTTTCTCTATTGAACTGAAGTAGGAGCCCTCATTCCATTCTTTCTTCAGTTATTTCTGTCAGCATGTGAGTAATCTGTATTCCCAGAAGAGAAATTATATGCTGCAAAACTTGCATTTCTTTTGTTATGTCATATATAACTTCTAATTTTTTGCAGGAAGGATAATATAGAGATGCATATGGGTGAAACTCGAATTATTTCTGGTGCTGTTCTGTCAGCTGAAGATAAAGATACCCCTAGAGAGAGAATTTACTACTTATTTGAAAGAGTTCCAGAAAATGGCCAGCTTCAAATCAAGGTTAGTCTTTGTATTTCAGGATAAAGTAGGCATGCAAGCAACTCTGCTTTGTTAGGACATAGTGAAGCTTGTCTTCCTTTTGTCCAAATCTCTTTCATGTTTTGAAGTAGACTGTTATGGCTAGTTCAACAGTAAAAGGAGTATTTAAACTAAACAATACTTTCTCAGAGAATTTGACACGTAATATCCTCAACAAGAGCAGAGGGAAGATGAGAAGCATAGCAGATCATTTGAGGTGACAATGAAGAGAGATGCTGTAAGAGTCAGCTCAGAGTGATAGAAAGCAAATGATAAAGCAGGGAGCAAAAATTCCTAGGTCAGTAAAGGTGACAAGTAAGACAGTACTTCAGATTTCAGAAAAAATGCAGGAGATATGGCTGAAAGAGGAAGAAATAAATAATGATTTAGAATAAAAATATGGGGAGAAAGAAGAAAAAAAGGAATAAAAAAATATATAGCAAGCACAGATCAACCTAACATAAGCCACTGTAACAAAAAGAAGAAAACCCACCTCCTTTTAAATGTGTGCATATCATAGAAAATAATTGATTTTCAAGATCTGTGAATGTGAAAGTATTTTAATTGTGGATCTCTGCAAGAATCTGTAGACTCTGTGAAAATTTTGACTTATAAGAGGCTCATACGCTAGGACAAAAGTGCTGACAGTTTGAATAAGAAGGTACCTGAGTGTACTTGAGCCCTGTGTGCTTGATATCATAGAAGCATAGAATGGCTTAGGTTGGAAGGGATCCTAGGGATCATCTTGTTTCAACTCCTTGCTGCAGGCAAAGTTGCCACCCTCTAGATCAGGTTGCCCAAGATCTCATCCAGTCTGGCTTTGTACACCTCCAGGGATGGGACATCCTCACCTTCTCTGCATAGTCTTTTCCAGTGCTTCACTTTCCTCTGAATAAAGAATTTCTTCCTAACATCTAACCTAAATCTGCCCACTTTTAGTTTAAACCGTTCCCCCTTGTCCTATCACTATCAGAGTGTATAGTATGTCTCTCTCCTGTTTATAAATCTCCTTTAAGAAATGGAAGGCCTCAGTGAGGTCTTCCTGGAGCCTTTTCCAGGCTGAACAAGCCCAGCTCCCTTAGCCTTTCTTTATAGGAGAGGTTCTCCATATCTCTGATCATCTTTGGGTCCACCATTGGACTCACTCCAGCTCCCTTGTGCCCCAGCACAAGAAGGCTCAGTAGTCCAGATTGAGCTCTCAGGAGGGCAGAGCAAAAGGAAAAAAAATCACCTTCCTCACCCTGCTCACGTCTCCTCTTTTGGTGCAGCCCAGGGAATAGTTGGCCTTCTGGGCTGCAGGTACATACTGCTGGTTCATGTCAAGCTTTTTGTTCACCAAAAGCCCAAGTCCTCCGCAGGGCTGCTGTCAGTCTGTACACATATTGAGGATTACTCTGATCCAAGAACAGTACCTTGCACTTGGCTTTGTTGGGCATCATTAGGTTCACATGTGCCCACTTCTCAAGCTTGTCCAGACTTATTTGGATGCCATCATTTTCTTCAGTTGTATCAACTGCACCACTCAGCTTGGTGTTATCGGCAAACTTGCTGAGGGTGCACTTGATTCCACCGTCTATGTGGGATGGGGGAGAAAACTGAAAACAAACAAAAAATAAGGTAGAACTCATCAGTTGAGATTAAAAACTATTTACTAAGACAGGAAAGGAAGAGGAAAAATTGATAGTAATGATAATTGTGTGTTTATATATATATATTTGTATATGTATATATATATATATATTAAAGTACATGTTCTGATACTTCCCCGATACACAAGTGATACACAAGAAATTGCTCACCAGCTGTCAACCAATCCCCATCTAGTTCCCAAGCAGCATATTCCTATCTAGCCAACTCTCCACTATTTTTCAAGATATGGTTTGGGAGAGAAATAGGAGCAGCTTTGTCTAATTAAGAAATAGAAAACATAAGCTGGGTCAGCAAACTAATTTTCACCTTACTGATGTCTCTCTGAGAAGTGTGTAGAAATGTACTTACCTGAGTAAAAGTGACTAAATTCCATTTACCTGCATTTACTCATGATAGCTGTATTTTCTCCAGCATTTTTACTTGGGAACAACTGCAGCTATATACCAGCCTTGAAAATACAAAATATTCTATGTGCAAAGACTCTAAAGCTTAGGAAGACAGCCTGGAAGCTGTCACTATCAGCTATCATAGCTGCTAATAACCAGAATTAACTGTGGAGGATGCATAGGAGACTGCATCTGTTTACTGAAGGATGTTCAATCTTTCTAGGTAGGCAGAGACTGGGTGACTCTCCAAACCGGAATGAAGTGCACTCAGGAAGAACTGGATATGAACCTTGTGAGATACGTCCACACAGGAGCTATAGGGTCCAAGAACCAAGACTTGTTCACATTTTATCTGTGGGATGGGTACAACAGATCCCCAGCTGTTGACTTCTACATAAATATCAAGAACATGGAAAAGGGTAAAGATCTGCCTGATCATGTTTCACAGTGCCTGTTTCTGAAAAAATGTCCTGATACATGTCCTGATACATCCCCAAGCTCTATGCAGGCCCTTGGCAAATCTGCCTGCAGACCCTGAAGTCTGTCTGCTCAGATTTCATTGCAAGCCAGCATCCAGATGTTCCAGCTGCTGCAGAAGTGATTTTGATATCTGAAAAAGCACTGCCTAGAGCAGTGCATTGCACTTTCCAGGAATCCCAGCTGCTGTTCAAACAGAGTAGAAAATATTTTTCTGAAACTAGCTTTATGTGAGTAAACCACAGTGCAGAAGAATGGTAAGAATGTAATAAGGTAAGCATAACACTATTCAAAACCCTGCCTTCCAGGATTATGCTATGGTCTTACAGTTACCATTCGTGGGATACCTCTTAGAGCACTAAATTGAGTTTGGAACTGAGATTGGGACAGATGTCCAGGGATGTTGTGCTGCTTCCGCTCTTGCCAGTTTTCAGCTCCAGTGGAATTAAGCCCTGTGTACCTGGAAATTGCTGGTGGTGTGGCTGATTCTACTCTGAGCAGAAGATAGATAGTTTAGAGATACCCTGAAGTTCCTCCCACTGTGAAATTCCCTAGAATCCTATGATTCTATAATTTTTCCACTCATGAGGGACTGTGTATAGCTAAATGATACGTGAGAGATCAGCTTTCACTTCAATACCACTATTTTAGTGTTGTTTTGTTTATCCTGCAGGAGACATTGCTGTTTTCATAAAACCTCTCAAAGTACCAAAAGGGAATCGAGGCTACATTACAACTGATGTCCTCCTTTCACTGGATGGTACTGACAAGCCTGAAGAGCTTCTCTATGTGATAACTTCCCCACCTCAGTACGGACAAATAGAGTATATTAGCTATCCTGACATTCCCATAACGAGCTTCAGTCAAATGGATGTTGCAAGTCAGACAGTCTGCTATGTTCACAGCACCAAGGCACATTCAAGGCAAGATGCATTCAGGTAGGACACTAAAAAAACCTTTCCACATACCCTTCTCCTATGAGTTCTTGGTTATCTGCTGATAAAATCTATATAAATAGGAAGAGGAAGTTCTGAGGGAATTCTCAGCATTAATGTGACAAAGATATTTTCACTGTAATACATGCAGTTGTGACTGCCTTAGTAATAAATACATTTTCTAATTGATGCTGAAATAGTAGATAGAGGCACATTTACTAAATTACACTGGCTTAAATATTACTCTAACACCCAAACATACACAGATGTTAACATTTAAGTGGGGGAGGTGGACTTACAATATCCTCTGTAGAATTTTTCTTTGATTTCTTGATATGTCTGACTTTTCCATCCAGCTATTAGCCAACTGGTTGCCTGTCTTTTCATATATGTCTGTTGTGTTGTATGCTTTTTGAATGCATAAGTAGTTCTTCAACACACCGAAAATGAGTCTACTTATCTGTTCTGACATAACAGTAGTTCAGAAATTCATGCTGAACAGCCAGATTTTTTTTGAGCAAACCTGGCTACATATAGGCCACATTCAGCTGTCTAGTGATATTTAAGTTTACTTTCACCTGATTCTGAACTTTTCTCTTAGACTAGCTTAAACTAAGCTCCATCCTCAACATGAATATTTTCTTATTTTATTAAATAAACCTCAATTAGCTAAAGAATGAGATAACGCAATGAGTTATTTCTAAGTAATGACTGTAGAGGAGTCTTTAGAAGAGAGCAAATTCAGAAGAAAAAAAAAATAGCTCAGAAGTAAATAAAATTTTTTTGAAGGAAGAATGCTAACTCTTTGTACCATTGGGAATTTTGTCTAAAAAGAACCCTTGACAGGAAAAGATCTTCCTGTAAAATTCAAGATTGCCATGTGAAAAGTTAATTGTTTTTCATTTATGATTATGAAAAATGAAATGTTTAGCTCCTAGCAGTTGCAACTCAGAGCTATTCACACACTTCTAAGAGTGTGAAAAGATTCCTGACTTGAAATGCATTTTCCATGATGCATGTTGAGGCTGCGAGGATGTATTTCATCAACTGTTTTAAGAGCTTTTTTCCATGCAAGCCAAGAAAGTGGGGCACGAAAATTTCAAATAAACCTGTTTATTCTGGGACTCTCCTCAGTTGAAAATCTTAAAACTATCCTTTCTATTGAATTTAATGTGATGGAAATTCTGATTTTGAATTTACTCTAATTCTGAGATTTGTCTGATCCACTTATAATAGAAAAATAGGAAGGAATATTCTTTGGCTGTATGAAAACTTAGCAACGCAGTTGTGAAACACTATGACCAAAACTAGAACTACCTTAGACAATAAAATCACTAGGATGGGTAGCGTGTAAGTGGTTTAAATCAATAAGACTTTTGAACCAGGCTAACAAAAATAGATCAATAATTCTACAAAAACTATTCTTATAGATAGGGCTAATGTCCTTTATTTAGGCCAACAGCTTAGAACAAAATTAGAAAGTCAGCCTTATTAAAAGTAAGATTGTGATTCTTTAATAAATATTTTCAATAAATATTTTAATCACAATAGTTGATGTTCCTTGATGTTAACATTTGGCCAAGAATTTGGTTTTGTATAGACATAAATATTGTGGCACAATACTATTATTATTTAAACAAGGAATGGTTATGTTAATTATATGGGTAATTATGGGGAATGGGTGGGTAGGAGGCTGGGAAATGATCTGATCAGATTTTTACCTTCCAGTGAAGTACTTTCTTTGGTCATAAATTTGTGTGTATTGTTTGGTGCTGCTGGCCTGGAAGAAAGATTTGGCAGTGCTTGTTTGGACAGATGACTTCAAGTGATTAGCAACCTGACATCAGATGCTGGCAGCAGGATGCTAAAAGTACATGCTAATGTCCTCCATTTTGACACGCTGGCTCAATTTTGTAATGAGCTGGCACTATTTATGATTCCATTTTTATCTTTTAAATGCCATGACAGATGGTAGGTTCTACAGCCAACTCTATTGCCATCGAACTGCAGAAAGCATGAAATATTGGTAATGGTGAAATCAAACCACGCAACATGTCCTCCAAACTGTGCCTGAGAGTTGTCCCCTAAATTTCATCAGAGTGAGGAGAATATTGGCTGTTCTCCACTCCCAAGGGGAAAATGAAGCAGCCATAAACCAGAAATAAACAAAGCCCCTGAACCTCCAAAGTGCAGGAGAAAAAGGACCTTTTGGGCACAGACAGCTTGATTTCACATCACCTGTGAAATCAAATGGCATACAACATTTGCATTGTAATGTTCAGCCTGATGTATATAATCAAAAGCTTTGCTCCTGACTGGTATTCTGTAGAAGATTCTGGATGAATCTTCATTTTCACTAACTGAATTATCCTAAGTCTTTCACTTACATATGGTTTGAGATATCATCCAAAACGATTTTGCAGCTGTCAAAGGAGCTGGAAGGAACTCACTTCAGCTGCAATCTCCTAGATTTTTTGAGATGCAGATAAGGTCTTGACAGAATGTGCTTTGCCTTTTTTTTTTTTCCTTAGCATACTATTTATCATCACTATTCTAGTTCTGTGTTTGATTTTAGCTAGATTACTAATAGCACAATGCTTTTAGCACTGGCACAATAGCATTAGGTCAGTGCAGACAGATGTCTTTAGGTTCCCAGCTGGGAATACCATCCTCAGTAAACATATTTCTAACTGTTATATTGTCCCCGTTATGCCTGTGCTCATTCCCATCTGCTTCATGGCATATTGCCTGCTTACAAGTTGATCAAGCCCTAATCATCCAGCATTGGTGAAGGTAGTGAGGAGTTTTAGATGGACAGCCTGCGTGATGCAGTAAGCTGCTCCCTGACCTACTGAAGGTAACAAATTCAAACCATGCAACAGCAGAACAGGTTCTGATCCTGTATTTCTTTTAATACTTTTCCAATGTCTATAGGCAAGAGAGTAAGAGGAGAGAAATAATCTAAATGTCCTCATTACACTGCAATATGAAAGTGTAATAGATGGAGAATAGCTAACTAGGTTGGCCCACACCTATCCTGAGACATGCAGTGATACTGTCCCAAACAAGATCAACAGTGTAAGTGTGGATATATGTGCCTTCAAAAGACTGTGCACTGATGAATAGGAAAAATGAAAGGAAAGAAGAAATTAGAGGATGAAGAGTATGAACATAATTTTCTTTGCAAAGCAAAGAAAAACTGGCTCAGACAGAACAAATGTGGCTGAAAACCACTCTCCAATAAGCTTTTCTATGTACTAAGCACAACCACAGAAAGCTTGGTAGAAAGAAACATAAGCCTTACGTATTATGTGATGATGTGACATAAGAGATTGTGAAACATTTCCAAGGCAATTTTTATTTTCATATACCCTCTGTGGATTTTGTTACAAGCATGTGCAATATTATTTCCTTCAGAAAAAAATACTTAAGTTGTGATCTTGGCAGTGAAACTTAGATTGGTTTTCTCTTTATTTTTATCCACAACAAAATGTGATAAATGTCTGCAGAGCATGCTGTCACTTGTATGGCAAAAACCCATATCCAGCTGGTAGATTTCCAAAACATTTTCTCTCCAGATGTGGATAGTTTTATCTTTTTCTAGTTTTAGCAAGGAAAAGTACCAGTAAAGTCTAATTATTCTTTAGTTTATCTGACGCTATTCCTGCCTGGGAGAGAATTGTAAGAAACTATGCTGCTGTTAATAGAAATTGCCAGCATGGGATAATAACTTTGCAGATCTGACTGTGTGATATGGACACCTACATTTTAAAAATTAATCTAGCTACTTGTACAGTTCTGCCCAATATATTCCACACAATCGTAATATTTCAGTGAAATTTCACTTAAGTTTTGTAAAGAACTGTTAGTTCTTCTGAATATGCAGAAATTTATAGGTATAATTAGCGCTTAAACTACTATGAGAAGCAAGTTAAGAATGGATTTCTGTATTTCTTTTCTTCTTCTTAAGGTAGTTTGGGATTACTGGGTATGAAAGGCTTGCAGCAGTGAATAGAGCAAACCCATTGTCCAGGTAGATTATGTACTTTACACATCTCTTTCTGTGAGTTGTAGATAAAGGTAGTGCTTTCACTGAAGATACATAAGGATATGTATAAAATGTGCATCTATGTCCTCGGCCAGCCTATCATTTCAGATCTGCTCCATTTGTATCCGAACTAGAAGATTAGAGGACTTTGAAGACTGATGGTGTATCCTCAAAGCCATTCCTCTGGCATCGCATCAGATTCCTGCAGATGCAGTGTAATTATTTCCGTATACCTGCCCATCTGTTCTCATGCTTTTAAGTTATACATCCACCCCATGGTCTGAGTTTGAGCTCAAATCAGCTCTAGTTCTCATGTGTTTTGCAGTATCACCACAGGCAAGCCCTGTAATAAAGGTGTGCATTATCATTTTATTTCAGTACTTGGTGAATCAAGAACATTTGCTGAAGACTACCTTGCCTCTCTTTGCCAGATTCATCATCAGCAATGGACTGAGGACTAAACATGGAACATTCATGATCTCCCTGGAGGCAGTTGACCAAACTTTGCCTACGCTATCTAGGAACATGGGGTTAAGATTAATGGAAGGCAGTATGGTACTCCTTTCTCCTGATGTCCTGCAGCTTACGGACTCCGACACTGCCAAAGAAAACCTTACCTTCCTCTTGGCTCAGCTCCCCCAGTATGGTCATCTCTATTACCGAGGGGCTGTACTACTGCAATATAATTTCACCCAACGTGATGTGGACAATATGGATGTTGCATACAAGCACCGAGGTGGGGATTGCCAGATTGACAGATTTACATTTGTTGCAACAGATAGGACTAATCAAGGCTTCATCGTGAATGGGAGGGTGCAGATCGAGCCAGTGGCATTCACCTTTCAGGCAAGTGTGACCACAGACTTAATCAAAAAAGATATATAAATAAGGTGGAAAATATAATGCTTTTGATGAAGCTTAGAATTGCTTTTTGCTGAAGTCTTTGAATTAATAGTGATATTTTTAAGCTAAAAAGTTTTCTTTATGTGTTCAGTGAATCAATGACATGGAGAACTAAAGAATTAAATTGCATTACATTACTCAGAAAAAATATATAACTATGCTTATATAAATGCAAAGAAAAGGATTATATATAAGAAAAGAAAGACATCCTGCTTAAATTTGCTATAATATTCTATATCAAAATTTCAATACCAAAGCTGAGTCCAACTATGGTAACAAATAAACTGATGGAGCTTAAATTTGCAATGAAGAAAATGGAGAAGGACTGTGGGGAATGAGGGAGACAACAAAGCAGAGGTACACAGTATTTGTGTTTATCTCCCAAGTATGTTCTGTCTCTCGTTGCATGAAACAACCGGCTGTCCAAGCTGAGCCTGGAAACCTCTTGTAGGAACTAATACTTACCTGTACATCAGATTTCTATTGGAATAGACTGCTTGTCAAAGTGACTACTGCTCTCCTAAGTGGGCTGTTGTACTTTTATCAGAAGTAGTACAGACAGAGAATTCTGATACTGTAAAATGAATATACATTTGTCTAATTTTGATTTAGGTAGATCATTTGGACAAAATGGCACCAAGAATCATTCATCTCCGTTGTTTATCTGATGTGGAAATGCTGAAGAATGGCAGTTATGGGATCTACATTACTTCCAGGTCCCTGAAGGCAACTGACCCCAATACAGAGGATGACAAAATATTTTTTAAGATCTTACGAGGTCCTCGTTATGGCTACCTGGAAAATATAACAACAGGTATTGTATTCTGTAATCTTTGTCCTTTGAGACGTACCAGACCAGATTTCAAAACCGACCCTGTTAATGCTTGCTTGATACAGGAAATCAAAATTTCTTGGCAAATGTTGGACTAGTTTTGAATGCAACAGAAAAGCTTTTGAACTAAGACTTGAGTCTCATGTTCATCATTAATATCTACAGAGTTCCAGAAGACTTTTAGTAGCTCCAACTGAGAATCTACTTGTGGGAAAGGAAACTTGAAAACTGCTGCAGGAAGTAGTAAAGCTAGAATAAAATAAGTGTACTCTGAACTTTATGGAAAAAAAAATAGGTGAACTAGGTCACTTGATAAACAGAGGAACTAATTGGCTGGGGCTTATAATGAACTGGGATGTTACTGTGTAGCCCTATGAGAGATTATGGGAAGTTCAAAGTCTCTTGAAAGTGTCTTACATAACAAGAAGTTGAAAACATGATGCAAGTGAGCTTAGTGGTTCTTGCTTAACAGGCTTTTGACTTATCTTTTCTTTTCTTTCTCAGGTGGACTTATCCATGAAGGCTTTAGCCAAAAGGATTTAAATAGCAAAACTATATTTTATGTCATCAATCCATTGTGGGAAGTGCTTTCAGACAACTTGGAGTTTCAGGTCACAGATACCAACGGAAATTCAGCGATTCCCCAAATGTAACTTTGATCTTCAGTTTTGAGGACTGCAGTGTAGCAAATATGTCACTGCTTAGGGTTCTGAGTGGCTTCTGGCTTAGAACAAATGAATCTGTGCCTCCTTGAAACCGAGTAGAAGTGAACCTAGATATGATTTTAAGGACTTAAACTACCATTTCTTTTTTTAAAGAATACAGAAGTCTATTCCCCTCAAGGTGGCAAAGTAAAAAGCGTTATTTTGACTAGAGCACATTTAGAATCTCAGAGAATCATATAATGGAGTCTAGTGTAAGTGAATTAGACCCATGGCATTTGGAGATATGAGACAGTAGCTTAGGGACCAGTCTGCTGCTTCATGAGCCTGATTTTTCAGCCGTAAGTCACTCTTCTTCTGTGCTGACAGCAAGCTGATTCTCACAGATCTGAGATCATGATGGTGGGATACTTATGCCAGCAGTAAAAGCTAATAGAATGATATTTTTCAAAAGAGCTCTGAGGAAAGGTGGATGGAGTATATTAATCTCTTTGTCATGTAATTCCAGAATTTCAACTAAGCATGCTATCAAAATTTCCTTCTGACACGTGATAATGTACAAAAATTGCAGAGTACTTGATGCTAAAGACCAAAAATGGGATGAAGCTCTTCTGAGGAGACAATGTTTCTTTTATTTCTACATATAGGATTGAATGTTCAATCAATTTATTTAATCTGAAGTAGTTGAGAAAAAGAACCAATGTTATTTAAAAAGGAAGAAGCAGAAAGCTGGCTGCAAGCTCCAAGCTGCTCTGCAGAGCGCTTGCTTGAGTGACAGAGAGGATGCAGACTGAACAGCTGGAGACAGTGTTTCCGCAGTTACACACTGTGCCAAGAGATGTCTCTATATACAAACACATCTGAACAAAGCTAACCAAAGCATTCCCTGGCTGCCCTCTGCTTGCTTACAGAAGCACTGATATTAAATGCATTACTAAAATGCAGCCCTATTCATGGGAAATTATGCGTTCTTGAATATAAATAGCAGCGCTTGTTGTATATATATATATATATATATACACAATATATATATATACTAATATAATATAGTAATAATAATATATAAAACTAATATATATACTAATATAATATATATATAAGGAAGACAGAAAAAAATCCACTATTCCTGTGGGAAATAGGATTTTCAGAGAACTAGAACTTATATGTAAAGTGTGCCGGATCTCAGAACAAAGAGAAATTTGGCTTTTAAGGGCAAAAAGTTTTGATTATTCTAAACTTCTAAGAGATTTATTTGAATAGTTCAGTATCTAACTGCCATTGGACTGGAAGAAATGTTTCGTGTCAATGTTGATATTATTATAATGGAAAGCAGCTTTTTATCTCAATGCTGCAGGACTGCTTTTAGCTCATACATGCTCTTTAGAAAAAAAGCAAATCAGCTTTTATAGGCCATCTACCCCTTGGAGTTCAGAGGATATAGGACAGGAAGAAACCTCCAGTGGTGCTAGAGCTATTCAACCCAGAAAGGTCTAGGCTATGAGTGTCCTACCTTTTGGCTTTACTGGTCTGCACTGAATGAAAAGGAGCTGACTTGGACTGCATATAAAATGCATAATGTCATTAATGTATATAAGTAACAAAGCTTTTTTTTTTTTTTTTCATTAAAACATATAAAAGAGGGCAACAAAACCGTAACACTAGTGAGATATTTGACCTTGTTTTCTTGATAGTAGTGAACATGTTAACTTATTAAATAATTTGATGAAATATCACAAGCACAAGTTCAGTAATCAAATGAGAAAAATTACATCTGCTTAATAACGAAAACTACGTATCTTCAAAGGCACACACAGCTTGGTATGTTGAAATATTATTATTGGTAATCATTGTGTTTTACTCTCCCAGTGCCACACGTGCATATAGATGTGTAATACATGTCAGTTTTGATCTGACTGTGTGTGGTGGGTGCAAAAGGCAGTCAGCACTGCACTGCACCCTCAACTCCACTGCATTTTGTTGTCGTCTACACAGTCAATGCTTGAGCTATGAGCGAAAATATTGCTAAAAATCACATAACAATATTAAAAGTTCACTATCATGTGGGGCTGTATTACTATCTGTCCAGGGCCACATGCACCCCACAGGCCACAGGCTGGACATGTATGGTTAGACGTGTTTTAGAAAAGCTCAGGTTGACTTGTAAGTACAAGAGTTCATTTTCCTTCCTTCTGCTTTTCAAAAGTTGATCTCTTTATTGGTGCAACATATGATTCTCTGAGGTTCAGTCATATTCTCTATAGGCCATTCTAAAATTCATCATATGAGAAATTTTTACTCTATGGCTGAAGACAAAAGCATAAGCATATGCAAAGACAGTAAGTGCTGGGGTGCGCCTATTCAGTAGAGGAGGCAAGTTAGAGATGAAGAAAAGAGGGAAGAAATGAGGATATTGCTGAGAAAATACTGAGGAGAGACAATAAAAACAAATTACACAGGTGAAGAGAACCACAATAAATTGTCTTGGCCTGTTCAATGCTACAGACAAACTCCACTCTTTTCAAACTTGCTACAGAACCTCTTTTGTTCTGAATCAGTGTTCAGTCTTTGCTTGGAGTAGACAAGGGCTCGACTGGGGGATTTATTTACTGCTTCTCACTTTCTAATCTGCCAAGTCACACACAAATACATTGACCAGGAGGCAAAGACTAAGTATGTGTATTGGCTAGTCTGACAGTCAAGAGGCCGCCTTACAGACCCTTCAGACAGCAGGGCTGGGGCAGCAGGGCTGATGGCTTTGTTCTAAATGTTTTTTTTTTCCTCTGCTTGCAGGCTGGAGCTACGGTGGTCTCGCATTGAAATGCAGCGGACTGAATATGAAGTGTGTGAGAACATGGGGATGGTGTCTCTGAAAATCACCAGGGCAGGACACTCTACTGACTCTGCCTTTATTATGGTGAAGGTAAAGATGAAACAACAAGTTTTTAACTGGAAACTGAATAACAGGCAGTGGAGCCCATTAATTTCTTCTTTGGAGCTGGGAGGTATTTCATTAATTAGTAAAAAGGCCAATCCAGACTTACTGGGACTTTATCCAGCCTTGTACAGACAGCTGAAAACTTTCTGCCAGAATAGTTTTAAGAAGAAATGCCGGTAAGCCCAAACTGGAATGTTTTGGAGTAGTATTGTAGTTTTGATGAGCTTCTGTGACAGAGCAAGTTGTCTCTCATGCTGTGGGCAGGCTGGGTTTCCATGACCTGCTGCGTGGGTATACAGGCTCTGGGCAATCCCTGACTGAGGGACCTGGGATCTGTTCCCCTGCACAGGTTGAGGAGCCCAGCAGCTTTTGCTGCTTCAGCGTCACAGTAAACCAGTCTCCATCTCCTTGTAACTCTCTGCCCAAGGAACTCCCATACCTTCAGTAACAGGCTATGTTGCATGCCAAAAGAAATAAACTGAAAGCTGCATAGTTTTATTTTTGTAAAATAGGTTTTGTGCAATTTGACATTGCAAGTTTTATTTTTCCTCCTAGAATGGAAGTCCCAAGATTTTCTAGCAAAAATCTTCCTTACTATCAAAATACTAACATGTTCCCTTTCAGTTACGTTGTAGCCCTAATTGGAAATGTAGTTCTGTCTTTTTTCCCTCAGAAGTCAGTGAGAGTTATGCTATGACTTCAGCAGGGGCCATTCTGCCTTATTCTTCGCAGACTCCAGCAAATTCAAAGGCACTGGTGTCCCTGTACATGTATACATTCTCACGTATCCCACAGAGTCTGTTGAGCTGGTAGGCAGATCTCTGTGCAAACTGTTCTTCCAAGGCCTCTCAAAGGGCAGAATGGGCAAACACATCCTGCTGATACTGCCCTTCCAGGAAGCCAGTATGTGCCCTTCCCAGAGTTGGGTTCCCAGGACTGGTGAACAGCAGCATGACCTGATGCTGTCCAGCTGCAATCTGATACAGGATTTTAAGATGAGCGAATGTTTTTGTTTTTGTTTTTGTTTTGATGGTAAGTTTTAAACCGTGAGGATAAAATGACAGTTGCATATCACGAGGTTATCCTGTAAGCCTTCATCTTGTTTTTCAGCCTAAGCACAGGTACAGCTTGGCATGTCTCACTGGGACCGCATGAAGAGAAATGTTGTACCTTCAGCACAGAGCAGAATGCACTGGTTTGGTGACGTAGGTCACAGCTTGCTCTGTACTGCTTAATTTCCTTGCAGGTCAATGAAATATCTGCTGTGCTGGGAAAGGACTTTACAGTGACTCCTTCCAAACTTGTTCAGTTTGATCCAGGTATGAACGAGAACATTGACTCATTTTAAAATGAATTCCCTGATTCTGAAAGTGTGAACTCTCATTTTGGAGAATGAAACCTGTTCTGTCTTCACAGATAGAGGAACTGAGTAAGAATAAAAATGCCCCAGCTCATTTTCTTGAAATGCAGTAGGTCCCCTTACTGTCACATTTTAGGTGTCTCTAGGCAAAAAAAAAATCTGGGAGAGAGTTGCAGGATTCAGCATTTGGAGATTCAGTTTCATCTGAAAAAAGTGCTTTTGCCCATCTAAATAAATTATCTGGTAATGAGAATCCATTTGTTATCATAATAATTCCATTTGCACATGCAAGCCTGCATTTTTGGAACACATTCTGCAGGCATAGACTAGGCTTTATTAGAGTTTATAAAAAAGAGGAGTCCACAGAGGCCTCTGAATGTATCTGCAATACCAGCAGAAGTTGTGCCACCGCTGCCAGGAGTAAGATTCCAATGACTTAAGTCACAATGGCTACAGAGGAGACAAAATATAGGAAGTGTAAAAGGCTGAAATAAATAATATGTATTTTTGCTATTAGATTAAGTGCTTATCTTCATTTTGGAAAACAGATATGGGTAATGTGGTAAGTCAGTTCCAGCCTGACAGTTTTTATTCTAGCACCTCAACTTTTATTTTGCAATAAAGGTATCGCATGGCAATGAAAATATATACTGCTGTATCCCATGGATGAATTCATATGTGTAACTCAGATTTGCTTGGCTAGGCAATAGTGAAATCTGTAGCTGTGAGTTCTGTTGGAGTTGAAGCACAAATGTGATTGTTTTGGAAATATAGCTGTTATAAGGCATTTTGAGAAAACTGAGTTTAATGAAAAAGTGCAGAGCGAACAACTTCTGGTTTATTTTCAGTGGTAGATATGGAGTGATACCTAGCAGACAGCAGTATAAACTTGTGGAGAAAGGTGGCCCTAATAAGCCCTAATTTTCAGTGTTCTGTAACACTCATGAAATCTTTGAGACTAATAAGCCACTCTCTGAGATTCTTTATTTAGTATTAATTTTATTATATTATTATTTCTATTTAAATAAGATATAGAAGAAAGATGAGAGAGATCTGTGTAAAAAAATCCTTCATACTGCACTTAACCAGCATTCTGGCTCTCTTTCCTCTGAAGTACTGTGCAATCAGACTTATCAGCCTTTGGACTGAAATGGCTAGAGATTACAGAAAGAGATTTCCAGTGCAAGGCTTTTCCATGGAATTTTCCTTTTCTGCTCATACAAGCAGATTCTCCAAGCAAGTTATCCAAGTAGCTTGGTGCTTATTTCTGTGTATGGTGGTGAGCCACAGGAAAATTAACTGTGAACATGGACAGAGATGCATACTGTCTCCCTTTTCTGGACACATTTCAACCAGCTGTGTTCTCTCATGTTGTCTTGAGTGGCTCTTTTTGGTAGTCCTTTGCTTAGGCTTAGCCTGGAAGGATCCTCCAGATTGATGCATTCAGAGCCTCTATTTCTAGTCAAGAATTTTGATATTTATTCATTAATCATATTTATTGAATGTTTAGTAAGTGTAGTAGTAGATTTGTTACAAAAACAAACAACAGCTATGCCAATTCACAGTACTGATTTGCACATTAGACTTGACTCAATAAATTGTAAAAGTTAGGGGCAGGAGGAGGCCCTATCCAACTCTGTTGGTCTGTTTGTACTAACTGAGCTGTTCTCTGCTAGAGGATTCAAACTGAAAAGGAGCAAGGCTATGGTAAGTGTCCAGAGGTTGTAGAGATTTTATTTCACTATGTTGCCCTTGTATCTTTGACATTAATTCTGGATGTCAGCATTGAGTTTTTAGAAACATTTTCTATGATGTTTTTATGATAGCAGTGTGTATATTTAGATCAGTTTCTGTTGTGCTACCTCTGACTTTTTCCAGACAAATTTCAAAGCTTTTTTTTCTAATAAGCAGCCTAATCCTTTATGTTGGAATAATCTTTTCTCTTTCCCACTAACCCAAGCCACAAGTTACATCAAGTAAAGACGGTCAACCGAGTCAAAATTTTGTAAACAGGTGTAAAATATGTCATCTGAAAGGCTGTACTTCAAGCCTGCGCATTCTTTTATCCTTTTGCAGGTATATTAGATGAAGTTTCAGCATATATATATATATATATATGCTACATTTTATCTTGAAAATTCCAAAAGTCCAAAGTTTATGTATTGCAGTGTCATTTCTCATGTTTGAAGCAGCTTTTTTGTTACAGTATATGCTCTCAAACTGAATCAACATTGTTTGGGAACAAATTTGAACCTTAAGTTATTTAGAAGAACAGCAGGAGTCCAGTCAGTTGGTAGCAGAACAATAGCATACACAAGCTACTTCATTCTAGCTGCAGACATGTTAATTAATATATTTCTGACACTCTGATTGATTGAAATAGCAATTAAAGAGTAATTAAAATGTTTATTTCTGTTAGGAATGTCAACCAAGATGTGGAATATAGCAATTACTTATGACAGATTAGAGGAAGATGATGAAGTCTTTGAAGTAGTTCTGAACTCCTCTGTGAATGCTGTTCTTGGCACCAAGACAAAAGCTGTAGTGAAAATTTTGGACTCAAAAGGAGGTATTCTCTTTTGATCTTCATCTTTAAACTGTGGGACAGTCTTGGCTAGGTAGCTACTTATTTTCAACCACAAGTTGTTCCTAACACTTACCTTCACATCAAAATGCTTACTTTCTTTTTAGAGAAAACAAGCCTGGCAGTTGCAGACCATTTATTTCCTCACACAATCACATCCATCCTCTTAGGAAACACAGCATGGGAAAGCAACAAGTACAAAATGAGAAGAGTGGAGGGGAAACAAGCCACTTTTCATAACAACATGAGTCCAGCTCTCATTTACTGAAGTGAAAAAAAGGATTTTTGACTCCATTAGAATTTTTTTTTTTTTTTTTTTTTCTGCCAGTGATTGTATAACACTAGTTACACGCTTCTGAAAAAGATTGACTTTCCTCTCAAAAAAGAATCTTAACAACTAGACTCAGCTCTCAGAAGTACATTTTCTAATGCCTAACAATCACGATCTACAACATTACAGTACACAGCAGTGATTACTACAGAGTTTAGGCCTTTATTTCCTTATTATTGTTGTGTTTTTCAGTAAGTAAATGTGGTGCCTAAAAGCTTACCAGAAAGGAGCAGAAAAATACAAAGGACTCAGCAAAGCAGCTGAGTCCTATGAAGGCTGAAGAATGTTTTCCCTTCCAGCACTTACTGAAACTATATTTTAAATGGATGTGTTATAATGAATGAGGCTTGATTAAAAAAAAAAAAAAAAAAAAAAATCATTTAAAAATGCAGATTTAGTTTTTCTCATAATGTAAAGATATTCACTGACTCAGCTAGATTGAAGGAACAACAGTGCCCGAGTTTCTGGATAGGAAATTGGCTGGTCATGATGGGAATATCACTAATCTTAGTTAAAGATACCCATCCTTGCCCAAAAACTCTGCACTTCAAACCCTAATTTATACCTGGAAACTGCTATATTCAGCAGATGTTTGGTAGGAATTCTGATCTGTGGTTAGATAGACACAATACATACAAAGATTGTTGCAGTCATAAACAGTTTTAATGAAAGAAACTCCATAAAAAAGGATGACCGAACAAACAGAAAACCAACCACATCAAGTGAAAGAATCTTCCAGCTTTTAATAACAAGCTGTTTATGTGGCCATGTCAATGTGACCAGTTATGTGCTCATGCAGCTAGAACTGACCACCTGCCATTTTTTATGCTTTCAGGTCAGTGCAGTTCTTTACATTCTTCCAGCCCAAGCAAGCAAGATTTCTGGAGGAGAAGCACATTGTTTTCAGTTTCCTCAGGCTCCTCATCACCTCTCAGTCCTGGCAGTGTTCACTTGGAAGGGATCCCACCACCTTCTTCCAAAAGGATGAGAGAACACAGAGGTGACATACTGCAGGAGCACAGCCTGGCAAATCGGTCAAGGGCCAGGCTGAGAGTGACTGGAAATGGCAGAATAGTAAGAAACTTCTGTTGCAATTTATCTGATTTATGAATTAATTGGTATTTGCTGTCTTCATTTACTTATTCTGTTTTTGTAGTGACTGTGCAATAACTTTAAACAACCAGTTTGCTCTGAGTCTGACCTAAGAGCTGTAGAACTATTTAAAATACTTTGTGGAGGCTGGAAGGGCATAGGAATGTTTCCTGATTTTGAAGATCTATGTATGTAAGAGGGAGGAATGAAAAAAGAGTTGGCCAAGGAAACATGCAACAAGCAAAACCGGAATCACTAGAGTCAAGCCGGTATAAGTCTGGTCTTGAAGTTGTAAAGATGAAAATATTGTTATCTTAAGCAGGGCATACTTACTGCCCATTGAGTTTTCCTGTTTAAGCAAAGTTAGTTTAACTAGGTGGTTTAGTTACATTCAGAGACATTCAGATACATTCAGATACATTGTGATCTTAAAAGTTAATCTGGATTATAGTGCACTTTTAATGTGAGCTATTTTCAGAAGCCATCGATTTCCTTTTTCAGAACTAAACCCAAGATACGCTGTGCATGATTTGTAATCTACACTACACAGTAAATTTCGCATGTTGGTTTTGTTTGTTTGTTTCTGTTATGCGTAAATACACCCATTTCATTCTTATATTCTACCCTTTTTTCAGGTTCATCCTTCATCTGTATTTAGAAATGGAACAGATGTGGTTTACAAAGTAAGAGTATAATGGATATTGCTATGATTTATTTGTGATTCTGTTATTTCCTGGCTTTATGTAGACCAAAACTTTCTTTTTCTATGTATCTTTCTTTTTCCTTGGTATAATTTGATTTACAACAATTTATATTATTGCTTAAGTGGATTGGTCACAGGCAGGAGAAGGCAGTATTCAAAAGTTGCTTGTAAGTGCTAACTCTCTCTTTTACCTCTCCTGTTTTACTTGTGTCTGATACTGTGAAACCAAGTACCATGGGATGGTATCACTCAAAAAAGAGGATGACACCTCATCAGCTAAAGCAAACAAGAAGGCTGAAGTGTCAGTAATTAACCAAGCACAATCACAGATAAATGCCATTTCCACTAGGAAGACAGAAATCCCACAAGCTGATAAGGCAGAACTGGCATCTGAACCAAGCTCAAGACGCTGGGTATGAAACCTTTTGTTTTCACAGACATTTTTACCATCTGTTTTCAGTCATGCGCTTTCCCAAAATGAGTTAACGCCTCTGAGGTCTGAAGCCTGACTCTTCCTGTTCCAAAACAAAGTTTAAACAATACACAGACAAATAACAGTGCAGTCCTTTAAGAGTTTTCATGTCAGTAAGTTTTAAAATGAGCTGTCTCATCAGTTTCATGTAACTTGTCTTGTGTAAGTATTTTCTTTTGAATATTCAGATGCCATTCCCTTTTCCAGGACATTTACTCCCTTTCAAGGGACTGTACACCAGATTTGAAGGGGCTCATGCATTATGAAGAAAGCACTCAAAGGTTATTTCAGTGTGATGGGATAGAATGGAAATTTTGGAGTTCCCAAAGCAAGGTAAAAATGTCATGAGTATGCATCTAAATCAGAATATGGAATCTACAATAAGTAAGACTTTGAAGTTACGGATCACCCTGTAACAATAATTGGTTTGCACAGGAGATAAAATAATTGTCCAGAGTCAGGTCTGCTGTCACCAGAAGAGATGATTCCCAGAGACAAGATGAGGGCTTTATTGCTAGGATTACCTTTCATCTGTCACCCATAGGTGCTTCTGGACAAGCCATGTGGGCACAAACGTACTGATACTTCTGGGAATAAGTATGAGAGAACCAGTGAATGAAGTCTTGACGTAATTGGTGTGATTTAATAAAACCAGATAACTTAGGCATTCTATAAGCATGCATCACTCACCACTTACAGTCTCATACTGAACCATGCTACACTGCATTGCCTACAGGAATGCACAGGAGCCAGAAATATTATCCAAACTAATTTACACTCTTGAGAAGATTTCTGGATCTGAGACTTTATGTTTTAAACTACTCATTAAAAATAGTAGGATCCTCCAGTAGGCATTTAGTTCTTTACATCTTTTAAATGACATTTTGGCTCTGCTGATGTATGTCAATGTCCATGTTCAGTTGGATCCTGCAGAGGCCATAAGCACCACCTCCAGCCTCCAGCTTGATTATTAATGTGTAAAGCTGACTACTGTGAGCAAGAGTTGTTTTTCATCTTTCATTTTAGGAGGCAAGCATGAAAAAATGTCCCTCTGGATGGCGTCATCATGATGGCAGCTGCTATTTCCTGGTAGTGAATCAAAAGGTCACCTGGGTTACTGCTGCTCAGGCTTGCAGAGAACAGTAAGAGACTTTTTCAAACATGTTTGCTGTGCACTGGTTGTTTCCCTGAAATGGTTGCTGTTCCTAAGATTGTGGTGATTTTGCTAAGTCCCACTTCTATTATGCTTCACAGCACCAAAATGACTGAACAAGCCCTAGGATTATGTCCCTGTGGAAAAAAGAAATATTATTAGTCTCACTACATTTTGCTTGGTTATCCTTCCTTATTCACTATATTAATTCATGGCTGTTTCCCACTGTGAGATGTGTGGCTTAGTTTGGAAGAAGAAAAATATAGCAAAAATTCAGTTCTTCAGCCTTCTCTGATTCAATACTTCCTTTGCTCTACCTTCAGTAGATTAAAACGACAGCACAGTTTGCCAGCTCCTGTGTTCCTCATAATAGTCTTCTCAAGATGCAGTTCCTCAGAATCTCTAACTACTCAAAAATCTTAACATCCAATCTTACAGAAAATTTCTGACTTCTAAGGATAAATGAAAGCTAATTAATTATAATAATATTTATCTTGAAGAAGGAGACAAATATAAAACCCACCATTTAAGCTACTCTTGATCTTTGGAGGCTTGCTTTTTGGTTTTGGTTTTCAGAGTTTAGTACTGAAAGAAATGCTAGTCATGGCAACACTGAGCTTACCCTGGGATTATGTATGTTCTGTATCTTCTGTTGAATTCTGAGCCCCAGATTGAACAAAACAAGGGAGTTTGATAGTCCATTTCCATTGCTCTGTGAAATGAAAATTGAAACACAGATAGGTTGGACATGAAAGAAACAGAATATATTCAGTAAGCAGCTAAAGAGCATGCAGGGAATATGAAACATGGACCATCAGGCATAACAAACCTTGATTCATCCTAGACAGTTATATTAGCTTATTTTGTCTTGGTAGTGGGCAAATGGAAACTTGACCTTCTAGGTAATGGAAGATACTTTTCATGGAAACTGAACACATATTTCACATTGTTGATTATTTTACCTAACGATTCAATTTATCCAAGTAAAGTTGTCAGTTGTGAATGTTCCAATTTTTTTTTTTTTTTTTTTCTGAAAGATTCAACATTCAGTTGCTTCCTGGGGAATTCACAGTGAATTAATCATATTAATCACTGGGAGGCATTTCCATTTCCTAAAAGAGTGTGTTCCTAAGGACACATACTGTTTGTAGGAGATAACTTTGTGCTGAAGGCTACAGTGTGTAATACGAAAGTTAAACTGAGTAACAGTAAGTTAGTGACAGCGTGAAACAACCACACAAAGAGTCAAGGCATATCACAATCCCCAAGCAAATGAATCCTAGGGCAGTGACAATGTAATTAATGTCAGATTACCACAGACTGGGGAAGTTTTATCATGGTGAATGAAATACTCCTGATCTCCACCTGGAAATGATTTACAAAAGTACGACCCCAGGCACACACTTAGAAGTGTTGCTGGAAGATAATTTAATACTTATTTTGTGCTTTTGCTCTCCTCCCTGAACCGCCATCATCCACCCCTGCCAGTTCTGGTATTTCTGAAGTTAATATTCCGAACACTTCCACTGTTGACATTTAAATGACTGGTGTTTCCAACAAGAAAATGAAATCAGCATGATTGCCATTCCTCTGTTTTTAGCATATCATGCAAACATTAGATACTGAATCAAAAAATAATAATAATAAAAAAGAACTGACAGTCAGAATATCAGCTACTTTTCACTGAAAATGAGTAATTCTTATTTAAACAAAAAAGATGTTATTTTCAATTCTTATTCAATTTTGTTGCTAAACTTTTTATAGTATATAAAACAGGAGAAAAGCACACTGTTAAAGCTATAACAGTCTGCAACTAATCAATCAGCCATTTGTTCTTTTAGAGAAAACACTCTCATCCCAAATTGATGGACTTGAGACCAAACTATTCAGTGAAAGCAATGCTATTGATTTATTGTGGTCGCAATTACTGTCTGGATGCACATGGGCTTATGCAAACCTGTTTGGGCTTCTTTTGCTGCATTTTGCATCACTGAGCTTTGACATGCACTGCATCCATTTGTTACAAGTGGCATACCAGTCTTTGGTTTCTATGTGCAAAGGTAAAAGACAACAGAAAGGTGTGCTTGTCTTGACTCAAGTTGCTGTGTGCCATGGTGACAGTGAAACTGAAGACAACTCAGCTCACTGCTCTGAAAACCTTACACCATTTCAAAACCTCCTGCAATACACTGGAGAGAAAAGCAAATTCACTTCTCTAGATTTGTTTCTTATGGATGAAGAGACTCTTGGCAACGTGAAGAGAAGCATCTGAGGGATATTATGGCTCAGTGATCACAAAGCAGCCTGATTCAATAGCCATTTTGGTCATTTATGCTGCAGTTCTTGTTTATACCACAGGAACACTGTTTCCACAGGCATCAGGGCAGCAGAACTCACTGACAGGAGATAGTTTCACTTCTGCCACTGAGGGGACTCTTCACTGGAAAGACAATCCACTGTTGCTTGTTCTGCTCTATTAGTCAAATCATGCCTTCATCTTCCTGAAGTTAAATATTTATTGAGAATCTAAGTATGATCCAATTTTCGATCCTTTACAAACAGCTTATTAAGGAAGGTGCTGTTCTTTTGTTCTCTGTAGATTAGCAACATATGGCTTCAGCCCTTGGAAATTACAGGAAGAGCCATACGACCACAATGGTTAGATCCTTCATGACAACTCAGTACTGCATGATGCAAAGCAGGATGGACTCTGTTGCTCTCCTCTCCTAACACTGTGCTTAGTCCTCCAACTGATTTAACTTACATTAGTGCTGATGATTCAGATATCTAAAGTAATTTTAAAGGCTGAGGGTGTCTTGTCTGACTTTCAAAAGCCACTCCAGAAATGTAGGGCTGCTGTAAGGTCTACATCATGTCTACCAATCTCATCTGAATGTTTTGAATACCAAGAGGTGTCAGAAGCAACACTAGGCAGCTATTCCAAGGCACCAGGATTACTCCCCAGGCAGTCAAACAAAAGCCTGGGTTAATGAGAGCAGAGGCTTTCAGTCACTTCCCCCTTCCTTCACTGTCAGTTTGGGATATGAATTTACTAAAGCAGTTCATATCAGGTGTCCTTCCATCCTGTGAAGATCTCCACAACTAGTTGAGTGTGCTTTTGCAGAAGTTCAATTTATCAGAGTGGTACAAAGGTGCTTTAAGTGCTGCTTAATTTAATGTAAAATCAGGAAAGTCTTCATGCTAAGTGTTTTGCATATAACTTTTGAAGCACAAAGGAATACTTTGCGAATGGACTGACTTAGAACAGGATTCAATGGTGTGATTTGTTTTGGTTTTGCTTGTTAGTTGTTTTTTTTTTGTTTTTTTTGTTTTGTTTTGTTTTGTTTTGTTTTTGCTTTTTTAAAAAAAATCATGAAGCAGTATGATATCCTCTCTGGAGTAATTCATATTATGAAGTGGTAGATGTATACAACTCCACAAATAACATTATCTGATTAATGTTTGTAAGCGTGGAAGTCAAAGGGACATGGCCAACCTCATTTCAGCAGTCTGTGGGAATAGGAGAAGGAGGAACGACTGTAAACTGGAGCATAGGAAGTTCTGCACCAATACTGCAAAGCAACTTCATAGTGAGGGCGATGGAGCACTGGAACAGGCTGCCCAGGGAGGTTGTGGATTCTCCTTCTATGGAGATATTGAAGACCCGCCTGGATGCCTACTTGTGCAGCCCGCAGAAGGGAGCCTGCTTTGCAGGGGGGCTGGACTCAGATCTCTAGAGGTCCCTTCCAGCCCCTACAATTCTGTGATGCTGTGATTATCTTGTCATTTCCTCAGGATCTCTAAGGGTATACAGGTTAGTAAAACTATCCTAAGTGGTACTTCAGGACTGCTTTCATTTCCCTGCAATACAGCAAAACCCCTGACTAAGTGTAACAATTAGAACAGTTGATCTCCCTTCAGCCATGTGTTTCTCAGACTGTATTTAGAAAGCACTCCTATGGAGAAAAGATTAGATAATATTATAATTATTGCAGTGCTTTCACAATGCTGAAGTCTCTCTGTGGTACTTGAAGTAAAAGTCTGAAACTTTTATTGCTCAAACCACCCCTGTATATAAAATATTTTATACAGTCAGTGATACAAATTTACACTTCTTGTTTGTTTTTAGTTTTCCTAAAGCAATTGAAACAACAGGGATAAACGATGCTTATCTAAAGCAAATGACTTAAGTTCTGGTGCTTTGATTGTCCTTAAGTAGCAGACAGATAAAGTGCTCTATTTTTGTTCTTGCTTAGCTAACAACGATGCCACAGAGGCTGCTAATCAAATTTGTCCTCAGCCCCAGCTTCAGCAACTGGTCAACTGTGGCCACTGCAAAGGGGAGTGGTATTCTGCTGCTGAACCAGTTATGCTTGGAGCACGCCCTGAGTAAACTGCTCTGCTTTCCTGGATACTTTATTTGAGGAAGAAGAAGCCAAAACATTCCAAGATCATTTGCCAAAATAACTGTTTAGTTCCTTTTTCACTGGAAACTTGCTAGATGGATATGGTGGTTGGGCTCAGAAAAGTGGAAACATGCCACTCTTGTGACATAAGGGAACGGAGAGTATGTGCTAAACTTTGTCAAGAAGCCTGGTCAAAGCCTCTGTAGGGAGCTGGCAGGACAGCACTGCAATCAGCCAGTGGAACCTGGGGAACATGTACTATGAGGGAGTGCACAATGCCTGATCCCTATCAGGATGTTTCTAACTACTTTTCTGGTTGGTCTGTGTACCATTTGTGTTTCTGAGGCCATCCCGCCACACGTTTAGCTGTGAACAGGAAATGTCAGTAAGGTTCTCTACACTTCGTTCTTTGATGGTGCCAGAACTTAGGAGGCTCTTGGGGGGGCATGTTACTATGTAGTTCTTGGTGTAGGGCAGACATGATTGTACACAGTGTGAGTGCTAACATGCAGATGTCCTGCAGGCCTTGGTGTACTTGTACAAAGTGGAGTTGTGGACCCACTGTGCAAAGGGGCATAAATCATGACTTCAATTCTTCTACAAGTAACACTAAATACAATTATTCTTTCCTTCCAATATTGAGTTTCCTGTGAAACTTCAGGTATATGCTTTTTATTAGAATCAGTACTTCTTGTTGGTAAGTCCATGGGAGATGTCTGTCACTCTGTGGAATTCTAATCACTTGATCCTCTCTTGTTGATCCTAGATACCTGGGGAGCCTCACAAGTGTGGCTAATGAACAACACATGCAGTGGTTGTGGGACTTCGGCGGGAGGAAGCCCTTTTGGATAGGCAAGTACATCAGCTGACAATAAAGTCTGTTTCCTCAGAAGCTCACAGTTTCTCTGCACTTTGGAAAGAAGAAACTGCAATAAGGGTTTAAGCCCAGGTTACAAATGTAGCATCATATTCTACTTTCTACGGCTTTTGGTATTTCAGATCAACTAAAAACCAAAACTCATCAATTACCTGGCTTTTTGTTTTTTATTTTTTGTATCAAAAGAAAAGTTTATCGAAGTTCACTACTGCTGAGGTACTTTTTTGCTTTGAAACCTTTCCCATTTTAAAGCTAGTTAGAAAATCAAAGATTCCAACTTCAAAAACTGCAGTCAATTGGAATCATGTTTAATGGTATAATGATTCTATTAATCTGATGGAAATAGACTCCCCTGATGAGAATAAAGACTATAAACCCATTGTGTCAAATTTCTGATGGTAATCTCTTCTAGCTAAGAACGCAGTTCATAGTTGAAAATATGCCACCCATTTTGGTCTAAAGAACTCAGAAGCAAAGTGAAAATGCATGTTTTAAGATGTGTTAACTAATATGTTTTCAAAATGGTGAATAAAACTTACAAAGATCTGTAGGATTTTATTTTCAGATGGAATCTGGATGAGTCTGAAGCTATAAGATATTTTGTTTGGCTTCCTCAGTGTCAAAAGAGAAACTTGCGAGATGATAAGCATACAAGATATCAAAGAAAGAAAGGCAGTATTTTAGATCAGCCAACAATGAGGAAAAGGATATTTTCTTGTATTCAGATGAATCTAGTTGCCATACAGATATTCAAGTGTATTTTACTTGTATTCCTCCAGATGTTATTTTTTTCTTTCAGCATAATACTGTATGCCTTTAAACAGAAGGACAAAAAAACCATGCTTCCGTTGGCATAAGGCTGCAGAGATGATGAGTGTCACTTGTCATTTGTTCTTACTGATTTCACACAGGCTTGAATGACCAAGTCAATCCTGGACACTGGGAGTGGAACGGAGGAGAACCTGTTACCTACATAAACTGGAGAAGAGGCTCCAATCACTTTCCAAAGAGAGGCAACAACTGTGTAGTGGTGCAGAAAAGAGGAAAATGGCAAGCAACTGACTGCAGGAAGGCCAGACGGAACAGCTACATATGTTCAAGAAAGCTGTAAAAAATGGGGATCCTTGTGAAAGCATGTGAACATTCCTTTTTTTTCTGTCTTTCTGCAGACAAGTGAGGGTATGCAGATAGAAAACTATCTTAATTATCACCAAAAATTATTTTATATGCTGCCAGAGATGCAGATGCTTTGGACTCTTACCAAGAAATAGAGGTCAGTTGTAAACAGCAAGTTCTGGTCAAGGCTTTGATCTCTTTCCAAATACATCTATCTGTTACTTGATTCATTTGTGTTTTCACACTAAAGAACTAGGCCTGACAGCCTACATAAAATTTCTGTGTAAACATACTTATTATAAAAAAAAAAAAAAAGTAGCACATCAGTCAGTTTGTTTCAGTCTTAAAGATTGAATGTGGATTGGCTGATAGTTTAATTAAATTGCAATGAAAACTGCAGCTTTGTCCTACAGTCACAGAAAAAGAAAGACAGCTTGGGACCAAAATGAGGGCAGACTCTGCTGGCTGGCTATAAACAAGTTCTCTTGGGTGAGGATGGGAGAGACACTATCAGAATACTGGTGCTTCTTCTGTGGATGCCCAACCACAATGTTTTACAAAAAGAGTAACTGCAGAAGGGTTTACTGACAACATACCAACACGAGCAAAGCTTTTTTGTTACTTTTTCGGCCTTCCAAGAACAGTTTCAGATCCAAATGAATCTTTTCACACAGAGCTGTACGTTGTTTGACATTCTGACTAAAATCATGCAATGCTTTTTGGAGTTCCACGATGGTGGTATCATTTGTGCAATGTAATTAAATAATGTGGGCTCTCTAGATCTAATGCTATCTCAAAGAATGATTTACACATGCACACAAAATTAATACGGAAGCTTAATCCCAGAATAATATCATGGGATATTCAGTGATACATGAACATCAATAGGATTAGTATGTGTGTACAAGCCAGTGTAACTGTGAGAGGCACATTATATTAAAGCAGCTATGGATTTTCAAAAGTATTAATCTAAGTCCTTATTAGGGATTTGAGGTTTTTAAAAATAATAACTAAAAATCCAGATTTATTTCAGAGAAAGGCTTAAAAATCAGCATTAAACAGGAAGAAAAAAAAAAAAAGCTAACCAGCTGCCTGTAACTTCCCATTTGGTAACACTTCGACCTATCAAAAGACTTGTTTTAGGACCTTCTTACTGCTAGCTTCAAAGTTAGAACAGAAACAAATCCTATGCTTCCTAAAAAAAAACCAATCAACTTCTCCCAAACATTCCCTCTGCCCAGCAGGAGTGTGTGACAGGTGGTGTGGCACAGCATATGGAGAATTTGCCCTGTTCCATGTGAACTCTCAGCCCTCCTGTCTGCCTGCCTGCTGCCAGCAGTTGATTCTGTCTATGCCCTCTGTAAGTTCATCAATTTGTCCAGCCTCTGAACCAATTGCATTTGTGCACCATTTCCAGCTCTGCTCTTTCTAAGGTTCCACAAAGTCTGGTGAGAGAACAGATGTAACAGAATCACCTCTCTAGGCTGAAGGATACCAATCTGGGTTGTATTTATCCCTCCTTCTTGTCTGTGGTATGTTAGAAGAGGCATGTCAGTAGCTGGACAGCCCTTCTATGTGGTGAGGACCTTTGTGAAGTTGCTATGGTAAATAAGCACAAGTGCATCACAAGTTTAGACATAAAACACTGTGGACAGAACCTTATCACCCTTAATGCCAATATCAACAGATACAACCTAATATATTTCCAGGACTTTTTAAAATTGTTGTTGTTATCTTTTTGCCAACCTTCTAGACACTTCTGTAGACACTAACACTTTTGCTTAAGGAGTTATACAAACCAATACATATATGCTAACTGTTTCTAGAATTCCCCAAGCCACATAGCTTCTGAGTACCTGTCCAAGTCTGTTTTTACTTTTCATAGTCTTCAATGAAAAAAAGCCAGTAAGAGTCCAGTAAAGCACATGTGGGATCTCTGATTGCGTTCTGGAATCACTGAGAAAAACTACTAAGAGAGCATGTTAAGACAACCAGAAACTTTTATTTCCTTATGGATTTCGTGCTGTGTTTATTGGTGCTATCTTTATGAAACTTACGAAGATTGTTTAAATACTTCTCATAATTACTTAATGAATGACCATAACAGAGAGGGAATTTTGGCCAGTGAGTTCTTGTTACTTGACAATGGCTAATGCCTAGACTGAGAAAAGAAAGATCTCAGGTTTTTGAAGAGGGGATAATTCTTCTATATTGTACCTTTCTTAAACTACCTAAAAGTGATTGAAGAATATGACACCTTCACTATGAAACAGATTATTACTTCTGCAAAATGTATGTGTTTACTTGTTTCATTAAATCTATAACACTGTATTCATTAATAAAGCTAAAACTTTTATATGATACCGCAAGGACATTTCTAACCTGAAATGCTCCAGAATTATTTTTCAGTACAACAAACTCTTCCAAGCATGCACTCATAATTTGTCCATCTTTAAAAATGAAATGTTTTTTGAGCAATTTTTGCATCTTTTATTAGAATACCTGAGTTTGAAGAAAACAACATACTCAGAACAGGGAAAGCATGAGTAAGTCACTTTTTTTTTTTCTGGTGCATTAGGAAAATGATGTCTCTAAGAGGTTTAGGAAAGAAAGGGAATAAAATCCTAAAAAGTTACTGGGAACATTTTCAGTCTTCAATACTGTTTGAATTGGACTTTAAGTACACTCAGGGGGAAAAGGAGCATTCAGGGGATCAGCATAAACAGGGTAATTTTGAGAGGCTGTAAATGTGAATTCTGGTGTTCACCTGGATGTTCTGAATAAACATGAGAACTATTTCATCGGAACTATCTGTATGCCTTTTAAAAGCAACAGAATTAAGAGGCAATAGCTTAGTCTCTAGGCTGGCTTTTTACAAAGGGAAATGTAATGTGAGCTGCTTATTTGTCAGCTTCTTTTAACCACCTCCTCTCCCTGTTAAACGTCTTATCTATTGACCAACTGCAAACAAGTTTGACAGCTGTGTAAAACATTGCTAGGCAATTGGCCCCTGATGCACTTTCCAAATCAATGTTTTCTGATCTGAATTCTTGTGCTTTTACACTACTGAAATCTTGCAGTGAGTGGAGTAATCCTGGAACTGGTGTAAAGACCTCTCTTCGTCCCCCAAATTCAGCCAAACAAGGGGAGACTAAGATTCATTAACTTAGGAACAAGCTGTGTGAGTGTGTTATTACCCACTCCACAGAGATAAAGCTTTAATTTGGAAAAAAATCTGTGAAGCTTTTCAGATCTCTTTTGTGCACGCTTAAACTTAATGAATGCATTCAAGTCTTTACTCATTCTAAAATTATAAAAATAGATTAACTGAGTAAGTATTGTGCTTCTGCCTTATTTATATCACAAGACTGGTGCTATCCTAATGACTGTATTCAGAATGCTATATGTATTGTTACACTTTTGTAATGTATGCTTATGATTTTGTAATGCTAATACACAACTGAAACATATTATTTTGGTGAAAGTACATTTCTTTAGCTTCCTTCCTTGCGCAGAGGGTTGCCTTCTTCTTTCATTAGCTAGTGATAAAAAAACCATAGTGTTGAGAACAGCAGAAATGTACTTGCACAATATACTTATTTACTTTGTGATATTTCTGAATTCTGTCTCTTCTTTTGTATGAGCGTTTTCCTGAATTAGTCTGTCAGGCACATTTGTATCATGAACAAACTATATTTTTAAGAGAAAATACTGGGATGTTACTTTTAGAAGTAAATTCAGGGAAGTTGTGAGCAAATATGCAAGAGGAAGAATGAATTCAAAGAATTCAAAAAAGTGAAGAATTCATAAAAGCCAGTCCATAAAATTTTAATATGATTCTTCATTTAAACTGTAATGTAGAAAAAAAGTTATTGTTCCCAAGTAACCTCCAGTCACCCTTGTGAAAGAAACGTAGATTTCACTTCTCTTTTATTACAAGAAGCAATGCTCCTTGTAATCATCTTTGACATCTCTGCTACTCTACCGCCACTGCTTAACTACTATTTGTTTATTTTTGTAGAGCTGAGAAGTCAGCAGAAGTCTAGAAATATGATCTCTAAATAACTGGATCTAAACAGAATAAAGAAAAGGATACTATTATCATGCATACAGACAAAAATTTCAGAAAAGTCTTCATGCATTTTAACACTAATAAAATAAAGCATACATGCATCTTTTCTGTTGGCTTATGCTAAAAACATTTTTTTTGTTGTTTTGTCAAAGTGAATCACCATAGCTGTTACAAGTTATTCATGGTAATCCAAGAAGGAAGGCATGTTTTCCTGAAGAATGAACTCCCTTTGGCTTACAGTCCTATGGCATAACAAGCTAAGGCAATCAAGCATCTGTCAAATATGGCCCCTCAACCTGAACTTAGAATTTGGTATGCTCTCAATTACTTGGTAATATGTACTGGTATGATTCAGGAAGTGCTTCAGAGGTGGGTACCTGCCCCAGATCTTCCAAGTTGAGAATTAGAACTGTCTATTTCTGTTAAAGCAATGAGTCAACACATAAAATACAAACAAATTTAACCCAGCTCTGCTGGAGACAAGCTGAACATTTTGCATCTAAATTGTAGCGACAGTTTTAAACTTGGATTCTAGCTCTGTTTGTGTAGCATAGAGAATGGAAAATGTGAATGGAAAGGTATAAAATCAGGGAAGAAAGAAATAGCATAATGGAGGACTTTGAACAGTGAAAAGGTGAAGTTCATAATGTACAGTACCCAGGTTGAACGTACAAAATTAAGCAGATTTATTGTCTGTTCTTTCATATTATACCTCATAAAAGCCTTTTGGTTTCATAATTGTAACTTCCCCACGAGGCCTGTATGTGATCTGTTTCCTTGAAACTCAGTAAAATAAAGACCACAGATGGCTTTCTTTGATAAGTGCAATAATTGGAAAATAAACCGCATAGTTCATTAGTTCTGAGGTCTTCGTATGGGCTCTGTAAAAGATATATCTGGATACAAGTTTGTCTGCATAGAATGTGTTTCTAAAATGATAGGATATTGAACTATAAAATATAAAATCCATTTTAATGATTTAATCATCAATCATGCTATGATGAGATTATTTAGCTCAACAGAAGGCAAGTAATTCAAACCCTGCCTAAGAATTATTTTTAGGCATCAACTGGCAGTGCAACTAATTACTCAGTTTATGTCCATAATGACTGGATAAACTCCAGCTCTGAAACAAATGAATAATACCACTTTGCATTTCCATGGCACTTATCATCTATAGACCTGACAGTGTTTTAAAAAATGGGCAAACATTCATGGTGACTATTTCTAGTGAAAGCAGAATGTCCTGAATGAAATGTGACTATGAAGACAAATCAAAGCCTGCTTGAAAGACACTGCTCCATTTAGCCACAAGTTTCAGCAACCAAAACACAGTGAAAACATGTGCTATGCTTACATGAAAGGGTAATCAGGCAGGAAAACAAGTTTTTATAAAGGATACTTTGTACAAAAAGGGTTGCTTTTTGTAGAAATCCGAGGTCAGCAGTATGTGGGATATAATTATAATGTGCCCAGTTCAGACTGTTGTCAGTTATTAATCTATGCAGTTGATGTCAATACAAAGAGACATATAAATACTCACTATTTTTAACTTCAGAATGATTGTCCTAACTCACTTTCTGAGCTGGAATGCCCTCCTGTAGTGCAAGCACACTCATGGAGGAATGCTTGCAGGAGATGCTAAGGACAGATCCCACTACCTGCATGGTTATGCACACAGGTGACTCCAATGCAACTTTAGTCTGTGTGCAAATATAGAACAAACTGCATCCTGATGTATTAGGACCCATTTTGTCCCAAATTTGTCCTTTGAAAAATATCTACAGCTTGGTACTGAACTGAGTACTGGCCCTAGTGGAACTAGAGCTGGCACACAGCTTTTGGCTCCAAGATGATCATTAGGTAAAGAAGAAAATTCAGGAGCTGGCTTAAACTAGAGGAGATCAGAGCTCTGTTTTCTGATTTTAGGTTGCAGAGTGATTTGTTATGCATTATTTTGCTTGAGCCATCTTTCTTGTTATATGATGCAGGATATAGGATAGAACAGCACAGCAAAAGCAACATCTAAACATACGCTCCTAATCCAGAAGTGTGCCCTTGTGGGTGAGAAGGCTAACCAAGTATTCTTGTGTGCGTTAAAAATAAGCACAACCAGCAGGTCGAGGGAGGTGATCTCCCCCTTCTATTCTGCTCTGGTGAGGCCACATCTGGAGTACTGCGCCCAGTTCTGGGCTCCTCAGTTCAAGAAACACAGGTAACTTCTAAAGAGAGTCCAGCAGAGGGCCACAAAGATGAGTAGGAGCCTGGAGCATGTTCTGTACGAGGAAAGGCTGAGAGGCCTGGGGCTTTTCAGCCTGGAGAAGACTGAGAGGCAATCTTATCAATGCTTACAAACATCTAGTGGGCAGGAATCAAGTGGATGGTGCCAGGCTCTTTTTTGATGGTGCCCAGCAACACAACAAATGGTAAGGGGTACAAACTGAAACACAATAAGTTCCATAAAAACATGAGAAAAACTTCTACACCTTGAGGGTGACAGAGCACTGGAACGTGTTGCCCAGAGGTTGTGGTGTCTCCTTCTCTTGAGATAATCAAAATCCAACCAGATGCTTTCCTGTGTGAACTACTGTAGGGAACCTGCTTTAACAGTGGGTTGGACTCAATGATCTCCAGAAGTCCCTTCAAGCCCCTGTGATTCTGTGGTTCTGTGACTCTGTGATATGCATCTTACTAAGTTATTATGCATTCCTTGTTAACATTTGCACTGCACCAGTAACCCACACCATTTAACTTTAGATATACACCTGTCCGGAACATTCATTCCATTTCAATTTTTACCCAGCTGTTGGCAGTAGAATCCTTATATTGTTTGCATCATACTTGTTGCTTGTAATCTGGTTTATTCTTTGCAAAGGGCTGTAGGAAGAACCATCCATATGCTGCAGTAATAAAATCATTTCACTCTTATTCATGCTACAATAAGAAGCTTCCAGCAGAAACTAAGTTGGCACTATGCCATGCCTCAACCACGTAATAAAAAATGCCTTATATATATGCTTTTTCTTTCAGGTAGGTTAGGGTAAAATTTAACCAAGAATTAAGAAGTCTGCCCTCTTTTACCTTGAAGTTGATGGGATTTTTTTTTCAGAAAGTTTTGAAAAGGGGCAAATTGGGCCCTTTGGGCACTTCGTGATCATATCTGTAAAGATACGTGTGAGATACGTAAGTGAAGTTTTACGTATATAGATAAAATTTAACACAGGCATTACAGGGTCAAGACCATAGGTGACTTTATTCAAATAGAGAGCTGGTACACCACTTGATTAGATTTGGTAAAAAGACACTTCTGACAAAGGAAGTGAAAAACAGCTTAAGAGTAAACAAATAACTTTTTTCGTATTGCTCTAATCCAGAAGCAATAATATTTAAACTGTTTTACTGAGTTTTATGAAGCAAAGAGCTAAAAATTGATACGTACTGTTTTAAACAATAAAATCTGTGTTTGAAAGACATTAACAGACATGTCAACCCCTTCTGTGTCAGTATAATACAAGACACAAGGTCCAGTATCATCTCTGTCTTGTAACGTTCTAACAACTACAATACTAAGAAAAAAAAAAGACAAAATGTCCAAAGGTAATGTAAACTGTGCCCATAGCAAGGGATTTGGTCCTTTCCAAACCAAGCCATTCTACGATTCTGTGATTCCTTGAATAATTCTGGACTACTACCAACCTTTACCAAATACAAGGAATTTTAGATCCAAATGTCATTTATATCAGCTAGACTTGTTGGGCAATGAAAATAGGATGTGAGGATTCAAACTGCAATTTTAGGCTACTTAATTAACTATCTACAATCATTTGTACAATTCACTGTTTTTCTTGACTCACTGCTTTTACTCCCTTATACTGCAAGTGCTTATATAGATATGATGCAAGGACATTTTGGAGGCATGCTTCACAGGTGGTCTTGTTGCAGATGCCAAGATTTCCTACAATTTCACTTTTAACAGCTGTGTGAGAATCTTCCATCCCAGGGCACACCTGAGATTTCAGGAAGGCACCAAACTCAAGGCAGAATTAAATTTCTCTGGGCAGAAGCTACAGGGCAATAACATTTGTGGCTGACAGCCAATAAGATCATTCCACTGAGTTCAAAGCACAAATACACTCATAAATCTGGTACAGACTAGCTCAGTTTTCAAATTAATAAATGAATTAACTACAGACTTAAAAGAGTCTACTGAGATTGAGTCTTTCCAGTAGAAAAGGGAATATGTAAAGAATAGAGTACTGAAGTTGCAAGTTATCTGATTTTTTTTAGTGTTTTTGGATTGAGAACAACGTTCGAGAAGTTTATTGAAAGTATCTTTTTCCCACTACTTACTTCCCTAAGTATGCTGTACTAACATACCTCTTTTTTTCACACATGATGTAAAGCATAGCTTATCAAAATGCGGCCTTCACTTTAGGCTAGATAGTTGTTATAAATGTGACACATGCAAGTCTAGAATAATAAAATACATCATTTCTAAAGTATTTCACTTAAATCCTCGTTTTGTTTGCCAACTTTACTGCCTGCCTGTAATAAGGTGACTGAGCAGGAAGTAGAAGTGTTATTTTTGAAAATCTAGCGTGCTGCTTCGAAAATAGAAACTTATTCTGATTTGGTGGGTATTTCTGCACTCCAGTATCAGCCAAACGCCTGCAGAAGAGGTCAATCTAGGGCTAGTGCTCTCTGCCGGGTTCCTCTGGGTATACAAGCACAAATCTGCCAGTTTGCAGCAGTGCTGATGCAGCCCTTGAATCATATTCCAAACCCTAAAGAACAAAATTAGAAGCAGCTTTTGAAAACACAAACTGATTGACATCTCTACATCCAGCGTCATGTTTTAGAAAACATCAGTCAGTTTGCCTTTTCCTGTTGCGATGAAATAATCCTCCCTGTTTTGACAGTCTCTAGCTTTGTGGAATGGAAAGTCAAAATAAACAATGCAGACCACATTGAACATGCTAATACACAACCTCAAATACTTCTGTAATTCCTAGGCCTCAGCCAGACGGCTTATCCAAACATTTCCTCCTGTTGACTCTCTCTGTCTCCCACGCCATCCTGGGCTACTAGATTTTAGATAGGAACTTCTAATACACATTATACAGATTGAAAACAATTTCATTAGCACAAGCTCCACTATCGTAATTGTAATCTTCAGTAAATTAATGCAATTAACCACACTAGGGTCTCCTCTGAGCTGTCCCCTCCTCTCAGCACACAAACCCAAGCAGACAACAGGCTCTTGTATAAAGCTAGCACACAGTGCTCTCTGGAACATTAGCAGGTCTATAGCATTAACAGGATCATGTCACTGCTTCACCTTCAGCTGCTAATGCTCCTGTGTCTTGGAGCCACAGAGCCACAGTCAGACTCACAGCAAAGGAAAAGAAGGCCACTTCAGCGCCTTTTCTATTTAGACAGAAATCTACTTGAAAGCCAGAGTTTTCATGAGCTGCTGGGGGAAAACCCAGTAGGTGTTAAGGAAACACAGGAAGAGCCAAGCTTTTTTATAGCATTTCCACAGACAGCAGGAGACAGTCAGAAGCAAGGGGAGAAAAAAATGTCCAGATTCATCCTTCCTAATGCAGAACTCTATCCACACCAAGATCTGAGAACCTGGGCAGCACCCAGAGAGATCACTCCTGTGGAAAACTTCTCTCCATCCCACTACTCCAGTAAAATGGAGGTTGAATCTCCCTATAGGAAAGATGCCAAAAAATTCTGGGACCATTTCATGTTAAGGAAGAATTCAGCTTCTGAAGAGGTTGTTCTGCCAATCAAGACCAATGAAATGCACCAAGAAACCTGCAGAACCCTGCCTTTTTCCCAGGTAAGAACAGGTCCTCTCCCCTGCCTCTTATAATCAGCAATCTAAGATACATGGGTTAGTTTGTTTGCTAAGATACAGGGCCACTTCAGAATATGCAACATTAACCCCCAAGAAAGATTCAGTACTATCTTAGATTTATGTATCACCACTACTATTGTGAATTTCACTCTGCTTTCTGTTTCAGAGTGTTGCTCATGAGAACTGTGAGAAGGTGATCGTCCAGAATAATCTATGTTTTGGCAAGTGTAGTTCCTTTCATGTTCCTGGTCCAGATGATCGCCTTTATACCTTTTGTTCTAAATGCCTGCCCACCAAGTTTTCCATGAAGCGCTTGGATCTGAACTGCACCAGTTCTGTCCCAGTGGTTAAAAAAGTCATGATTGTGGAAGAGTGTAACTGTGAGACTCAGAAGATAGCAGATCCTCTGCTTGGATCTCTACAGTCAGATTTTCTTGGAAACGTACCTGAGCACAATTAACTCATTCAAGGTAACTCTGAAGTCCCAGATCATAAGGATTTGTCAAGAAAAGAAAAGAAAAAAAAAAATCAGTGAGACAAAGCTTTCATCATACAGTTACACCATAATATTAAAGATATAGACTTTCTGTTTAAACTGCACCTCTGCTTCGACAACAACTTTACTTAAAATTTAACAGACATATCCTTACTCAAGATTATGTGGTTTATGGGTAGAGCCTTATTTTAGCAAGATAAATCTTAAAAAGTTTTCCATCCTTCCTATACCTAACATCTTAGCACATTAGGAAACAACAGCAGAAGAACTAATGTGATTTATTTCTGCAAAAACCTAAAGTACTAGATAGTTTATGCTGTGTTTACTTGCTGAGAATGCCACTGTTGTTCTATTGGTAACACAAAGAAGGCTTTAGTCTCTTCACTGCAAAAACAGGTTTGTTTTTATATCATGAGAGTGACTGGATAATTTAAAATATAAATGGACGGAAGGCAGAAAGAGAGCTGTGAAGAGTTCCTCTGATTGTTCCCAGCTGGAGTTCACTTTCCAGTAAAACTAACACACCTGACAGCTTACACACTTAAGATAATGGTTGCAAATGGTGTTTTGTCATAAAACTACTTACTCTCCTTTTATAAATCTGCAGTTGCTCTGCATTTATTTTTATTGAAAGTTTAACATAGTAGAAGTAGGAAACAAAGCAGGTCTACTTCCACCAGAAATTAATGGATAGTTATTACTGTTATTTAAGTTCACTTTAGAAAGGCAACAAACATTTTCTATGTGATTAATTTCAAGGTTGACAGTGACAGCAAGAACAGTTTAAGTAATGTTCTCAACAGTTAAACTGAAGAAGATGTGTATCTGTGATAGCAAAACAGCAAAATAGTTTTAGAAAGCTTTTTATTGGGAAAGGTCTGATTCCAGTCCTTACCAGCACAGCACCAGTGGCTGTTAGCTGACTGCTCGCTTTCCAGTTGCTTCTCCCTGGGTTTGTCTTGCAGCCCTAACATATCAGACATGGATCAGCTTCCAGAAACCAGACTTCATCCTGTGTATAATCCAGCTCCTGTAATCTGCTGGGAATATTGTTCCAGTGCTATTGCCAAACTATCAGACTTTTGTTCCTGTTACGGAACTATCTGCACCTCTTTCTTTGGGTATTGGAAATAAGTATTGATACAGCTGGTCAATTCAAGGTACATGATCCCTTTGACTGCACAGTGAGCAGAAGTGTCATAGTATTCTGTCAAAAACATACGTTCACCGTGGCTTCATAATGCAAGACCCATGTTTAATTTTTATAGAAAAGAGCATCTGAGTGATAACCTGGTATAGAGTCTGAACTGCTGCAAGAGTTGCTTGCACATTACTTGCAGTGAATGAACTGAACAATAGTATACAGACACCTTTAAATATAAAGTAAACTGTTTTTAAATAATAAAAATTGCATATTAAAACTGAGCAAAGCTTTCGGTCTGTCCTTTTGCACTGAGGACTAACAAGTGAAACTTATATGTCTCTTTGTATGTTATGGTATGATATATAATGTCATTTCAAATAACAAGCTGTTACTGTTTTGTGATCCCTGTATCAAATGCATTATATACAGTAAATATTTATTTTAACCTACTTTAACATTTGTTCTATCTTTATTATACTGATCAATATCCTCAGGATGCCAGCTAATGAAGTGAACTAGCACCCAGATTCAAAAATGGGCTATCACGTTAGACTGAGAGGAGGATGAGTAAGCTGAGGTTATGAATGAAGAAAAAATGTTTTTCTAAAAGGCAGTACCAGCTAGGAACCACATCACCTTAGAGAACAAAGTAGTTCTGAACAAGTAATGCAGTGTTTTACAGTAGCAATTTCTCCTTACTGGGCACATCCAGATGCACAGCCAAAAACCGGTGCTTGGTTAAATAATGCTGTATGCAAGTGGAAAAGCTAAGAGAGTTCACTGTCTCACCTCAAGGTTCAAACCTCAGTACCTTATCAAACCTTTCGAGTTGTGATTACTAACACTCAATTTTAATAAAGCCTAAACACACAAAAAAATGAAGTTCCTAATTTTTTTTTTCTATCTTTATTCCTAAGTCTATTATTTAACCCTAAGAAGTTAAATTTTCAGAGTTTTCTATCACTAATGTTTTAAAGCTGCATGCATATATAGGAATCTTTGCATTTTCTTCTTCAAGAGAATCATCTGAAGGACCTATACTTCCAATAAGATCACAAGACAATTAAAATGAAAAATCCTTCAGTCTCATAATTTGACAAGGTTAACTCCTAAACTGTGACTTTTCCACATAAAAATGGCAGAACTGAGGTTAAATTTTGGACTGTAAAGCATTCAACCTAGTTTTTAAAGCTCTTTCTGTATGCTGATGATTATTGTAATCAAAGAAATCTATTCATGTAAGGAGCCTGCCGGACTGGATTCTTAGTGTGAATTTGCACAGCTTTAAAGTAGGTGAAAAGAGGTAATGACAGCTGTAGTAATTGCTAATTAGATTAGTGCTGTAGTTTTTTTGGATGAATGTTTAATTAACCCAGCAATGACTGGTTGCATGTAATTAGCACGGCATCCTGCAAAATCAAGAATGTGTTAATTGGATCAGATTTCTCAGCCTTTAAAATTTCTTATTAGGAGTAACCTGTGCCTAGAGGCTAACAGGATTTTGTTCTCTCAGCACAGCTACGAAGGTCTCTGCTAGTATAATGATGTGGGTCAAAAAGGTGAGGATTTACGCTCTTATCAATATATGGGTTCATACTGTGGTAATGCTATTACAGCAGTAAGCCTGCATGACTTCTGTCTAGCTGCATCCATTCAGAAGCTGTATGCTTCATGTAATGAAAGTTTTTCCCACTGCAACTGATTATGGTGGAAGTGTTTCTAGTGCAAACCAACTTCACAGTGCAACGCTATAGTTATCAAACTGTCTGAACTTCTGCATTTTTGCTATTTATTTAAGCTACCAGACGTTTTCCAAACACATTCAGAATTATGTTCTTTACCTTGGAAATAACTGAGGAAAGGCACTGTTTATTCTTACTGCCTGAGGAAAGTGTACCTTCGCTATACGCTATTCTCCTGTGTGAGGATTTCATCAGACCGGCATTAATGCCTGTAATTACATCAAACACCAGAGGGTAGCTCTTAATGAATTTCACCCCACCATAGTTTCCAGGAAACCGTCTCAGAAGCTGCCCTCAGTACTTTATGCTTGGTACTTTGTCCACCACGCTTATGAAATATTCACAGCTAACATCATGGCTGTCAGCTAACAAGCTTTAGCATGTTTTACTGACAGGTGGTGAAATCTCATCTCCCAGACTTCCTAGCTCCTCACAGCAATAGCAAGACAATGAGATTCCTTGCTCTTTGGGAGAACCCCTTGCCAGTCTCTACAACTGCATAATCACATTGTGCGGGGGAATTGGGAGCATGTGCTGTGCAGGAGGGTGCAAGGGAAGTGGAGTGGGGTTGAGCATACCTGGGTCCTCCATCAGCAAGTCTGCATTTTGAGACTTTGCCTGGAAACAGCAAACATATGCTGATAGTGAATTACAAATAATTTACATTTGATATTTTGCTAACCTAACTCCTTGAATATCTGGTAGGCAGCTACCAACTCCTGCTCCCTTGAAGGCTCACCCTGGCAGCTGTCAGCCTTTACTTTGCTCAAATGAGAAAGAATGGGGACAAGATAAGCAAGTTTGCACTTAGCCCACTGCAAGAATATTGCCAAAAATTATCCCTGCTGAGAACAAAGTCATCCTGTCTACAGAGCCTCATGTTCTATGGTACCAGCAAAATGCATTTCAACTCAAATAATGAAAAATGGACCAAAATCTATTATTAATTAAAAAAAAAAAAAGGCAAAAAAGAAAAAAAAAGAGGCATTTTTGTTTTGTTGGTTTAGGGTTTTGCTATTACCAGCTATTTACATAGTTTGGAAGCTCATTCAAACTCACTTTGATACAGAGGCATTTGACCATCCCATCATCCTGCCTGGGCTTCCAGCAGTAAACCCTGGAGAGAGAGAGAAGTTAAAAGAGCTAATGCCCAAACCTCTACAGCAGGACATGTTGGCAGAAGAGCTCCTTGTGCCTTTAGACTAAATTAGACTACTGCTTTGTCTACTTCTATGGTAGCCCCCATGTAACCTCTCTGGGCTGGTTGAAATCAGTAGATTTCACCACATTTACCACTGAGGCAGATGGATCAGAAAGCGTACCCTGCCTTTGATTTCTGTGGTAATTAGGTTGAAGAGAGAGAGAGTAAATGGAGTTCAACAGCAATTTTCCTTTAAACTGACTAATGATTCATCCTCAGGATGTGACATTAGGGCTGACAAAACTTCTGGGCCAGGATCAGGACTGATCTCATTTCACTGTGGCGTGTCATTAATGCAGACTGCTGTTATGTATCAGAAATGTGGTCCTTCATGACAGAAAGAATTTGTCTCTGATTCTAAAGCTAACAAGAGCCTTGGATCCATGTTAGCAAGGTTTACTCTGAAGTAAGCAACAGAAGTGGTGCCAAAGAAGAAAACTGGCAGTAACAAACTGCACAATTTAGAAGGATCCAGGAAAGCAGGGACTACTGAGAAGGTGAATTTCTCAACCCGAGAGATAGAGACAACCTTCTGCACATTGATCAAAGGGCACAACTGGGCACAAAATGAATCCTGAAACACAGCCTCATGAAGCAAGGGACTTGTAAGCAGTAGGAATGCAGGGAGTCATGGTGCATACTTCTCTCCTGCATGTGTGCTCCATAACAGAGCATCAGCTGTTACCGCACATGGCTTGATTTTAGCATGCTGATTTAATGTTTACAGAGTGCCAATAAAATTTTTATGATGACAGCTGGTGGGTCCTGTGGTAATTTATAAACAGCAACAACAACACAACACAGACATCAGAAACTCCAAGAGGGATTCTACACTACTGTGCAATATTCAGCACTAAAGAATATGGGTATTTTTCTAATTTTGCAGATTTTAATAGTCTCTGTGTAATACATCCACTTTATGTAAAGTCAGTACTATGCAGTGAGTATTTCACCTAGGTAACTTCTTTTCTTCAGAATGGAGTTCGCTATAAAGACTCATCATTATCTATCACAGAGTCCAAAATCAAAATGTCTGTATTTGCTACTCTGGTAAAAGTGTCATGTAATTTCTGTGTTTGAGTCTTTAAGTTAAATTGGTACACCAAGCACATGACTGCTTGCTTTTCTTCCTGCACTGTGCTTCCCCAGAAGAAATACAAACAAATGGAAACAGATGTGCTCACTACTGAACTCGAGCAGATTACTGCCTTTATTCCACAGTCTGTTTACTATGAAAATCCAGGAGTAGAAAAGAGTAAAACACAACCTGTCTGATGAGACTACAGATCCAATGCCTGGCCACTACCAGTACGCCATGACAGATCTGCAAACAGCTGGCATCTGACTAGATGACGACATTATTTGATTATTTTTCATTCCACAGGAAACTTTCATCTGTCATACTTTCCCTCTTTATTTATTTTTCCATTGTATTTCCCAAGTCCTTACTTCCCTATCATGATTTTTTTCCCATCTGCATTTAGTCTTCAAAAAGTGTTTTCACAAACCACATATTACGCCTCTCACATATAAATTCGCATGCACAATTTGTAATGGAATGGAGGCTACATTTTTTTTTTTTTTTTTTTGTTACAATGACTTTTCCAGTGATTCTATTACCCATGTTTTCAGCGTTCCAACTCATCACCCTGTTTCCAGTACCTTGCTCCTGCAGCCATACCTAGCTAGCAGCTCCTGAGGCAGCCCTGTTCCCTGATGTACTAGGCAGGCTCACTTAGTTCACGTTCCAGACCGGTTTCTGCTATGAGTCCGTATTTTCAGATTGGAGCAACTTTGGCTTGAAATATTAACAGCTGTCTTCTACGGCACAAGAAAGTGGCCACTGAAAGAAAAGAATTAGGACAAGGGCCAAAATCATAATGAATCATAGAACGGCCTGGGTTGAAAAGGACCACAAGGATCATCTAGTTTCAACCCCCTGCTATGTGCAGGGTCATCAACCATCAGACCAGGCTGCCCAGAGCCACATCCAGCCTGGCCCTGAATGCCCCCAGGGATGAATGCTTGAAATCTGCCCGAACACCAACTGACTTCAGATGTTGGGTGCTCTGTTTTCTTCTTTTGGAAGAACCTGCCAGTACTAAGGAAGAGCTTTCGGCATCAGTGATGACCACCGCTCTACTCTTCACCCGATTCTGTGCAAGAAAAGCACAGCAAGGCAAGAGCCAACAGTTTCCAGAGGAAACCAGACCGCTCAGCAGATGGGGCTGCCCTGAGGTTGCCAGGAGATCGCATCAGCGATGGGTGCTCCAGGCGTGAGTCCCAGATGGGAGCACTGAAATCACCTTCCATTACAAGCTGTCTGCAGCTCTGAGCCATTGCTAATTGCTCTCCGGGCAGAACTCACTGCTAAAAACAACAACAACAAAATCGCTTCTGCGGCCACACACCACAGCCGCCTCGAGCAGGAACGAAGGCAGACCCGCGGAACGCGCGCGCCCTGGGCGGACCCACAGCGACCCGCGCGCATGCGCGGCCGGGCGCGCGGAAGCGGAAGGTGGCGCTCCCGGCTCGCTGCTGCGGCGGGCGCCGTTCGGGAGCGTGGGAGCGGCCGAGCCGGCCCCCGGCGGTTGCTATGGAGAGCGGGGGAAAGGGGGGAGCGTGACCGTGGCCCCTCCCTTCTTCCTCCCGGCCTCGCCCTACGGTTGGTTCCGCCTCGTGCCCAGGGCGGGGAGGGGGGCGAGGGGTCCGGCGGGGGAGGCGGTGGGCTGCTGCGGGACGCGGGGGGGGAGGGAAACGCGGTGCCTTTAGCCTTCTTCGTTTGCACGCTTTCATTTTTTCTCTCTGTTAGTTAGCAAATTGCAGGTCTTCAGACTGAGGTTCTGCTGAAGTAGCGTTTGCTACCTTTGGTCAGCGCCGGGCTAAGGCGCTTGTCTTGTGTTGGTGATGTGGGGGTGCGGTGAGTGCGTGCTGGCAGCACGAACAGCGGTGGTGCTCGGCAGTCCTTGCGTGGATGTGCTCGCAGAAACACCTTGCAGGGCTCTGTCTGCAACAGAGGATGGCTGGGAGTGTCATGGCTCCCTGCCCGGTAGCTGCATCACAACGAGGTCTTCACAGCCAGCGGTTGTACCCGTGCGGGATGCTGGCCGTGGCAGAAGTACAGTGCTGTGTGTACGGGCTGCTCAGGTGCTGAAGACCCGTGAAAAACAATGCTATTTGTTGTCTGACACAGCTCTTCACAAAAAAAAAAAAAAAGACATAAACGTGTAGCTGAGAAATGATTCAGTCATTTGCTGTAAGTCCGCTCTTTTTCTTTTTTTGCCTGGTAAAGCATAGTTTTATTTTTTGTAATAGCTGCTTTAGGCAGTAGCTCTTCAGCCAAGTGCAGAAGACTTCAGGAAAGTTTTAGATGCAAAACCACAGGTGAAGGCACAAGTTGGCAGACCACATTGATTGCTGCATCCTTGATTTTGCTACCGCACATGGAATATATAGCAAGTAATATATGTAGCAATGAAGTTGGTGAGGGGTCTGGGGCACAGGCCTTGTGAGAAGTGGCTGAGGGAGCTGGGATTGTTCAGTCTGGAGAAGAGGAGGCTCAGGGGAGACCTTACAGCTCCCTGTAACTACCTGAAGGGAGGTTGTAGTGAGCTGGAGGTCAGCCTCTTCTGTATAACAAGCAATAGGACTAGAGGGAATGGCCTCAAGTTGTGCATGGGGAGATTCAGGCCGGATGTTAGGAAAAAGGTCTTCTCTGAAAGAGAGGTTAAGTGCTGGAATGGGCTGCTCATGGAGGCGGTGGAGTCACTGACCCTGGAGGTGTTCAAGGAACGTTTAGGTGCTGTGTTGAGGGACATGGTTTATTGGGAACTATTGGTAATAAGTGGACGGTTGGACTGGATGATCTTGTCAGTCTTTTCCAACCTTAGTGATTCTACAATTGTAAGTTTCTACTTTCTGTTCCTATTTAAAGTGCTTAGAAAACACTCTTTTCAGGAAGTGGTGCTTTTCCTCCCTTAAATATGTGCTTTATAGAACATAGCCTTGCTCGGTTTGTGTGAGTTCTACAAACTGTACTTCACAGTGAACCATACCAAGAAATATTAATCCATGTAGACATTTGTTGGAGCATTTGTGGAGAAAAGTTCTGGGGAAGTGAGATTTTGCAAGTCTTAGTTTCCATACTGAAGTAGAAGGATTTTTTTTGTGTGTGCATGTGAATCTTGTATTCACACAAGTCTGTTATTTCAATTCTGGTTTGTGCGAAGATTTCTCTTTTTTGGGGGGGGGAATGACATTCTGCCTTCCTGTTTTAGGTTGTGGGCTCATTATTCAGCAGATATCAAGTCAGAGTTCATACTGAAGGTTATAGTACTGAGCAAATACTGTGTTTATGACAGTGTTAACTGAACTGGGGAGAAGGAAGAGGGTTGAGAAAATGCTCTTTATGCATCCCCTAATAAATGTATTTTTTGGAAGTTAAAGAATAATTTTTGATCCCATAGGAAGGAGTCAGCCATCTTTTGACAAACTTTTGACAATCTTTTTGCAGCCACAGGTGCCATTTCCTTTCAAATGCTTTGTGTTTGAAATGTTTATTTAGAATAGATTGTTATACATTCTGTTAAGAGAGGAAAAAATTCAGAGCCTTGGGCACATGGGTTTTATCCCAACTTATTTTGTTGGAAAAGTTCTAGGCATTACACATATGAGTACTGCTGTGTAGACATAAATCATTTGTTTCTTTTCAGTGGTTATGTTGTAAATTGTCTCGTAAACTTCCATTCTGAACATACACTAATTCTTCTTATGAAAAATGGTACATCCTAAAGAGCTAACTAAATTATGTGGGATTGATCTTCCTATGTTTTGGTGTAGGTTTTTTTTAAAAAGTGAATACAGACTTTTTTTTTTAAGTGTATATTTTAAAAGTGAAGACTACAAATTCACATTGCCTGTGAGTTAAATTCAAATCTAGTGTTTTTTACCTACCACTGGAATGTGCTTCTGTTTGTGTTTTAATATTTTCCCCCATACATACTAATCTGTATAAGATACATAGACCAAAGGAAGGAGGGAGACAAGCTAACTTTGGTAGAAGTCAACATATAAACATTATCTGTGCAGTATCACTGCCAGAAATATAAGGAACAGCAGAAGATTTATTGTTATAAAAGGCATTGCCTGTTATACATGCAGGGAGTACTGAGGTGTAGTACTGCAGTTTTCTACTGAACCTTACCTGAACAATCCCATCTACAATGTGTGTTAAAATTTTGAAGTGTTCTAGAACTGAAATTAGAAGAAATAAATTTAGAACCAGTGTAACAGTTCAGATGTGAGAGGCTAAGGAGCTGTGTACCTCTGTAAATAGCTGGAAAAGAAGCTCTGTTCAGTGATGTAAGATACTGGGATGAAGATCATTTGAGTATCACACTCTTTTTCTGTATTTCAGAAACAACAGTAAAGAGAAAGTTCCAGAGCTGGATGATGAAAAATCTCCTGGTTTCTATGCTTGTCTTGAGAATGGATCCTTCTTTTGCATAGTTCCAAATTCGTGGAACTTGTCATCATCAAAGGTAAGTTTTGTCATTGGTTTGATTTCATTTATTATGAAATTAAATAATGTAGCAGGTAGTCATTGAGTAGTAAGAATTTGGGATAAATTTCTGTTTTAGATTTACTGTTTTTTTCCAAAGTGTTCCTCACTAGTTACTTAGTTACTTACTTAATGCTCACACATTATACTTAGATATAAGTATATCCACTTATGAATGAATATTTCAATTTTTGTAGGTCTGTTTTATTTCTTGAACTGTTACTTCCTTTTCTGAAGATGCGAATCCTAGAATATCTACTATTCTAGGATGACAGAAACCAAATGGGTTCCCCAGCATTAAGCAGTTTTTCTAGGTTCTTAGAAACATGTTCTACATGACTTCTTTGTAAATCCATCCTAACTACTACCAATCAGTTTGTTTCAAAATTGTGTTTTGAAACAGTTTCCAGGAGTGTAAACTCCACCTTCCTGGGGCTCAGAAGGAGCATAATACACCTGTAGTTTCCTTGCTCTTAGAAAATAAAAATGTCACTTGCATTTGTTAGTCCTCAGGACCCTCTCCCATCAGCTCAACCTTTCAGTGATAAATGTGAATGTCCTCACAGTGACATGGACTGGCTCCCTTCAGTGCCTGTACAGAGGCTGCTCCAAAAGTACTGCCTCATATTTTATTATGTTGGCCCATGATGTCAGAAGCAGACTTTAGTGGTATGGCAGTAGAGGTTGTCAGGGTTTTATGATTTTTTGCTATTGGTATTATTCCACATCATAACATCCCGTAGTTCTATGGATTGTTGGTAGTTCTGTATGTGTGATTCTCAGAAGAGAAGAACAACTGCATATCCCAGGAGACTTTCACAGTTCCATTTCTGTTTTCCATTCAGAAGGAAAGGTAAAACTGCTCATAAGTCACGAGTCTGCCCTTTCTTTTACTGCTCATTACTGCATTCTGTACTCCCTAGCCATCTCACTTTCAACACTAGAGTAAGGCCTTCAGTTTTGGACACACTCTCTCTCATTTTATTTGATTTATTAGTTTCAATTCCAATTATATTGTATTATATTGTGATATCTTGCATTCTGATATCGTATTTAGTAAATTAGTTTTTCTCCCTTAGCTCATTTCCACTGTTTTGTTTTTAGGCCCATATCCATACCTTTTCCCTGCCCCCCCCTTCTTTTCCTTCTGGGGCGGGAATCCATTGGTCACATTGGTTATTGAGTCAGGCCATACTGGCTCCAAAAAAACATTGGCAAGGTTGAACCTTCTCTACAATGTTCCATTACATGTTGTGGCTGTGTAACAGATGGCAGCTGAGGGGCAGTCTGACAGGGTGGCATCGGACATGGAAGTGCGTATGAAGCAAAAGTGTGGAACTGATTTCCTTCATGAGAAAAAAATGGCACCCACTAATATTCATTGACACTTGCTGAACATTTATGGAGACCAAAGAGTGGATGTGAGCACAGTGGCAGTGGGTCACCTTGGCTGGTACAGATTTTTACAGGCATGACATACAAGCTCTGGTTCATTGCTGAAAAAATACAAAGCTAGCAGTAGTGCCTCTGTTGTATAAACGTTTTATGTAGCTGAGGAATTGTATTAAACAATGTTACTGTGCTGTTTCTGTATCTGTTCTAGTTTCATTGGATATAGATAGGTCTCTCCAGAAAGTAATGCCTTCTATGTTGCATCTCATCAGGTGCCATGAAATTTAGTATATTCAGTTTGCTTAAAGGTTTCTTCATCTGTTCCTCCCTCACACTGAGTAAGTCTCTGTTGCTCTTTACTTTCTCGTTGGTCTCAGGGGCCTGGAATTCCAGAAAGCAGGTCTTACTCATGGAGATTGAGTTCAAGAAGGCAGTTTGACCTTTTCAGTGCCCTTTCACCAAGTATTCTGTTCTGTTCAGCAGCAAGCCCATATTTACCCTAACCTTCCTACTGCTGCTTGTCTGCCTCTAGAGTTCCTTGTTGACTTCATTTCTCAATAGATTCAACACCAGATTCAGCTTCATATGACTTTCCTAACCCCAGCCCTGCTCATTCAAATGATATTTTCCTGTATTCTTCATGCGCCACCAGTTCATGCTGCCCCCTCATAAATGCTTCAATTTTATGTCTTAGTTCTGTTAGGAACTCCTTGTACATGTGTGAAATTCTCCTGCCACTGTTGCTTAGGCTCCTGCTCATGGTGCTGGACCATTCTTGAATTTGGAGGTGGACCTTGAACCTGAGCTCTTCTCAACAGTATAGTCTTACAAGGAGTTCTTCCAAGCAGTGCTGGTACAGAGCAAGGTCTGTTTTGGAGTCAGATTGTGGTCTCACTGTTTGTCGTCTTCCTCTTTTAAGTAAGTCATCAGTACCACCATCTCATGGATGTCACACCCAAGGCCACCCCTGACCTTCACATCCACACCTATTTCTTTGTTGGTAAGCAAGAAGTCTAGCAGAGCTAGACAAACAGGCAGTTGGGTTCTGTGTCAGGAAGTTGTTGTCAGTGCACTCCCAAAACTTGGATTACTGGAACTTTGCTGTTTTCACCCTTCCATCAAATACAAGGATGGTTAAAGTTGCCCATGTGGTATGTAACCTGTCATTGTACGAGCTCTCACAGCTTTCTGGTTGAAACTTCATGTGCTTCATCAATCCTATGTCAGATAATCTTTAGTAGACAGCCTCCACAGTGTTAGCCACACTGGTCTTCTTGCTATGCCTGACATTAGCTCAGGATGTCTGGCTCAGGATTTGCCTTAAGGTAGAGCTATACAGACATGCCCTGTCATATGAAGGGCAACTCTTCTCTACTTCACACAGTTAGAGTTTGTTCTTCCTGAAGTGCCTGTGTTTATCCATGGCAGCACTCTGGTTCCATAACCTAGTCTAGTTTGTCTTTGTGATCTGGGTGAGAAAGTAATCCATATTTCCATGCAGACCTCTAATTGCTCTGATTTGTTTTTATCTGTAGTGGTATACAGGCACTTCAGATGGACACCCAGTTATACTGCTTTCTCTGAAAAAGAGTGCAGTCTTCCCCCATTCAGCCCTGTTTTCTTAATTATAAGATCTGTATTATCCACATCACCCTGCACACTTTACTTGCCTGTTTTGTCCGCCACTTCCTCACTAAATGTTTTTATGTGGGTTATGCTTCCTGGTCTCCACTGGCTCTGTCTGTGAGCCAGTGTGGAAGAGTATCTGGGTATAGTAGTCTAACTCCCAGACTTTGGCCTCAGTAACAGCCAGTCCTTGATATCTGAGCCCATGGCAAGCAGCCATGAGATCACAGCTTGGGTCAGCAGAGGTGTCTCACTCTATGTAAGCAGTGAATTTCTCACTGTTACACTTTGGCCCATCTTGCTTACAGTGTCACGGTACTCAGGCCCTGTCAACTTGGAGGCTTCATTGTACAGAGCTCCCTGCTCTCACTGCTGAGAGGGTCCTGAAGAGCCATTTTCCAGATGCTCACAAGCTTCCAATTTTTGCCATCCTGGGCATATTCATTCCCAGATTGATAAGCACTTGTGTACCTTCTCTGTGCAGGTGGGTGTTAACACTTGCGTAATTACAGTGTCTTGAAGTAAGTCTTGTTAATCTCCTTTTTGGCATCCTTGATGTCACATTGTCTGCTTGCCTCCTCCCACAGTTCCTGCACTTGATGAGACAGATTCTCCATCAGCGCACGCTTAGTCTTGCATAAAATGTTCTAAAACCTGCTCGTTGCCAGAACTAACTCAAAGGCATATTAAGAGCTAGCAGATTCAGGAGAACAATTCCAAATCATTTATGTCTACATATATCCCTAGGGATACTGTGTGTACATCAAATTATTGTGCATGCGAAGTGAAATTAATAAAAGATCAGTAAATACAGGACTACATGTCCTTTATGATTTTCATAAACCTAATGGTTTTAAGGACACTGTAAGCTACATTTAGTATACATGCAGGTTTATAAAACAAATGCTAGCAAATTTGATGCATTCTTAAAGCAAAAATGAACACTAAAAGAGTGAACGCTGTACTTGGAAAGGAACACCATTGTGTTTCCATCTATTGCAACAGCAATGAAGGGGTTATGATAAATTGTAGAAACATCATCTCATTTGGGTTTGAGTTTATTCTTTCCCTAGATAACTAACTAAAACAAGACATTAATGAAACCTGTGGATAGTCTTAAACAGAGAAGTTGTGAATGTCAGTGAGGATGAAGCTATCAAAATCCCTGAAAACAGCGGTAATGTCAGATCAATAAATAATAGGAAATTTTGACAGAACAAATAGAAATTGAAGGACATCCATCATTATGGGCAAGTAGCCCAGAGGTAAGTGAAGCTTATGCAGAAAGGAGAGCTTCTTCCATAGAAGTGCAGACAGGGTTTTAAATGTGTGTTACAATGTTAAGATTCTTAAGGTGAAGGCAGGATGACAAAAAGTGTGATGGTAGCAGTCCTTCTCTTGAAGGTCCTGATTAATAGTGCTTATAATTTGTAGTGCGGGGAAAGTGAAAAACAAACACCCGTTAATCATGCTCAGAAGTTTGTATTCATAGATTTTCTTCAGACTAAAATGAATTAAAAAAAAATAATCATATTAAACTATGAGAATGGAAGCCTTGCTGTTTTAAGTATAATAGTGAAATAACTGTTGTGTGATACTTCTAGATAATCTGTATGAAAGCTGTCAAGTTAGTGCTTTCTTTCTCAATTTTTTGTTAGAAAGAGAGGAGAACATGGAGGAGAATACTTAGGAAGTGAGAAACAACAAAACCTGGGGGAGCCTGTGAGGATGTTATCATGCAAGGTTTAAAAAATGTTTAGATTCCTTAAATCATAAACTGTCAGGTTTCTTTTCGCTGTTTGAATGTATATGAAACCCTGCAGATAGCACAATTCTAGTTTAATATACTCTTTTTTCTTTGTTGTTTTTGTTTTTATCTCTCTAGGATCATCTTTTCTCCTTGGATGGATTGATTATTACTTGTTTGTGTTCAATGGGACTTCGAATTCACTTTGTGGTTGACCCTCAGGGTTGGTGCTGCATGGGCCTGATAATCTTTGTTTGGCTGTACAACACAATCTTCATTCCAAAAGTCATCCTTTTTCCTCACTATGAAGAGGGGCATATTTCAGCTGTGGCAATTTTGTGTAAGTCTGTTTAACTTAGTCCTTTTCTTTTTCTAGTAACAGTAATACATTTGACCAGCAGTTATCAGGCCAGAATATAGAGAACAAGGTGAAAGTTAAGGCTGAAGGATAACACAGAGGGTAAGAGTACTGGGACATGTTCTGTGTTTTGTGTTCTAAGAATTGAGGCACTTGTTCCTTTCAGAGGTGTTACAGTAAAACTTTGTGGAAAGCAGAGAAAAGCATTTATATACCTTTCAAGTCTTGCAGTAGGACTTTTTTACTGGATTAAATAGTGTAATTACAAAATTTGATGGACATGTCGGAAGTTATGATGGTAGTACTGATGGTTGAACAATTGAGTTCTGCTAGCTCCAGGTGTCCCTTGATGGATGGTTGGCTGAGTTATGTTGATATGATCAACTTGGGTAAAAGCTTGTATTATAGCTACAGCCATCTTTTTGGTGAAGGTCAACCACTAGGTTCCTTTCATCTGAAGACTTTGAGATTTAGAGTGATTGGCATTTATTTGATGAGACAGTGGAGGAGCTTCTTGGTACTGATTAATAAGGTCAAAGTGACGTCTTGCTGCTACTGTCAGAACAGTGTTCTTTGCTACTTTTTCCTCTCCCTTTTTGAGATTATTTAATTTAGTAGAATGCATAGCGTCAAATGTATATCTGCAATTCAGAAGGCAGAGTAATTTCTAATTTAGTACTGGATCCTGTACATTTTTGCTATAGTGTAAAGCAGTTGTCACCTCAGAATGCTAGGCTGTTTACTACTATAGACCAAAACTGAAAACATGCTGTTTCAAATGCTGGATTGTCCCTGTACTGTAACTAACATATAGCTTCTTAAACATTAAGATGTTGCAGTGTGAGTAGCAGTCAGATCTTTTTAGGTGGTGATTTATTTTTATGTTTTGTTTTGGTGTAAACAGTTCTGTCATGGTAAATGTCCTAGTGACTGTGACTTTGTCATTGCTTTCCGTATAATGTTTCTGAGATTAGGATGTTTTATTTGTTAAAGCAAGCGTGAAAGTGTGATGTATATAATTCAAAATTTAAATTTCCTTTGGAAATGCCCTTGTTTTTTTTGCAGTGGTCCTGTGAAAGAAAGATTTGTAGAACAATATTTTGGTAGATTCAAAAACAACATGGAAGTTTGGAATTATTTTGAATTAATAAATCTAAAATTTGTACATAACTGTGTTTTCTCTAATATGGGAGATAATGGTACTGCATGCTATGGTGTGTTTTTATTTTAATCCATCATTTAGTACTTCCTGCCATCAAAATGCAGGAACTGAGTTTGGAAAAATTCAGTGAGGCTTTGAGTCTTTGCCAGGATGTGGTTCCTTGCAGAGGCATACAAGTACTTACTGCTTCTCACATCAGTGCTTGACATAAAACTTTTTATTCACAAGTCTTACTATGTTTATATATCCAGCATTTGTGGAAGATTAGAGGATACATCCACCATCATTCTGGCAAGACTGTTGGGATTTATGAAGGAAGCTAGAGAAGTGTGCTGTTTCCTAATAGCTGGGAAGCAAGGCAGAGGGTCAGTTTTTACTTGCCAGCTCCTTAATTTCTTTTCCTAGGTACCGATGACTAGCCAGTGATATGTGAAATAGAGGTCTACCTGGACCTTTTTTGCAGATGGTGCAGTATGACAATTCTTGTGTTTATACAACCCACAGGTCAAGCATGTCTTGAGTAGAGTATAATTTTGTTTAGGGTTTCAAAATAGGGTGATTTGAAACATCCATGAGTAGCACATAGCGAATTAGTGAACTTGATGGATCTGCGAAGTTATGCTGGTGTTTTATTAAAACATTTCAGGATTTACAGCTGTCCCTACTCTTCTAGACCTCGTAACTTTGTAAGCCCATGTGACAGGGACTCACTGAATAGATGTGTAATTTGATGAAACTTACAGATACTAGTACAGTGTCTTGTGATGATTTTTTTTTCTTCAATTTCATTTAAAAACTAAAGAAGTTACTCCTGTTCCTTAAATTAGGACCATGGCTTTGCTTACTAGATCTTGGAAAATCAATTATCTTTGCTTTATATAGTTAAAAATTGTCATAGACTGTCTGCACGAAGGTAATAAAGTTTTTTATAACCTTAGGAGTTTTATACACTTACGTGGTTAGTCTTGTTTTAATATTTTCTTTGTATAGTGTACGTTGAATATTTACACTTAATAATTACAGTGGTTTGTTAAATATGTAAAATTCTGTTCACTATAGTGAAAAAAACCTTATTTTAAATTTCACTTACATACCCTTTTGAAATTTTAATATATTTGATGTAAATGAAAGTGTGATGTGTTCTTTTTTCCTGCTTTTTACCCAAAAAAGAATAACAAACGCTTATTTTTTCAGGTTATTACCTCTGCTCATTGTTTTGCATAGCTTCTTTAGTAAGAGCCTCTGTTGCTGATCCAGGAAGGCTACCTGAAAACCCAAAGATTCCAATTACAGGTACATTAAGTTGTTTCTATTTAGCTGAATAAAAATTACTTCAGTGTCATCAGAATAGTTGGGAATTAACGTAACGTTATGAGATTTAATTGAAACCACTGCTGAAGTATGTATTGTTACTGAAATGAGAAGCTTTATAATTCACTATTTCTGACATTTAAATTTCTTGTATTTTGTGTAGACTTTAAGCTTCTTTTTTTAAAGATTCACATTCTGTCAGAAGTATGGTCATGCAGGAACTTACGCTAGGACATATTTTGATGGCCAGAATTTTGCATTTTGTGCTTTTAAATACACTGCATGTGCTTCAAATGATAATAACATTTTTTAGAGATGCATAGTCATTTTAACTCCACTGCTTTTTTTTCTTGATAAATTTATAAGATGCTGAAACTGATGGTAGAAGCTGCTGTTGCACGGGATTTTACCTGTGTTTTTTTATGCATTTTATTGCAATAAATTCTGTTTGTATGGACTGTTAACCAAATAAACAGATGGGTTACATTGAGAATTCCCTCTGTACTTGTGAATTTATTCCACAATTGCTAAATGGTATCTGATGTACTAGAAATTGAAGGGCATTTGAAACCTTAATAATTCTCCAGGGAGAAAGCCAATATTTTAATGACACATTTGATGCTTTTAAGGTGCTCTTCTAGTCCATAAAGCTTTTACATAGCAGTTGATAATGGAGTAGTTAAGCACGAGTTTTTCTACGTGAAAGGAAGATACTTTTTCAGTATAGAAAGCGTAACAAATCCAGGAAGGAGTGAAAACTTCAATCATGTATTGCAGTGACTTTGCTTTCCCTTCCTGATGGTAGTGAGAATCTATGGTGATCTGTCTGGAAACAATCTGTTTATCGTCAGGACTGATGTTTACACAAAAACTATGTAGGAGATAATAGGAAAGAATATGCTTGGGATTCAGATGTGAAACACTGATTGTGGAACAGTCTCTTACCAGTATTCCTTTTTTTCCCATTATCTAAGCATCTGAGTCAGTAAAAGGAAAGGTTGCGCAGATGTGATTCTTCAGTCAGACTTTTTTCTACAGGTAAAACAACATAGAATCTGCAGTCTGAGATAGAGAACGAAGACATTTAGTACAACTATAGACATTTACATTTGTGATTCAGTGTATTTGTTCTTTTTCCAGTAAAATAGCAGTACCAGCAGGAGCAACTACTTTATGCATGAGCATTTCTTTCTCTTTTAGGGTGTATGTTTGTGTAGATTTCCAATCTTTTATCTTCATGCTGCATTCATGTCACATAGAAATGATACTCTGTAGATGTTTCTGAAGATGGAATACTTAGGCTTGATTGCAGTGATGATGTTATGATTTGAGGTGCATCAAATCATATTTAACGTGCATCAAGTTTTTGAGTTTTCTAAAGTAATAATTTGGTTCCTATATTCTATAGTTTGATGGGAAGATATATTTTGAATGGTATAAATTATATTCAAAAATGTAGTTGAGGTGTTCCTGAACTGTGCTATTTGCTACTTGATTGGGGAGTGACACCTTTGTGACACTGGATTTATGGGAACAGATTGTAAAACAGTTTCCATATGGCATTATTACTAGTTTAATGATCTTAGATATTGTGCTTCTGTACTTCCAGTGTCCAAATGTTATTTGTCAGCAAGAAAGACAAGATAAGGGCTGCCAGCAGGTGGCTTAAAAAGTGCTAAATTAATCTTTATTTTCTTTATGTAGTGAGAATGTTTTATCATGCCAAATTTCTGAATGATCTGTAAAAACTGGGCTTTTTTTTCCCCTGTGATTTAAGAAATCTATGTGCATTAAAAAATTGCTGTTTAAAATATTTAAGATTCTTAATCTTGCAGCCACTGTCTTTGAAGACAGAAAATATAGCATTTTTTTTTGAATTGAATTATTACAGTGTTGGTGCCATTTGTTTCCCAGGTGTAGATGAACTTTCTGAGTGCGCCATTAAATTTCATATTTTCAAAGGCTTCCTCTGATTTCAGTGACAGGATTTGGGAAAATAATAGCTAAGCTAACCAGTAGTTGCTCTTGTCAGTTTCAGTAAGTTGGTATCTCTGGAGATCAGTTTATCTCCATGTTGGGCATAGAATACTAGTGTGTATTTTTAAATAAAAGCCTATCTTCTGTTTGTTTTAGTGTTTCATCTCTTCATCTCTTAAGATGTTTTGAGGTGAAAGAAGCTTCAGAAGTGTTTATAGTGTGTTTTATTTTAGTTAGCTGTATTTGACCAATATGAGTCCTCAAGGTTTTGGAATGGCAGAGAGAGTGTATGACGTTTCTATTTAACAAGCTGTTTATTGTATTCATCTCATAGTAAATTTTTTTTTCCTCCTCATATCACTGGGATATGTGTTTATCATGAGCATGCTGTACTGAGTTCAAATCTTTCTAAGGCTGTCTTTATGATTTCCCCTAGAAAGAGAATTTTGGGAATTATGTAACAAATGCAATATGATGAGACCAAAGCGTTCACACCATTGTAGTCGTTGTGGACATTGCGTGAGGCGGATGGATCACCACTGTCCATGGTAAGACCAGGACATTTATTCTAATGATCTTCTATAGTTTTAGATTATCTTTTCGAAGTTCGTGGTTACATTATTGTGTATTTGTGCCCTTTCTTTCCCAGTAGTGCTGAATCATTCAGGCATTTAGTTCAGAGTAAGAACAGCTTAGGGATTCCTTTTTGTGTACAAGTAAAACTAAGAAAAATTACTGTTGCAATGTGACATTTAATCATTGACAAATTGTTATACATCATACAGTTTTCTAAAGTTTGGGTATTTTATTTTAAAAGTTGCCAGTTTTACTCCTTGACACTGATGCCAGTGTAATTAATTTGTATGTTGCATGTTTATTTGTTGCAACTTTTTGTTTCTTGTGCTGGAAAAATATTTTTTGTAAGAAATTAAACTTAATATTTCTTGGATGGAAATCAAAAATTACAATTTCAATACAAAAGTGAATGCTTTTTGTAATACTGAAAATATTTTACAGTTTTTATACAGTTTTTATTTCTAGTTTACCTAATGTTTTTGCTGGTTAGAAAACATTACTGCTGTACGGCAAATCCCATTTGTCATGGTCTCTCTTATTTTGTAGTGAAATTGCTTCTTTTAGTATTCGTTGACTAGTCATGGTCAGCCAGGCTAAGATTCTTTGTTTAAAGTAAGTCAGCCTGATTGTTGCTTAAAATGAAAATAAGCCTTGCCATCACTGGTTCTGTGGTATAATTTCCATCAAAGAAACAGACGAAATGAAAAAGACGGAATAGAGGTCAGGATCATCCTGTATTGATGTAGCCATTTTCAAACTAGCCTTTTATCTGTTTACAACTCAGAAAACAGTGCCAGTGTAATGCATTTGACATTGTGGCTTAGTGTGGTGCTGTTGTCTGTGCCAGAGCTTGTGCTAGAGCTACTGTGCTTTTATGAAGTTATATCCCTAAACAAATTTTATGCATCAGTGTAATAACTTCTGTGAAGCAGGTGAAGCAGACTAGACCTAGATTTCAAAGCTCTGAATCTCTGCGTTAACATTTCTAGAGTCCTTGAGATTCCTTTGCTCCTTTACATTGGAAGAACTGCAGAAGGACTTTCTGAATAACTATGAATAGGGATAACTATTCTTCTTCTCCTGTGTCTTATATTTTTTTCTAAGTCATGTTTATTTGCCATTGGGGTACCCTGTGTTCAGATTTAATACAAATTTTTAATTTGCTTTTCTAGCTTTTCGACTACATAGCTCAATACTGTTGGAATGTTATTAGTGAAGAATACTTACTAATGTGAAATTTTGCAGATACTTTAATCTTGTTACCTGAGTATTACTTAAAAATGTGAGTGTATCATTGCTGTTTGAAGGTGAGGGGAAGTAAGTCTTGTAATGTAAGCAGTAATTTCAGTTATGCATCTTTAAGCGACCAAGTAGCCATACTCTTTACAGTAACTGCCATCTCTAACATGGAGGCCATTGCTTTGATCAAGAATGGAGTTACTGCTTGTAGTTCTTACATTTGACTTTTCTTAAACGTAATTGGTAGTTCTGTAGCCTGACTGTTTCATAAATAATGTTGAAAGCCTTTATATTTCAATCATTGTATTCTTTGTTTCTCTGCAGGATTAATAATTGTGTTGGTGAAGACAATCATTGGCTGTTTTTACAGCTGTGTTTCTACACTCAAATTCTTAGTTCCTATACGCTGCTACTTGATTTCTGCCATTACTACTACTTTTTGCCTCTGAAAAAAGATAACTGGGTAAGAATTTCTTTTCTCTCCAAGCTGAATTAATAGCTAGTAGTGCAGTGTTCTGATTGCTAGACATTCCTTCTGGTTCTCTTGTTAAGAGTGAAAAAATTATATGCAGATGTATATTGTGAAGTAAGCAAATTCATTATGCTAAGTAACAGTATATTCTAAAATGGTTTATGATGACACAGAGGAAATTAAATTATACATTGAAATAAAGTGAAAAGATATTCTACAGTTATGGAACTGAAATTGTAAAGTCTATATCTAGTGCTCATTTGTTTAATACCTGTAGCACCCAGAATATTCAAGAGGTTGGCCTGAAATTTGCTGAATGCTTGAAAGTGTTAGAATAGCAAAGCTGATACTCTTTACTTTGGGGGGGGGAGGGGGGAAATTATGAGATTTTTCTCATAAAAATTCATAAAAACCTCTTCCTAAAATCTGAAATAAACTTTGTCTTTCTCCCAGACCATGCAAGCACAAGCTCACAAAATAGAAAAACCTAGAAAACAGGGTACAAGAGACAGAGACCATTCCAGAAATTTGTAGCACACATTAAATTTTACTGAGGTTTTCTTGTAAGTGCGGCAGATTTTTTTTTAATTCAGTGTTGATGTGACATCCCGTTGCTCTCTCTGCTGGTGATATCACATTCATCTTTGAAAAGTGCTGTAGGCTAGCTTTACGATGTGAGTAAGGCAGGTCTCATTTTCTGTTTTGTTGAAGGTCTTAGGTTTCTTACCTTATTTTGTATCTTCAGTGATGTAAAATAAGAGAACTAAACTTTCTGAAAAGGAATAATGGGACATCACTTCCTAAGTTCCTTATTTACTCTCTTGTCATTCTGCAAGGAATGCAGTGCTCCCAGAAAAGCATACATGAGCATGATGTGTCAAAGGAGAGATGAAAGATGTAAAAAGAATGTACTGTTTTGATCATCCAGAATTTGTAGAAATGTTAATGTGAAGTTCATAGATACCAGCTTCATATTATATCGAATTTACCAGAATTGAGGATTTTTTTACCTCACTAAAAAGAGGTCATCTTCATTTGCAAGGTATTTTCTATTTTATTTTTTTAATCTACATGAATATTTCTTTTTAAATGACTCAGAGGTCTCTAGTAACATGGGAATCAGAAGAATTTGCTGGCTGCATGGATCATCTTTACATAGATAGTGCCCTTTCATCTGAGGCGGACCACAGGGTAGTGTCTATGTAAGGATGCTAAGCCCTCACAGGTGCTTGCTCACTTAGCCCTAGTGACCTAGAGAAGAGAATTGTAAGGGTAATAGTGTGAAAACTCACTGACTGAGAGAAACACTGTTTAATAGGCAAAGCAAGAGCTGTTCGTGCAAGCAAAGCACAAAAGGAATTCTTTCATCCCATTGACAAATAGATGTTCAGACAAGTATTTAGCCATTTCCGGGAAAGCAAGGCTCCAACTCTTGCTGAGGTCACTCTGGAAGACAAACGCCATCACTCCAAGCATCCCTCCCTCTTTCTTGTTTCCTCCAGCTTTTATTATTGAGCATCATGTCGTATGGTACATGATACCCATTTGATCACTTGAGGTCAGCTGTCCTGGTTGTGTCCTATACCATCTTCTCATGAGCTCCTACACTAATTGCTGGAATGGGCATCATGAGGAATGCAAAAGGCCTTGACTCTGTAAGCACTGCTCAGCAACAGATAAAAAATATATCAATGTTATCAATACTGTTTTGGCTGCAAATTCAAAATATTGCACTGTATGAGCAGCAATGAAGAAAACTAAGCCTGCCATACCCCAAACCAGTATGCTCGCCTGTGTTAAAACAAAGAATGCTCACATTTCTCTCTTTCTTCCCAGTCTGTTGTCTGTAAATGGGCTTTTTATGTTTACCTTGCTATAAAAGCATTGCATGATTTGAAGGAGCCATTTCAATTTTTTTTTAGCTACAGTTAAGATAATAAGGATGCAAAATTCCAGTATTTCTTTATTAGTGATAAAAAGTCTGTCATCTGTGTAAAATTCTAGGTAGAAATGTTATATCTTGGGGTTTTGGAATCTTCATATTTTTGAGAGGTGATCAAATGTAAATGCCTTTGCTTTTAGTTTCAATAGCTTTGTAAACTGCTTTGTAATTAGTAAAATGAGTTAACTTATCACATCTCAGGACAAGATGAATCATAAACTGCCTCCTGTCTTCCCATGCACAGAATTTTCTGGTACCAAGTGCAGACAGCTTGTAATGACTTAGATGTGAATACTGGAATGGGCATTGCAATGTTGCTGGAAAGACTGTTTTTTTTTCTTTGTATGGCATATGCAGTGCTTCTCTAATAGTAAAAAAAAATCCCTTTTTATTGAGGGAGTACCCTGAATGTTACAACCTTTAAGCAATTTCACTGTCTTTAGTTCATGAGCCCAAGTTCTGTCAGTTAGCATTATTTTTTTAAAAGTAGGATGGAAGGAAACCAAATTCCTTACTTGGTTGTGCTGTATGCAAGAGAGGAAACAGAAAATCATATTTGCTTCAGTCCATTTACAGCCTGTGCACGCTAAAAATAGTAAATGGTTTTGGAAATGTATGCATGTTGAAGTTTGTTCTTGATAGCTTAAAATTGGGCAGATTTCAAGTCTTTTAGAGACAAGTATAGTTTTAATATATTATCCATATATTATATATCTATGTATTATACATAGAGATATAGATTATATTATATTATTTAGTAACCTAAGTAATGAATCTGGTTCCTGTGTTATTGACTGCCTAAACTTATAGTCATGGGGCAAAAAACCCACACCACAATAGTTTTGTTTTGTTTCAGTTGTGCTGTTTTTGGCTTAGTCCTTATGCATGTATAAACACTTCATATGACACTCCTGCTTTTGGAAAATGGGATCTGTATTATTGTATATCACATAAAAATGTAGTACAAAAATTTGGTAGACAAAGCAGGTCTGATCTTTTCAGATCTTTGTTAAGACTGGTATTACTCTTAATATTATTCAGCTTTCTTATTTTTCACATGGAGGACTGGGGGCACACCCTCAAATTCAGAAAATGAAGAATAATTTATTGAGGAGTCTAGTCAGTATTTCTTCCTGGAATATAACATCAGAGCCCCACTAGACTCATTATTTCAAGTGTAGCTAAGATTGTTTTGTCTTAAAATTTTAAGCCACAGAATCATTTGTCAGAATTGTCTTTTTTTAATATCAGATGAACAGTGCGAAAGTTTGGTTATAAGTAGGCTTTTACTCAGTCATCTTGCAAAGTTCTTTCAGTCTTCAGATATTAATTAAGCTTGAAGTATTACAGAGACTGCAGTATATTCCACCTTTTATGGAAGTGCTGTTTGTTGTAGAAATTTTGGCTTTGTCCAAGAGCTTGTATTTTTCTAAGCTGACGGGCTAGTGTTTAGCACAGATTCAAAAACCTGGATGTTTTTTTCTACACAGCCATCTGGAATTAGCCTACTTCCTGCTCATTAGAAACAGTCATGATTTTTTTTTTTGGCTGTGTGCCTTCCTCTCTCTTAATTTTTATTTTTTAAATATTAAATAGTACAAAATACAGAAGCTATGGAATTAAAACCACTTTTAATAATTTGTGATATAATCGTTTTATCATAGTACTGATTAATTCATAAGTAAAATATTGTCAGTGTTTGCTGGCATTTATTCCCAGGTGAAATTAATGCATTTTGAATTTTAAAGGCTAAGAGAAACCTGGACATTTTAAATTAAGTATGTATGGTAAAGGTAATAGCTTTAAAGCTAATAGAGGAAGCCACTTCAGCAGAGAGAAGATGTTTTATCTTCGGGTCTTACATAGTATTCTTGGATCTTTTAATTGATTTACTGTCAGTAGGATAGGTTGTGGTTATTGCTTCTATTTGTCCAGCAGGAGGAGTGCAATTACTACTAGAAACAAGGGAAATAATTAAAACTTCTGTGCAAGATCCTAGCAGAAAACATTGTGGTCCAAATAAAACAGCTTATGAGTTCTTTGGCTTTGATAATCATAAATCTTTGATGATTTTTGGAAGCTCAGTCTAAAGAGTTGTGTCTTCATTAAAAGCCTGAAGGCTAGGAGATCTCTATTCTGTAGGATGTATTCAGTCTTGCAGATAGTGAAATAAGATTAATGAAAGGTGTTAGGAAATACCTTATGATAATATTATTTACAGAAATATTTATTTGAATAGTATTTATGCATTAATATTAACTGAAATCTGGAAATAGGAATCATTCTATCCGTTAGTCTTAAGATACTAAAGGAGACATTTTTCCTTGGGGTTATGAAATGACCTGCAGGATGTGAGAGGTTTTTTTATGTGTTAAAAACAAACTAGCCTCCATGGTTCTCTGCAAAAGCAAAACAAAAAAACAGCCTAGCCTCCTATGTAATTACAGGGACAGTATATGAATTCTGAATAAAGTTTAGAAAATAAATATATTGTCTGCATTTAAAAAAAAAAATAAATAAATAACACTTCTTAAAAACTTGATCTGTTGGTAATGTCATTTTTATGCAAGGTTGTTTGTAAACTCTTTTCTACACCTAAAGTAATTTCAGAATTATCACTCCGGATTGAGCTCTGTGTAGACAATTATTTTTATAGTTGGAGTGCTTTTTGCATTTTATTTTATTTTTTGTGGGAATGAATTTTCTCTCCTGCAAAACCTGTATTCTGTAAGTTTTTTTCTACTTTTTTTTTTTTTTTTTCCCTAACCTGGTAGCCTGGCTTTCTTCTGTATTCTGCACGGTTTTTGTGCTACACAGATTGATAGACTGACTTTATCACTAGACTGAGACAAAAATGCCAGACATTTGCAACTGAGAGTAAATATGCAGATTATCGTGTATGGAGCTTATTCTGTGTTCCTTTCCTAAGAGAAAGGTGGAATGTTAATGTATTTTGTTAGCAATTAATATACTATGTAGCATGTTTTTGTAAGGAAGCGGAATTGAATGAGTATTACTTTTTACACACAAATTTATGAAGGTTGATGGTTGTTACTTTGTCTGTTCTGGAAGATATACTATAGTCCTGGATTAGTTCTGCTGGAAGCTATGTCCTGTGTACTAAGTGTGCTGTTCTTAAAATTGTAAGCCCTGGGGAATAGTAGCAATAATGGACGTATCATTTATTATGACCTTCGGCTGTACTCATCAGTTTTGACCTCTTTCTTATATGTAAGGATAAACTTGTAACAGTCTTAGTGGTCAACATTAGTATGTGTTACAGGGATCATGCATGACAGCTGATGCTTAGAAATTAAGACATGGTGCATGCTCTGCCATGAGGCAGAGACAAGAAAAAGGCTTGTTTGACTCTGTGTCATGGAGATTTGCTTTCTGTGGAAAGTTTTGGTATTACTTATTGAGATAAAGATGTTATATCTTACAGTTTGCAATACAGCCCTCACTTATTCTGTGCCAAATTTCTGTTCCACACATTTCTATCCATGTCTTCTCATAATTAACCCCCAGTCTTTCTGGTTTGTACAGGTAGAAGTAGTGACTAATGGGAGCTTAAGAGCCTCTCTTAACAGGCGTTGAAGGGACACAGCATATCTGAGCTACATAGGAAATAGGAAAAGTGTGGCAACAAGCCATTTGTACTGTCGATTAGACAGAACAGTCAGACTGTGATGTTAACCAAAAAAAGAGAAGGGGGCTGGCTACCTGAAGTGCTGCTTTTATTGTTAAATCAGTGTATACTGCATCAGTGGCAAGACTGCTGATGTCAGCTGGGCCACATGTGGAAAAAAGCTGCTAGGAGACAAAATTGTTCTAAGAGGGAAAGTTTGTGTGTTGATGATGTTAGTTTATGTATGCTTACAGTTCGTGGCTCTGTCTGTGTAGTTCTTGCTCTGAATGCAGTTTGTGTGATTTTGAAGACAGACACAAGCTATTTTAGTACTGTTAGTACACTGAGATGAGTGAGTCCCTAAATTATGTTCGAACAAGAGGACATTGGCAAGAGGGATCAATTACTTACTGTCTAGTCTTGGGGCTGATTTATGGTACCTTTCCGTGGTTTTCTTATCAAGGAATATTTTCTTTATCAGTCCTGAGAAAGGATAATAAAAACAGATTGAGATGAACTCGCATATAAAGCAGCAACATCCTAAATGTATAATTATTATACAGGAAAGACATGAAGCTCTTGAAGTGGGTCCAGAGGAGGGCCACGAAGGTGATCAGAGGGCTGGAGCACCTCTCCTATGAAGAAAGGTTGAGGGAACTGGGATTGTTTAGCTTACAGAAGAGAAAGCTCCGGGGAGACCTCATTTTGGCCTTCCAGTATTTGAAGGGAGCATATAAACAGGCAGGGGAAGGGCTGTTTACAAGGGTGGAAAGTGATAGGACAGGGGGGAATGGTTTTAAACTGAGACAGGGGAGGTTTAAGTTAGATATTAGGAGGCAGGTTTTCACTCAGAGGGTGGTGACACACTGCAGCAGGTTGCCCAAGGAGGTTATGGATGCCCCATCCCTGGAGGCATTCAAGACCAGGCTGGATGTGGCTCTGGGCAAGCTGGTCTGGTGGTTGGTGACCCTGCACATAGCAGGGGGTTGAAACTAGATGATCATTGTGGTCCTTTTCAACCCAGGCCATTCTGTGATACTATGATTATCATTGCTGCGATTTAAATGAATTCCTTTTAAAATGTTTCTTGCTTTCATGGGATGACACATTTCTGTATCACAGTAAAATTGTAAAAGTAGCTCTATTTCTGCGAATGATTTGGGTTTCTGCAGAAAAATATGTCTTGTTTCCGCAGATTGCTAGGTGTGGGCTCAGTAGTGACTTCCAGTGACTTCCAGTTCATCACTGCATCAGAGACTTTGATTCCCCTAGGGACATATGATGGCTGGGGAAAAAATACGTAGGATGTCACCTCTTCTCATTAGTAATTCAGCTTCACTTCTTTTGCTGTAGACGCTTTCATGTTTTAGGGAGGAAGGAGAGATAGAATAGGAGTTCTTGGTCTTCACTAAAAGAAAATTAATTAAATTTTCTTTCGCTGTATCATGCCTGGTCATACTGAATTGAGAGTTTCTTGTCTTATCGTGAGTTCAGAGGGAAAACATAAGATGTGTTCCTTATTACCTACAGTAAGATCTTATTTGATATTGGGTGATTTAAAAAATTTATTTACTATTTTCTTCTGAAGACTGTGTTCAAGAGAAGATGTCCATCAGACTCTTGGGAGGTTGTACGTATCGCTTTTATTAATGAGAATGTGTAATGCTAGATTCAGAATGTGACTTCACTGCTGGCAGTCTTCTTTTACATCTCAGTGTTTTGTGTCAGGATAAAGATAAATGCATAAGAACATTTCAGATCAACAAAACATGGTATCTATGAAGATATTTTATGTATCCTGTAGAACTTAGTGTCTTGCCTTGTTTTTCTTTAAATGTTGGTGAAGGTGGTTAAAGAGGAAACTGAGATTATTGTGACTGATTTTGAGATGGTGTAAATTTGAATTAACTGGTTGACTGAATAAAAAACAGTTAAATAGAATGGAAATGAAAACATTCCCTACATCTGTAAGAAAAGCCAGTCTTAACAAGAGCGGGCTTACCAGTTTAGAAAAAGAGAGTGCATTTTGATTTTTAGCTTTTGATTTAGCTGTTTAATTAGTGATTTCTAGTTCTTCCAGTTATTATTGACTTTAGTAGCCACTATAAACTTCTTTCTGGGTTTATATTTTGAAACTGAGTGGAAATAAAGGTAAAATCCTATGCCTTTTAAAATTATGTGTGTGTGTGTTCTCAATTAAACCCCAGTATTCCTGAATTTGAGTTCTTCTTCCTTGAGTCCAAGTGGTTGAGCGTAAAGAAGAAAAGTTCAAAAGCAGTAGGAATCTTTTTTTCATTCACTTCACTTTTATGTTCTGGTTGTAATTTATAGTTTACTTGAGAGGTTTTAATAGTTTCCTGCTGTGATCTGGCTTTGCTAAGTGGAAGAACAGATGTGTACATTCAAAAGACAGCCTTGAGAACATAATTGTGACCTATAACTAAGAGAATGGGTGCGCTAACTCATTATCAAAGGATAAGACGGGGTGTGAACTTGCAGTACATCTACAGTAACTGCAATATACAAATGTTTTCCTGAAAAAAAATAAGGTGCTTTATCCTTTGAAAAAAAGCTTTAAAACTCTCTTGTGCTTTTCATATTTTCTACTGGCTAAAATCAGACTTTTGAGAGCAGGTGGTAGAGTAAATTCATATCCTTTGCTCTGAGACAACCTTTTTGTGCACCCATATCCAATGTGATAAGCTATCACTTGAGGCTAAGTAAAGATAAGTTAATGTGGAATAATAGGCAGCATTACAGTTAGGCCAATAAAATTGAGATCCTTTGATTTTTTTAGATATGTCTTTAAGCTAGGAATGCTACTATTTTTATGTTAAAGACATGGTGCAAAAATGAAATTTGTTGTGGCTGTGAGACAATAAGTTCTGTGCATTAGACTGTTTAACATAATGGCTTTCTTACATTTTAAAACTTGTGTATAACAATCTGACACTGATGAAGGTGGAAAAATGAGGAGTCATTTGAGCTTAATATATTCCTTCAATTTAAATACCTGAATTTTTAGCAGTATAGTGAAAAAACTGTTTATGTACATAAATGATTGTTTTATAATCAATGATTTGCTTCATAACTCAAAATCTGGTGTTTGCTTCTAGCTGTAAATCATCTAGAATGGTTCTTATCTAGTATGTACAATCAATTCAAAGACTTAAACTAATTTTTAAGTTCTAAAGTCTCTCTCTCCTTTCTGTCTTGTTCTAGGATGTTTTTGTATTTAGACATGAACTTGCTCTTCTAAGAATATCTGCCTTCATGGGTATAATAATATTAGGTGGAATAAGTGGACTCTTTTACACTCAGCTAATTGGCATTTTCACTGTAAGTATCTAATCCTTTAATTTTAAAAATACGTATTCATTTTATTTTTGATAAAATTAATACAAACAGAAAAGCTTATTGTATTTAAAAGACAATAGAGAACCCCTCCCACTATTTCCACTTATTTGTTAAGTGCTTTATCAAGAGTCTTGTCTTCAAGGAAATCTTAAGATGCCTTCTATCAAATGGGTGTCTAATAATTCACCTACCAAAGCAATTTCCTGTTTTGTGTTAATAAAATAAAACCTTACATTGTTATGTGTAGGGATGTCTCTGGACTCTCAGGACGCACTGGAGACACAACAGCACACCAATGTGGTTAAAAGCTGTTAGTCTGCTTTATTGTTAAGCTCTACTCTATTTATACATGTCAGCAGAGCATTCTACAAAACACTCTCCAACCATTCACACAGGTGCTTATCCAGTCAGAGCCGTGAGATGTTCTTCTTCTAGAGGTGTCCTTGGTTCTCATGCTGTTTATCTTGCTCCATAGCTGCTGCCCTGAACAGTTTTGCTTGTATTCCCACAGTTATGGATTGATAAAGTGTACAAACTACTTACTTTGCTATATTTTGATATTTGTTTTTAATTTTAAACTCTTATATGCCATGGTCTCAGTCGTCATGACAGTGAAGCCTGCTGGTAAATCATATATTTTTAGAACATATACTTTTTCTTAAGTATTTTAATAAACAAGCTTTCATATCTTCTCATTTACTAAATTGTAGAATAAGAGTGTATTTTGACTAAATTGTTACAGTACAAATTCATATTCTATACTTAAGTACATAGAAGGAACCAAGAGTTACCCAGAAAACCACTTCAAATGGAAATGTTTCTCACTTAAATGAATTTAGTAATTTAATAAATATTTGTGAGAAGCAAGCACTTGTTGCTTCTGTATATTAGAAATTAATCACTGCTAGTGAATTCTGTAGAATTGCATTAAGAATACATAGAAATGTTTAGAGTATTCCAGTGTTGAACAAAGACAGTGTTTCAGTCAGACCTCTACATATCTAAAAGAATGTATAATCTGGTTTGCCAGACATTTTTAGACACAGTGAAGTACACGATAACTGCATCTTTGTGACTACAGCTGGTTGATATCTACCTGAGAATTAATTCTGGCATTACCAGGATTTGTGTATTAACCCACCAGATGCATAATGGAAAATTTTCTAATTGTAATGCATAATTCCTTTGTGTGGAATAAAGGTCAAACAATATCGTATAGTTTTGAAATCTTTTAGATAAAAATAATATTGTTTTCATTGTGTTTTCTTTCTCTGAGTTACTGTCTTTTGATCCTTGTGTAACTGTTGCGAAAATAATACGCTGTCTAGCAATCTTCCAATATTCTGAACTCTCAAATCTAACTCTATTTGCCTTTGTGCCCCTTTGTTGTGTGCCTGATTTCTGTTCCAGGGTCTGGCTATGTTTAAATGCCTGCACACATCTTTATGTCTGTGTACTTCAGAGTTTTGCCTTGTTAGGTATCTAGCTGAAGTGGTGCAGACATCTATTTCTTCTCCCTCTGGTGGACGGAGGCAGAAACTCAAGAACCCTTAATGTTCATATGCTGAATTGTACATGTCTTTTGAGACTGTTAAATGGTTATATGAGAAGAAACAAAAAGCCATGCTTTTAGTACCACACCAAAACACAGAAATGATGCAGGAGAGAACAAAACAAAACCTACATGTGTGGTTCAATTCTGCCTGCTGCTGCCAGAAGCTACACTAAATTTTGGCACTGACTATCAGCATCCATCTATAGTGTTAATATACATGAAAGAAAAACTGAGTGAAACCAATTGTCAGACATACCTGAAACGTGTAACATTTGTATTTTGACACAGGATACCTACTGTATTGCTGTGTTGCACATGAGCTCTTAGTATGTTCTTTCACCAGTTTGACCCCTATGCAGTTGGGCTGCCGCCAGCGTACATAATAATAATGAAAAGCTGCATTTTCTGTGCCAGTTCTGTAACACACTATGTTGTACATCCCATTGCACCTATTAAGCTGGCTATTGCCCTGAAACAGGTAGGAGCTGAAAATAACATTATCAAGACCAACCCCCTTTTTTGTGGATTGTCAAACTCCAATGTGTCTAGATAATTTCTTTTGTCATGTTTGACAAACACACTACAAAATTGCAGATACAGATAGACTGTGCAGTCTGAGTCAGGCATCAGAAGGTACAGGTCTGAAGTAGGGCCTGTTACTGCACTCTGCCTGAAGTGGAACTTCTATGCTTGCCTTTTATGTGCAGTGTTTTAGGTGTGGGATTACTGGGAAGTAAAAATCTGTAATTGGGATGTATGTTCACACCACATAACTACTGTTGCATTGACTCATTGAATATAGACTAGAAGGATCTTCTGAAGGATAAATCCTTTCTCAGAGCAGGGCCAGCTGCATGGAAAGGTTTATTCAGTGATATTCTCAGTATCCTCTGTCAAGTATACCCAAATACAGAAGCAACTCAACCTCCCTGTTTAACCCGTGTCAGTGTTTCAGTCCTGCTGGTCAAATTTCAAACAAAAAAACCCCAAATGTGTTGCTGAGGTTGTGCTTAGTCTGTAACTTGTGTCAGAAAATCTAACTGCACAGTGTTGTAGTGTGGGAATTTGCTTTCTCCATGAGCACTTCCCAGGAGTTTTGGGTAGCCAGTGAAAAAGGCAGATGAGAGGGCAGCAGATGAGTAATTTCAGGGCTACCCAAAGGCACTTGTCATTTTTAGAATAGGGAAACAAAGAAAATGGATATGTCCACCCACAGTGCTGAGTGCAATGTAGGTGCATTTATGTCTGGTAGAAACAATAAAATACGGTCATTTAGAAATAGTAGTAACATGCTTATGGTGTTGGAGTTCAGCACCAAGCATTCCTGCATGAATAGAGCAAATTTTATCTGAAATGAACTCTATTTAAAATGATGATTCATGATGACATTTATTGTAAGGTACAGATAAAAATTTATCGCAATTTAGATAATTAGAGACTAGTAGTGCAGGTTTGAGGCTATTTTAAAAGAAATGCAAGCATAGGCATGCATGCTTACTTTAATTGCTCTGATTCTTGGGATCGTGCACTTGCTGAAACAGCACAGATACCTGGAAGTGGGGTGGAAGAGAGTATGGGTCTCTGTCTAGATGAGCTAAGTAAGTTCAAGTTTGTTGGGTTTTAACTTTGTTGTTTACCTATATTTCAAATTCTGCCAAAATTGGATTTTGAAAGGTAAAAATGAAGATTTATCTAAATTTGACTCTTAGCGTAGCAAAACTTTTTGGTTCTCCCTAAAATGAACTTGCAGGCAACCATTATATAACTTTCTAGATACCAAGCCAATAGTTTATATTTCCTGTCTCTAAATAAAAGTAATAGAAGCACTTAAAGCTTACTGTCAGTCTCACAGAAGCAACGTGCTATATGAAACCATAATTTTCTTCCTTCTTTAGCATCAGTGGTAAAGAGCTAGTACCTGAAATGACACCTTCTTGCTCCTGTATGCATGGATGGTTTTCCACAGTATGATGACTGCTCAAATATAAATGATTGGAACGTAGCTCAGTTGTGCAGCAAGATAGGTACTCTCTAGTTCAGAGCACTCTGGTGCTTGTACTGATTGTTCATGCTTACAGAATGCTAGTTTATCTTTTTTTTGCCACAGCAGCAGGACAGGTAAAGTTGAATATATGGAATGCATTTGCATGTTGTTCCCTTTTTATACGTCACTTTTCTGAGCAGAATTCCTCTTTATGGTAATTGAGCTATTACTGCTCAATAAGCCATATGATTTGAGAAATACTGGCATTTTCTCCCCTTAATATTTTTTTTCTGAAGTCCAAAATGTCTATCTTGTGGTAGAAAGAGCACACCCAGGATTCTCAAATATGTTTGAAACAGTGCAATAGCTAAAAATAGCAAAACGTATTATGAAATGCAGGTGAGGTATTCTGCTTTGTGTGCTGACACTTGCTAAATTCCAGTGTTGCTCTGCAGTTGTCTGATCTACGTCACTGTGCAAGTCTCCTTGGTTGTAGCAGTAGATCCTTTATGTAAGAGTTCCTAAACTAAGAAAAAAGGGGGTGTTATCTTGTTGCCCTCTATCAAGAGTGTTCAGTGGATGCTTGGATAAAGTCTTGTCTCTGATAAAAATAAAACCATTCTAACTTACACACTTATGGCTCTAGTGCAAAGTGACTACCAGACCAAGTTACCCAATATGCATTGATCTCTTTGAGTATGTATGCTACCTTTCTTATTATGGTATTACTGCTGGAGTATCTTGAGCACACTGCTATTAATATCTCATCTGAAGGTTCAGGCAGTCAAAGAGCAGGGGAGGTGACTTCCCACAATGCGTGTAGAGCAGCTGGTTGGCAAAAACTGTCCTTAGAAGAACTTTTGACATGAATTATTCTCATGAACTGGGGAGCAGCTGAGGTGGCCACTTTATATGAGATTAGTGCTTTCTCCCTAGAAACTAGCATATGTGTAACACTCTTGTAGCAGGAAGGGCACATGGCTCTTGTCATTCTCCTGCAGTTCTTTCCCAAAGCTCTGTTTGCCTTTACTCTCCTGACCTTCTTGAATTTTAGCACTTCTTCTTCTCTTGTGTAACTTGGAGATAAAAATAGCTAAATTATGTCTAATTTAGAAATCTCTGAAACAGGGAGAAAATCTCAGATTGTAATTTAGAGGATACTCTTCTTAAATTCTCAGCATAACAATTAGTTTTACTACTAACCATTTTTGTGCTTCTGAAGAGCTGGGTGCTAGAAATCAGTTTCACTCAAGAAGTAAGATCATGTAGTATTGAAGGCCTGCTTGTTTTCTGTGCATTACAATAGCTTTTTCAGCCCTCTCTTCCCGTCAATGCTTGTCCTGCAAATTTAAGTTTTGTCTTTCTTAACAGGAGATGAATCAGTATTTGTAGACTTCTGGGCAGCAAAGGCAAGCTTAGAATAGTACAGTAAGTTTAAAAAAA